TTTCAAGGCAACCATGATAAGTACTTACTTGAAGCCTCAAGGCTCTCCCAGGCAGCCAGCTTCTCGCCCCCTCGCCCCAGTTACCCGCTGCACCACACCGCTGATGGGCAATGTGCCTATCGGCGACGAGAGATGCGACAAAGCTTGCTCTGATATCCGTATGCTTCATCGAATCTGCCGCTTCCCGTCTGCCGTACGCGGGCCAACACACCATCTTCCCACGCCGCTATGCACCCCGTTCACATCGACGCAGCCAACAGAGCTTCATACAGGCTACAGCCGTCCGTCCCCTCGCGACGCCTGTCTGCACTGTGCTTGCCCGGCGGCCAGCCGGCGAGCATACCGTCCCTGCGGCTGAGGTGGGGCTTGCCGTGGCGGTCACTTGAGCACATGGTCATCAGATTGATACCCATGCTAAGCGCCATGCGGGAGAGGGCGCAAGAATGCGCCGTCGCCATGACTTCCGAGCATCTGCTGTAACTTGCCAGCAGCGTGTTTCATCTTGGCGTCCGTGCACCTAGCCAAGACCGCTGCTGCTGCTTCGGGAATAACTCTACGTAGAGGCCGCGTGAGTACGTACGTACCTTAGGTACCTTACCATCTTCACTTCCAAGGTCCCAACAGCAAGCGACCGTGTCTGCAGTCCAGGAAGAAGGTCGTGGCACGACACGAGAGTGCTTAGATAACTGCCGACGAGGGTTCCTCATTCCTTCTCAGAGACCAGTGTGCCTTGGCCTTCCCGTGGCCTGCCCCCTTTCATCGGTCCACACACAGCTTCATAAATCATAGCGATCTTCCACTAAATTGCCAGTTCGGGTCCGAACCCAGCCGTACGGACAACTACAAAGACCCTACACCCCTGCAGTGGTGGTCCCCGAGTCGGCTTTCTCCGCCCGTGACCCGTGCGGCAAGATTCTTTCGGTCACCAATGCGCACGCAACACTTCTTGCAGCAACCCGAAGGGATGATCAGCATGGTGCGTACATAGGACGGCTCCCATTCTTGGTGCAGGAGTGGACTGAAGCTTCCTTCCCCATTCTCAACGTTCATCATTTTGTTGAGCGTTCTTGTTGGTCTCACTGAGCGGACAAATGCTGCCATTGACAGGTCCGCCGGGAATGCTTCAGCACTTCGAATCAGACCGTGCCCGCAAACATGTGGGGTCCAACCAGGCGTTCCTTTTTCACGACTTCTTAAATACATAGCGATTGCGCGTCACTTTTCGCCGTGCAACGCATACTCGTACGTATATCTAAGTATGCGCGCAAGGCAGAGGCATCGCGGGTATTTACTACACAAGTTATTAACCTTTCAGCCTCCATAGTTAAGGTCTGGTGACCCGGCTTACCCGCTCTCAGCCCACTCGACACCGTATACCTTTCCGAATCAATGCATTTTGGAACGGACGTCGATACCTGACAAATAATTGCAATTCGCAGCTCGTCACAATTTGCGGGGAACCCCTGGTTAACGGCCGTAAGAGTCTCTATCGAGATGCCACACCGCCAGAAGTTGCATTGGATGAATCCGCGTCAAGACTTGAGGCACCCTCAGTAACTACTGTCTCACAGCACCACTTGTCACATATCAATTCATCTCGCCAAGCATATCAGTCCATTTACGACCCTTGTATGCGGTGTGTGCATTTTAGACTCCATACTAGGCCATATGATGCCTGCGTAATTTATCGCTCAGGACGGAGTACTCCGTTCGGAGCATAACCAGGTGCCGAGAGAGATCGGGTAACAGCAAATGACAGCAAGCAGCCCACATGAGATCCCTTGCGCGCCCGACAGCACCGACGCACGGACTGCAGCATTGGGAGATTTAACTCAGAGAGCTGGAAGACGTCACCGTCAACCTCATGCTTACTATTATACGCTTGGAACTTGGAAGTTGAAAGCCGCGACACGGCCCCTGTCGCGATAGGCGTGCGTGCCTCGCACTCTGAGTTCCGTTCCCGGACATGGGAAGACCGCATAAGGAATTGATTTGCTGCGCTCTGTACGGGGTACCCGTGGCTATATTAGACTGTGAAGTGTGAGCCGGCCCCGCATCAAGTCGCTGATCTAATACATTGAAAACATAGCACGCTTCACTAATTAGAGTAGCATTTGAACTTGCTAGCCGAGTGGTCAAGACTAGTCTGGGAGCCAGGTGGTCAAGCTTTTCACGCGACCCATCAGACGGCAGACATGAGGCCGATCAGGGCCACCGTCTACGGCGGGGCCGTGATGCTGGGCTTTGGTTCCCGAGATCCAAGTCGGCTGCGTTACCGAAGGACGAGCGAAGAAAGATCTTCTAGTGTACGTACTTCGGATAGTTAGTTCCAACTTCCAAGGAAAGATCAGCTTGACTTCATCACCTCACACCCATATGGTACTTGCATGAATTTTTCAAAGGCAGATGATGTGGCCGCTGTGTGGCAAATATACTACATACGCACACAAAACACCCCATGACGATGACGTGGGCAATGCGTCTAAGTCAGGGGTAGAGCGCCTGAAAGAGTGGTAAATTTGTACATTGGACGAGGGGCAAGAATTGTTCTTTGCGAGAAGGACTCATACCGGCATTCTCCATCCATGCGCGGAAATTGTGTCTTAGGGTAGGCTGTTTGAACTTCAACGCTCAAGGTCTGTCCCCCTACAATGGGGAATGATACCTTGGACAATACATCTCGTAATGCTTGGCAGCAGCTGTTCCAGTCTTCTCTGGCTCGATTCATAAGGCAAGTCTCAAGAAAGAGTATGGACTGACCAACGTTAGTAGAAGATGCCAGGTGTGAACTTGCGGTTTTTGAGGTATATGAAATGTTTTAGCAAAACTTTCTGCCACGTGATCTCACTACGCCAGCTGTCAACAGCTGTCCATCTTCCGTAGTATAGTGGTCAGTATGCAAGCTTGTCACGCTTGAGACCCGGGTTCAATTCCCGGCGGGAGAGATTACCGCCAGCCGCTCAGCGGTTCTTTTTTTTTTTGCTCACCTCAATACTCATTCAGTGTTTGATTTGACTGTGATAATGTTGAATGTCGTGGCCCTCGCTCTTTTTTTCTTTTGCATTCATCTGGGAGGCCCGTGGACACTCGCGCATCATGCGGCGGCCCCTTCTATAGGAAGGTCCCGAGTATTCGATATGATCGCTCGCAGACCGTTCCACGGAACTCCTGTCCTTCCTGGCAGAAGCGAACTTGATATTAGCCCTGGCCGAGAGTCACCGAGAGCAGGACTCCCGGCCCCGTTGAATGAATCTCCAAGGAACCCAGCCTGAGGCGTGTTCGTTCCACCTCGCATCGTCCTTCTGCGTCATGGGCGATTAACTGAGTGGGAAATGCATTGTCGTCTCTTCCCGGTCCCAGGTGAAGCTCCTGATCTCCCCCGGCTTCAACCTTAGAAATCGCTGCCGCATACCACTGCGCCTTGCGACCCGTCTCGATGCCTTTGTACGGCTTGCCAAGTTGGCGGCCTTGCGCAGTCTACCCCAGGAGCACGGGTCGGTCTGTAACTCACATCACATCAAACCAGACAATACGCAGATCGAAGACAGAGGCCATTGTATTGGCATGGGACTCTGCGCGTTGTCTGGGATCGTAGTGCAGTCAAGGTCCAAGGAACGTATCGGGTGCCCAGAGCCAATAATCGTCATGACAGGCAATCAACGGACGCGACCAAAAGACGTGGAGAAAAGAGATCTGAATGCGCCCTCAATCCTCTCTTTGATGTTTGGTGTCAAAAGGTTTCATCAACACGTAGGAGCGCGGGAAGTGCCCCGAGACAAAAATCGCGTGAGTCTAAGACGTCTGCATTTGTAGCCCACAGGATGCATCGGTTGAAGCTGCTCATGACGAATAGTAACCCTGTGCTACAGGCTCAGTCATCAAGGCAGGATACGTGGCAGCTCAGAGATGGGTTTCGTAGGTGCAATTATCCATGTAATCATGATGATCTGTCGTGAGCAGACGTGATGTCGTGTCATTGCGGCGTCAATGTCGCACTCACGCGTGAGGCTCCCGGAACTCTAGGCATTTCGACGCGACGTGAAATGCGCACCTGGGAACCAGCAAGTGTCTGTTGAAGATTGATACGTACTCTCGTGATAGCATTCCAAAAAATCCCCGATGATGATCGGTGCGAGAGTCTACCGCAATTAAGTTTGGTCGCTCGCGTGAGCCTGAGACGTCCGTCGGGAAGAATGTGGGGGAAATACACCCCATGGTCACGTCACCTGTCCTACTAACAGGCTCTAGAGCTTATAGTACACACATCTGTTAGTGCTACGCTGCGCCCCTCGTAGGCACGCGACACCCTTCCCAGACGAGCTTGGTGGCTGCGCGATCGATCCAATGGCGCCGCGTGGCGTTACGTACCACCAAGGCCGCTGCGGACAGGCCGCCATTGATCTTGAGAGTGCGACAGCTTATCTAAAGTCTAAATCACCTGTGCCTTACCTTTGGGCAAAGGCATGAATGTATGCAGGGAATTCAATAATAGTTAGTCGAGCGTGGGATAGCGAGCGAACGGGGGCAAAAAGGATTGCCATGCAAGCGCCTAAGAAATGATTGCCATCAATGCTCGCTCAGGCTTCAGCTAACGTGGGGCCCCCTATAGCTTACCCACTTCAATCTCTGCCAGTGCCATGTGCCTGGGATCCTGCAACAGTTGGCATTCCACACGGTGAACAAGCTGACAGGGACATCCTGCTCTCCAGTCAATCACCTCTCAGCCTCCCGGCTTCTTGGCTTCCCATTCTCTCTCCGCAATCACTGTCCTAGTCCTTTGTTCGGTGCATCCCATCCTAATATCGCATCAGCATCAGCGCCAGCATCCTCATCACCGTTGCTTCCTTTGTCCTTGAGCATTTGCAGTTTTCCATAAACCCCTGAAGGACACGCGTGTGTCGGAAAGTAGCACCTCGGCCATTACAGACGCATCCTCCTCGAAATACGATCGATCCGGCCCAGAACGCATTGCGCACGCCCTCTCTCTCCCACCATCGACGATGGCGACGCTACGCCATGTCCTTCTCGCATCGCTTCTTGCCCTAGGCGCCGTCGCTTCCCCTCGACCCGTGCAAGACGTCTCGTCGCATACGGCGGCCGGGTCCGTCGCCGACGACCACGCTTCGCTGGCGACTCTGCAAACCAGAGAAGAAGAGAAGAAGAAGAAACCAAAGACACCAAAGTACTTTCACGAACCGGGCGGCTCCTTGGCGCGCGCCCACTACGATGCCCGCTACTTCCAGGACGAGGTACCCTATGCCGAGCACCGGGTCGTGCTCAGGGACCTTGCCCGCTCGTACCTGACCACCTTTGCCGAGCACGGCGCGGAGACGTGGCTTGCCCACGGCACCTTGCTCGGCTGGTGGTGGAACGGCCAGATCATGCCGTGGGACTACGACCTCGACATGCAGATCTCCTACACGACGATGCAGTGGCTCGGTGACAACCTGAACCGGACGGAGCACGAATACAACGCGACGGACGACAGCACCGGCGAAGTGAGACAGAAGCGGTACCTGCTCGACGTCAACCCCCACCACGCCGAGATCACTCGCGGCGATGGTATGAACATTATCGATGCGCGCTGGATCGACATGGAGAACGGCATGTTCATCGACATCACCGGACTGCGGGAGCGTGAGGAGGACAGGCCTGGCCAGTGGAGCTGCAAGAACAAGCATCGCTATGGGACCCAGGATCTCTGGCCCATGTACGTCTCGACGTTTGAGGGCGTTAAGGCCAAGATCCCCTACAGCTTCCAGAAGATCCTCTCGGACGAATATGGAGATAAGAGTCTCGTCGCCGAGGAATGGGAAGGGTACGTCCATCTTCACTTCCAAGAACGCCCATGTGCGAAACAGTCTGACTAACCCTGTCTTTTTAGGCACCGCTGGGATCGTGAAATCAAGGAATGGGTCAAGATGAGCGAGGAAGAGGAGGCTGCACGACGCCGCATCGCACAAGAGCGGAAGAAGCAAGACCTCGAAGCCCAGGGCCGGTTATAATGTGAGGGAAGAGTGTTGATCATTCGACCCACCAGATGTTTGTATATACCCAAGTGGCATTTTGTCTTTCTATCTTTGGCCCGTAGGGCGAATACTACATGCGTTACCGAGTCTCTTGTGCATGGCAGCCGACTTTGGTACACAGGCGTTGACCCAGTGAAGGCTTTCCGGAGTATAGTTACTGACATTGCTGGCCACATGCCGGGTATCATTACCAACTGCCTAGTCTTCCGTCCATTCCTTCAAATCCATGCCCACTTGCTCGGCGGCTAGACTCCCACCCGCGTTCTGTCCCATTCCCATGTCAAGCAGAGGGGCCATACTTGGTCTCCCATGAGCGCATTGAAACGGGTACGCACACCGCGCTACCCGCCTCACCAGAGCCCTGCATTCATCAATGGTGAGAGCGTCATTGAACATGATGGCACTGCGGCACGCGCGGGAGTGGAGCATTTCCAAGATCCCTCGGGGGCAACGACTCATGTACACCGCCCATGGATGTGTAGATCCCTCCGAAGCACGAGAGGGCGGCAGAGGGGCCTGCCGCGTCTCGGCCAAGTTCCACGCTTCGGTACGGATCAGGTTGATCAGCAGGCGTGGTTCAAGACGACAGCGCTCGAGAATACTGGGAGGGAGGCTCGTGACCTGGATCACACTTTCGTCCTTTTTCCCTCCATCGTTGCGGACCTCTAGATCAATGCCCCATGTGCGGAAGTGGTGGCGGAATCTTTGCAGCAACTCGCCTTCTAGATGGCCAACCTCGAAGTGAATAGGTGAGTCTAGAGGCTCGGTCGTTACAGTAAGGTCGCCATGGGCATCGTGGTGAAAGTACGTAGCTAGTAGTTCTTCGAGCTTGTAACGCTCGTCCGCGGCGTGCTGGTCTATCATGACCAAGGAGGAGGACGAATCTCGGGACTTTGTTTCCAGCGTCAACTTGACGAGAATGAACTTGCGGTCCACCTGTGATATTACTTCAGCTTGTTCCAACGCAGCCTTCGATATGGAGCCAGATAAACTCAAAGACCCTGACTCAAACATGATTCCACAATCATCGGTATCATGGGCGAATTGAGTGAAGCCCGTGCCGGTACGGTCTCCAATAGCATCGTCATTGTAGGTGCGAGGGATCGCAGAAGGGACAGTCGCAAAGACCGGGTTGGTCCATGTAGAGAGCAATCCCTTCAGCCAAGGAGTAGGTTCAGGCTTTGACCTCTTGGCTAAAGAGGCTGAGCAGCTTGTGGCGTGATCAACAGCAGTGCGGGATGGAGAGTTCCTTGCTCGAAAGCTGACAGGCGCTGGTGATGGCTCAGGCGTAGGCCTATGATCAACATCTGGGTCATCAAATGGCTGACGCAACAGCTGGCCATCTGCATCAACCCACCGTTCCTTCCTCGGCCTTAAAGTCTCTGCAAAGACATGAGGTGACACCGTCTTTGAGCGCAGGGCCGTAGCGTGACCGACCTTAATACGTTGCCACCCGTCGAAAGGGCTTTGCCTCTGACTTAGTGACGTGGATCGACACCGGCTCTCCGCGGTCAACCGAGGTCGCTTCCTAGCTGCAGCCTCTCTGTCCCGCAATTGAATCTTCTTTGGCTGATAGTGGTGTTTCTTCAAGAAGCCATAGCAAACAGCCTTGATCGCATCCAGTATGTGCTTAAGCTTGTCGGTCCGGTTGTCGAGAATCTGCTGTATACTCTCTGTATCTAAAGAATGACGGATCTGCACCTGGAAGTAGAACGCTGGCCAACGTTCGACTCCTTTTCGAACCTTGCTGGATGAGTCCTCCACCACGCCAAAGTTAGAATTCGAGAATATCTTGTTGATCTCTTCGTACAGAATATTGGTGCCATGTATGTTCGAGACAGGCCATATCCCAATGCTGAGGAATTGCGCACTTCGTGACGCGACTGGCTCAGTTGATACGCAGCCTTCGACCGAAATGTCGCCACTGGACGCTGACAAGGGAATCCATGTGCCGGAAAGCGCCTGGTCAACAATAAATGCTTGTGAGAGAAGCCTTGGAGCGCGCAGTGAAAGTTCGGTGGTGTTGTCTTGCTTCAAGTGGATCTCGCGTCCTGAGGCGGCGTCCTTCAGAAACAGTGAAATTGTACCATGCCACGAGAGCAGCACGGCGACAACATCGTCGATAAGTTGACTCCACTCCTTGCTAGCGAAAGTAGGGTCATTCGACATGGAGCCCCTTTGTTTCACTCTCACTGGCATCGAGCCGAACAGATCCCGCGCAACAACACGGGTACCCCAGTCGAAGGCGTGAACATGGTGCTCTGTCGGGGCTGGGAGATATCGCGAGATCAACCTTGACTGGTGCAGAAGTATCGAGTTGCAAAATTCATGTTGCTTGTGTTTAGAGGACACCAACAAAAGGGACAGCGTGGCCAACGAGGATAGGAAATCCCCATGTCTGCCATATATGGTCTCGTCAGGCGGGTATTTGGACGTGCCTGCAGAGGTCAGTACAGTTCAAGTATCCCTTTAGGCGCCTTACAATGCGACCGTCCTAGACCTCCATTCTCTTTGAAGTCTCCCGGTGGGATGCCTTGGCCGTTGTCCTCAACTGTGCAATTGCCCCTAGCGTAATCAACAGTGATGTTGACTTTAGTTGCCCCGGCATCCAGAGAGTTCTTCAGCAATTCTATCGCGACATGACGCAAGGACGTAATGCTGGCAGACGACTGCAGCTTTTTCACGACTTCGTCCGGGAGCTGCCTGATGGACATGGCCGAGCCGTCATGGTGGATCGAGGTTACGGCGGGTAAGATGGTGCAAGTGTGTTGCGGAATGACGTCCCGAGAGAAGGGTCCAAGATCCCAAGTCTTGGCAGCTGCCGTGGCGCATGAACTAAGGTACGGAGCAGCACCTGTGCACTTAACTCACACGTGGAATACTGACAATAAGGGGTTGATGGGAGAACATATGCACTGCTCTGGACTTCTATTCGAACAATCTGCTTCCTTGACTACCTCGGTCGATCTGCTCGAGCTGATTGACCTGGCCAGCATCAAACGTTGCATGTGGCTGAGGCTAGTCACGTGATCCTTGCCCAAGGTCCAGACCACCGCAGAGGCGCCAGCAGCATCATCCAGGGTCAATGACCTTTCCATGCATCACACTGTCTACCATTTTGCTTCTCATTTCGGACTGGCTTCTACTTGCCAGATTATTTTGTCCCAGGCATTGTCTTGCAGTGCGATCAACGGCGACCTTCCCCAGGACCCTCTCCAGCCTTCCCCGCCTCGCGATCTGTTTATTACGACCCTCCTTTGACTGCGATCGCCCCTCCTCCTGGCGCGCCCTCACTCACTGCTCGAGATCATGGCTACGGCAGAGACATTAGCCCAGACACCCGGTAGGCTTTGCACTGCCTACCATCGTCCGTCTTGGCCCCGTCGCTAATCATGCTAGATCGCAATGGTCATCGACGAAAGCCGTTCTCGACCTGGGTGAAGAGGCTCACCAATTTCAAGTCGTCTGATCCCGCGAAGCGACATGGCAAGAAGAAGAAGGAGACAAAGACCAACAACCCTTACCCTGAGTCAGGTTTCGTCAGCAACCAGCAATCCAACGAGGAGAGCGCGCCCTCCTTTGCCAGCCCTCGAACCTGCAGTCGCGCATCTGTCGAGCGATCCAGTGGTGCACCCGCGGAAACCACCGACGCGCCGGAAATCGAAATACGCCATACGGGAACAGCCTCGACCGAACAGGAGGCACCTCACTCCGGTGCTCAGAGCCATGGCGCGAGCTCTGTGACAGGCACGAATCACACGGCAGGTGGTGGCTTGGAGTCCAGACGAGGTGGCGACAGCACGTTTTCCAGCCCAGCACCATCAGTACGGTCCATGGCGACAACACTCACGACCATCCAATCTGTGGCGCCCAATGGCGGTACTAGCGGGACAGTGCCGCAGCAAAGTAATCCCCAGGCTATTCAGTTCAGTCAGCCATTCCCAACAAACTCGCCTGCATCCGCCATCCCACCGCATCTCGCGCCGACCGGCCAACCGAACACGTACTCAGCCGCCACGGCGCATGGCTTGCTGACGGACAATGCATCCATACTGACACTTGCGTCTTCGAGCAAACGTCGTCGCCGGCGTTCCATGGACACGGACGCGTCGGTTCGTGCCCTTGCGCCATCCTCTGTGTGGGGAGGAAGCCGCGAGAGCCTGCCATTGAGCGTTTTGAGCGGCAATGTGGAACCATCCAGTCACGGGAATGCAAGCGCCTTGTATGGCAACACGCCGCGCATCAATGCGGAGCGCAACAGCATCTACTCCTTCACAGGTGTGCCGCCCGCCGTGTCGGGCGATCGCAACAGCTACTACGCCAAGCAAGCCGACGGCGCGAGTGTCCGGAGTGTGCGACCTGGGCACACGAGGACGGAGAGTATGGGCGCAATCAGCGCCGGACCCAACAGCCCTCTGGCGGGGGTTCCCGCAGAGAAGGATGATATCGCGTCCACTATGAAGGAGGAAAAGGAGGAATGAGCACACGTTGTTTGATTTTCGGTTTAAGGCATGGCGATACGGATTTGGTTTATTGGGGCTCCTGGGTGCAATGACAGAGAACCATGGGGGTTCAAGCCTCACGATAGATACCCTCCTACCTGCTAGTATTAGCGCGGCACTCTAATATATATTTCGACAACCGCCTAAGTTGCATTGGCTGTTCCAGATGTTATTCTCTTTGGTCGTGATAGCTGTCATGGGAGGACCCACTTTACCAGCGTCATCGCTGGCGTGAACCTCCAGGCTCCAGCTCCAGCTCCAGCATCTCGACTCCGCCAACCACGCGTCAACCATAGCCCCTGCTATCCATGTTCCGCCAACATGGCCATTTCGGTAAGTGTATTGCATGCGCAAGACTCTAGTCTACTGACATCTCGCAGTGGAAGTCCTTTGACTTCTTCGACGTCGCCCAAATCGCCCTCGCCGACCCCGACACCCAATGCCTCCTCGAAAGCAGCGACATCTCCAGCCTCTGCGCCGGGTCCGACAGCCTCTTCCTCGGCACCCAAGATGGCCTTGTGAACATTATCGGCAAGAGCTGGAAGGTGATCCGTCGATTCCAGGCGCACGATGCGGGCCGCATCACCCACATGCGTCAGGTGGAGGGGACGAGCCTGCTGGTGACAGTCGCGGAAGAGACGAGCGCTGATCCGGTGCTCAAGGTCTGGGCGCTGGACAAGCTCGTGAAGAAGACGGAGATGCCGACATGTCTGAGTACGGTGAGCGTCAGCAACGCGAGGCGGCAGTTTCCCATCTCGGCATTCGTGGCGATGGACGACTTGAAGCAGATTGCGGTCGGGTTCGCCAATGGGTCGGTTACGCTGATCCGCGGTGACTTGATACACGACCTAGGGACGAAGCAGCGGGTCGTCTTTGAGTCGGAGGAGCCTGTGACAGGGGTGCAGCTCTCGATGGACGACCAGCTGGCGACGACGCTCTTCGTCTCAACGACTTCGAGGATCCTCAAGGTTGGCATCACGAGGAGGGGCCAAGGCCTGCCCCCTAAGACGGTCGAGGACAGTGGGTGCGGCTGGGGTTGCATGACGGTCGACAGACGAACGGGCGACGTTGTGGTAGCGAGGGACGACGCGATATACACATATAACCTCGAGGGGCGGGGCCCACCGAAAGCGTACGAGTCGCCGAAAAAGTCCATTACCATGTTCAAGGAGTACGCTGCGCTGTCGTGTCCTCCTAATAACAGTGGACGAGACCCGGAGTCGATGCGGATGAGGTTTGGTGGAGGAGCTGGCGATGCATTCCTCCACGCGTCCACCTTTGTGCTTTTGGAGCCGGATTTGAGGATCATTGCACACACAGAGACTCTCATCTCGCCGGTGCGCTATATCTTTGAGGTCTGGGGTGATTTGTACACCATGAGCGAGGATGGCAAAGTATGTGAACCCAGAGGGAAACAGTGGCAAGGGCTAACGTTACCCAGGTCTATCGTTACCATGAGAAGACGCTCCAACAACGCTTGGAGATGCTCTACCAGCGCAATATGTTCCCTCTCGCTATCGAACTCGCCAGCAACTCGGGTCTGGATGCCGACCAACAAAGCCTTATTTTCCAGAAATTCGGCGATCACTTATACCAAAAAGGCGACTATGATGGCTCCATGGTGCAGTATATCCGTGCCATCGACGCTACAGAGCCGTCACAGGTGATCAGAAAGGTAGGTGTGAGGTACATCAAGCCTGGGCACTGCTAACAGTGGGCAGTTCCTCGACAGTCAGCAGATACACAATCTCATCCTATATCTGGAGCAACTTCATGAGCATCGGAAAGCGACGGCCGATCATACAACGTTATTATTAAATTGCTATGCCAAGCTCAAGGACATTGACAAGTTGGAGAAGTTCATCAAATCGCCAGGCGATCTCAAATTCGACCTGGACACGGCGATTGCCATGTGTCGGCAGGGCGGTTACTACGACCAGGCGGCGTACCTTGCGCGGAAACACGGGGAGATTGACCTGGTGGTGGACATTCTGGTCGAGGACTCCAAGAACTACGCTGAAGCCGTGGACTTTATCTGGCATCAAGACCCAGAGGTGGCGTATCCGTCGATGCAGAAGTATGCGCGCGTCTTCATCGAGAACTGTCCGCAAGAGGCGACGAAGCTGTTTGTGGAATACTATACCGGCAAGTACAAGCCGAAGCGTACCGCGCTGCCGACAGTCGACGATGATTCCCAGCAAGGCAGCGGTTTCGCGGCGGGTGCCGCAAACGCGGTATCCAATATATCGCATCTGCTACCGCTGCCTTATATGAATGCAACGTCAGTGTCTTCCGGCAACGGCACACCGACCAACGGGAGGCCGACGCTCAGTGATGGCACCATCGTTTTGGATGAGGATAACTTCCCAGCGCCCAAGTACACGCCGCCTGCACCTCGAACCGCCTTTTCGTCGTTTATCGATCACCCAGACGAGTTTATTGTCTTTCTGGAAGCATGCCTGGAAGAGAAGGACCTGAAGGCGGCCGATCGCACCGATCTATATACCACGTTGTTCGAGATGTATCTCTACAAATCAAGTCAGAAGAAGGGACAGAGTCACCGCGAGGATTGGGAGGCGCAAGCGAAGAAGCTCATCGAGGGCGACCACGTGCCAATGGAGAGCTCCAACGTCCTCTTGCTGTCGCATTTATCGAACTTCCGAGACGGCACAGTGCTCGTCAAGGAGCAGGCAGGGCTTCTTTCGGACATTTTCCGATCGTATACCTCCGCCAAGGACACAGCAGGCGCGCTGAAGGCGCTCAAGAAGTACGGTCCCGAAGAGCCGCAATTGTACCCGGCAGCGCTGGCGTATCTGACGTCGGACCCGAGCATACTGGAGGAAGCCGGTCGAGAGGAGCTCGCCGCCGTGCTGTCCAAGATCGACAAGGATGGGCTGATGGCACCTTTGCAGGTGATCCAGACCTTGGTGGGACAGTCCTCCGGGGGTGGCGTGGCTACCATGGGCATGATCAAGCCCTACCTCAACGAGACCATCACCCGTGAGCGAAAGGAAATTTCCTCCAACAAGCAGCGGATCAACAACTTGCGCACGGACACGGAGAAACGACGAGCGGAGCTCAGCGACCTCGGTTCGAAACCCGCCGTCTTCCAAGCGACCCGCTGCTCTGACTGTGGGCAAGGCTTGGACTTGCCGGCGGTGCATTTCCTCTGCAAACACAGCTTCCACCAGCGCTGTCTGCGCGGCGGCGAGGATGACCGCGCCGAGTGTCCCAAGTGTGCTGGCGAGAACGACGTGATCCGCAAGATGCGCGAGGGACAGCGCGCCCGGGCGGAAAGACACGAGCTTTTCAAGGGCGATCTGGATGGGAGTGATGATCGATTTGCGACTGTGGCCGAGTGGTTTTCTAGGGGCGTGATGGATGTCGAGTCTAAAGCGGATTGAGAATACCACAATGTGATTAATGTACGTACGAGCCATCAATAAGTAGCAAAGACTGGAAACCCCACATTCGCAAATGTGTCTCGATCGTTCATCCTTGAAACACCAGCCATTGAGCATCATGCCTCCCGCAGCGATTGATGCGCGGTCCGTCATTGACTTCTTCACAAAGGGCCTGACAGCGTTCAAGGCATCGTCCAGCGGATTTCGCATGCTGCGAAGCTTGCCTCATGGCGCTGTCACCGGGTCCGCCCCGCGACAGCTCATCGTGCTGGACTCGAGCTTCAACCCACCCACGGTAGCGCACGCCGAGATGATTCACGCTGCCGTGCGTTCGTCGAGCGTGGCGAGGCCGAGGGTCCTGCTGCTCCTCGCCGTGCAGAATGCAGACAAGGCGCCCGCGCCGGCGTCGTTCCCGACACGCCTGGCCATGATGGAGAGCTTTGGTCACGGGATCCTGGACGAGGCCGACGTGGAGGGCGTGGACATTGGCGTCACGACGAAGCCGTATTTCCCCGACAAGGCGTCGGCCATTGAGGAAACCTATGCCGGCATGAAGCAGGTCTTTCTTGTGGGTTACGACACGCTCATTCGCGTCTTTGACGCCAAGTATTATCCTGAGGGAAGCATGGACTCGGTCATCAAGCCATTTTTGGCCAAGGCGAGCTTGCGGGTCACGCTACGGACGGGCGGGAAATGGGGCGGGAAGGAGGAGCAGCATGCTTTCTGGGAGGGACTGGAGCCGTGGCAGAGACTGGAGGTTGAGCTCGTTGAAGGCGTCGGTGGTGCGGTGAGCAGCTCGAGGGTCAGAGAGAAGGTCCGTCAGGGAGAAGACGTTGGAGAGCTGGTAGGGGAGGGTGTTCAGTGGTGGATCAAAGAGGCCAATCTCTATGTCGAGGATGCGTAGCTTTTCTCGAGTCAAAGAGTAAGCTACCCTGTAGTTACGAACATGCTGGCATTGTCCACTGATTGTAGTCGACAGATGGCGTGTAACGTACTTGATGTTAGAGAGGCGGCGTAATTAGTAGTATCTGGTGCTTCTTCGCATACGAAGATGCCATGCATGCCTTCTGGCGTGTCGTGGTCATGCCTGTGAAGTGACAGATGCACTTGGTGATGCGCAAGCTTTTCTCACATGACTGCCAAACACAGGACAAACTTTACGCGCCAGTTACTTTGGATCGCCCAAGCTCTAAAGATAGCTTGAAAGGCAAATCAAACAGATCACATATAATCCACCTGAGTAGGAGCATCCCCGTGAAGAAACTTCCAGTGAAGTCACGTCAAGCGGTTGGTGAGGTTCAACCACGCTTCCCCAAATCTGTGCGCTGCTCCCGTGAACGCTCCCGGTGATGCTCCAAGAGCCCTCCTAGTACGGCGCGCTTTGTTCACACTCGCGCCCGTCTCGAAATGTCAAACCTGTCTTGCTCTGCAAACTCTGCCTGTAGATGCTATCGTCAGAAAATTCAGCGTGAATTCCTGCCTGAATTTCCAGGGATTCACACAAGCCCAACCTCGTAGCACGGACCTTGGGCCCATTCTGCCATCGAAAATTTTGGCGGTGAGGCATTCTGCCACCAAACTTTCGGGCGGTCAGCGCACTGATTGTGAGCCCCACAGGGGTCCAGGGCGATGTATAAAAACACCGCTTGGTCGCAACCTTTCCTCTTCTTTTTTCTTTTCTTCTCATGTCGACAATACTTCAGTATGCCTCCCCCCACCTACTCAGCTCTGCCTCCCGCGCAAGCTGCCAGCACCATGACAACCATTTGCTAACGACTTCTTCAGGAGAATCATTTCTATAGTATACGACTCCTTCTGTGTTTCCCAAAGAAGCTACAGAACCCACCCTGGTTGATGAGACATATCCTCGATGCCCTAGAGTGAAGAACTCTGGTCCTCTCGCACTGTCCGCAAGGATGGCGGCACGACTGGCCTTCGGGACGGTCTGCTGTATAGAGATGGAATGGTTGCTCTTGCGACCGCACTTGATGATCTCAACCCGGTCTGCGGTCTTGCCCTTGGGCGCGCGGGCTGGGCGGGCATCGATGGACGTCTGACAGGTGTTTTTTCTTTTCATTGTAGCTGAGGCTTGCCTCGACTGTGAAGAAGAGATTGCTTTTCATATTGCTCGTCCATGTTTGGTAGTGTTTGGGTCACGTCCACACTCGGTTCCCCCAGTTACTCTTGAATTCACCTCACCATTGATGCACCTCACCAACAACTGACTTGAGTGACCGAGCGTCCCCTCCCCAGCCATCGCACGCTGTTGTGTCCCGGATTAATATGAATCTCTTCAGCATGCCCCTCTTGGCGATATGGAGGATATTTATCACCCCGTCCAATCCAACGATCTTCTCACGAGAGGTAGCGCATCATCCACAAGCCTGGGCATGCACGCGACGACCGCTCTTTGGTAATAACAGGAACGGGATGGTATTCTCTAAGCACCGGCATCGAGCATTGTGTCTATATTCTGCGACGGCGTCACACTATTCATTTTTGCGCTGCTCCAAGCAACATCTATCAGACCACGTCCTTCGGCCTAGTCACAGTTGCCCCAAAGACGCTACCCCCGTCGTCGACATCCCTCACGCTCTCCGCGCCTCCTTCCTTGCGACCGCCCCTCATCTCCCAGCTGCCGATGCGTTCTTGGCTTACGCCCCTCGCTCCGACAGCAACGTCCTTGTCGGGCTCACCTCGAAAGCCACTGGTGCTTCTCTCACTCTCGCTGGCACGACGAACCCGGAAGCCTCCGATGGCGAAGAGTAAAAATCCAGCAATCCCGAGGATGGCGCCCATGACGACGGCGCCGATGAGACCAGCTAGGGCGGGATGAATTCTCGAGTTGGAGCCCAGGAGATCCGATGCCGCTTCGTCGTCCTCGCCTGCATCATCATCCGAAGACTTGCTGAGGCAGAAAGGAGTGCTGCTGTTGCATATATTGCACCAGTCCTCCGTCGTGGCGCCTTTGTCGTTCATCTCGCGTTCAAACGCAGTGTAAGGGATGCTCTTGCCCCCATATCCTGATCCAAAGAGCGAAAAGCCCTGGACTGCCTCGTCCTCATCCGCGTTCGCGCGATACAAGTAACGGATACGCAGATCAGTTGCGTCTGGCATCTTAGAGGAATCGTCAGGGGTGTCGCCGATGAGCTCGAAGATCATGGCAGCGCCTGGCTTGGGTAGAGTCGTGAAAGGACCGGAGAGGGTGTTCTCCCTAGTCAACACGTTGGCTACCGAAAGAAAGGCCATGAGTGGCTCGTAGGAACCGAAGAGGACACTGAGTTTGGCGAGATCTCCCTGCGACCCGAGATTGCGCTGTAGCTGACTGGCGACTTCCGTCGCGAGCGTGCGTCCAGCAATGTTGAACAGAGCCTTGGCCTCCTCGTCCTCGTCATCGGGATCTTGGTTCTTCGCCTGAGCTAGAGAGAAGGCATAGTCCTCGAGTTGCGAGATGGTCTCGTTCGCGTTGTCGAGGTTGTCGTGGACGGTCTGATTGTGAGTGTACATGTAAGACACGAGCTCGTAAAGTTCCACGGCGTTCCATAAGGTGGCATAGTCGTCCTTGACTGTGCCTTTGAGCGGCCCCGAGGAGAAGAGGTCTTTGTAGAAGGAGGCCGATTTCGTGGTGAGCTGCTTGATATCTGAGCTGTCCTTTAGCTTGTCTGTCTTCTCCTCCCAAGTGTCGCAGTCGCTCGATCCTCGTACACTTCAAAGTCAGTCTTCTGGCGGAGTCGCATCGGCTGAGCTGTACGTATACTTACGCGGGAGACGCGCTGTCGTTCGAGGACAGTGTCTGCAAAAGAGGATACTGATACCCGTCCAAGGGCCAGCCTACGCTGTCGCTGCCATTGCTGACCAGATTGTTTCCCAGATCCTGGCCACCGATAAACCCTTCCTTGTTGGGTGGATATAATCCCTGGAAGAAGGCGAGGGCACCCGCAGCAACCCACTCGTCATCAGCTACAAGAGCGTCGACCTGCTGATTGTCGATGTAATCCTTCTCTAGCCCCACGATGGCAGATGTGCCGTTTGTGTAGCGATTGCGAAAGGCGCTGCCCTGGCGATAGAGCTGCTGTGCCCCAAGTGGCGTCAGAGTCTCGTGCAGGGAGCCGAGACTAGGTGTCTTGTCGCCATGCACAACGTACGCCGCTGCAGCGTAGACGGTGATGCCCTCATCGTCCGTCTGGGCAGCGCCCAAGGTGGACAAAGCGGCCGCTGCGATGATCGCCTTGACGAGGGCCATGGTTGATCGAGCTGACGAAGAATGGGGGTAGAGAGGAAGAGCGCAGGCTCGAGGAAAGACTCCCCATCGCCACAATACGCGGAATCGCACGCTGCTAACGATGCATGGTCGTTCTTGGCTCGACGATATACTGGGCCTCGCTTGCTGCTGGCCACAGAAGTCACGCACACGTGCTGCAGATGAAGGGCGGGGTCGATTGCTGATCGATGAAGTTAATGACCTTTTGTACGGATACCAACCTTCGCTCAGGGCCTATCTACTTAGCTGATACTGACTTAAGTCGGAGTAGAGGGATAGTAGTCTAATTGTTACCTTAGTATGATCTGCTATGGGTAACCTGGTGGAACAACCTTATAAAAGTTCCGGTCGTTGTTTACAGTTGCCCCTCCTTCAAGATCGCCGGGATTCGGGGTCACAGCCTGAGTTGGTGATAGCGGGGTCCAATGTGACGGTTCCTCTCACCAGTGCGGCAAGCTCATTTGACCTACCCGATGGCACGGACGCGCAATTGCTGTCGGCCAGGATTAGATGATTCGAAGCTTACTCGCCAGATATATCAAACAGCTCAACTCAAAGCTTCCTCTCGAACGGTTAGATGGACTTCAAGGGGTCTCAAGCGCCCCAGTCGCCCCCTGAGAACACATTCCCCTATGCCAGTTTGCCAGCCACATCAACCATCCGCGTCCTGACCCTGCATTCAGGGGCACCATCTGAACCACTTGTCGGAACTCTCACCCACGAGCTGCTTCCCACCTCCCAGCCATACGAGGCCATCTCATACGTCTGGGGCAGTGACACGCGATGCTCAGCTCTCCACCTGACAGACGCGCAGACCGGGAAGTCGGGTACTCTTCCCCTAACGCAGAGCATCCACGACGCTCTCGTGCGACTGCGTCCTCGCGACGAGACCCGGAGACTCTGGGCTGACCAAGTTTGCATCAACCAAGATGACATCACGGAAAGAGGTCAGCAGGTCAGACTGATGGATGTCATATATCAGTCGGCCAGCCATGTCCTCGTGTGGCTTGGGAGCGACGAACATGGCCACGCACAGGAGGCAAAGGATATGATCCTCCACCTCGACCAAGTCTTCCGTGACGAAACACGCCATGCAACTTTCAAGAGAAAGCATTCACTTGAATTGGGACATCGAGATGCCGCGCGCTGGGTACCCCTCTCGAAACTCACACAGCAGCCGTGGGTATGACTCGTATCTTGTGCGCAATCTGTTGCTGTCATACTAATATCTTGCAAGTTTACTCGAATATGGATCGTCCAGGAGATTGGCACGTCCACTCCTTCCACCCTCCATTGGGGTCCTCATGTGACCATACCCTGGGCCCTCCTCTCCCGCGTGGCCGACGTGCTCAACACGTCCTACCATCTCCTGCGCACTCGCTTCTCCATTTTCACGCCCAACATCCGCTACCTGGACGCACGCTTCGTCGAGCCCGCCACGCCGTATGGAGAAGACTACAACCGCGGAAGCTTCATTTATGAGCTCCATCGTGCACGCCACCTGCGCACAAAGGACCCGCGAGACCACGTCTATGCATTCCTCGGCCATTTCTCGCGCAAGGTCGGCACAGCAGGGTTGAAGGCCATCGAAGTGGACTATAACAGGACCATTGATCACGTCTTCACCGATGTCGCGCGGCGTGGGCTGGAGGGCGCAAAGACACTCATCGTCCTTTCGGCAGTGCACGGGGTCCTGGCGAGGAATCGGACGAATCGCTCCCGGAGGAAGCCGCTCAATGTGCCGTCTTGGGTACCAGACTGGAGAGTGCTGCCGTTGCATCTCATCGGCTCACCAGAGTGTCCCCACCGTGCAGCGGGCAACACCCTGCCGTCCCTGGAGATCGACGACCATGTGTTGAAGATCAAGGGTAGAAGGGTCGATGTCGTAGCCAGAGCGTGGTGGACGTTCTTCGGCCAGGCTTTCCAGATCCGCGACGATGCTGAGGCGTTGAAAGACAGGAAAGACCCGTTTGAGATCCTCTGGAAAGATCTGACTGGAAGGGACACGCTCGACACAGAGGACCAGTATCTCACAGGCGAGAGCAAGTTGTTCGCACTGATGCAGACACTGGCCAACGGATGCGTGGGCATCAACCGTACCAAGGGCACCGTCACGCTTGAGGAGAATCTCGCTCATGTGGCAGCATATCTGATCAAAGCTGGTCTCGAAGCGAAGATGAGCGAGCAACTGGTGGGAATGGCAGCAGGCGGCGACCCCTATAGATGGAGCCATGAAGCGACGCTGGTAACACGGTATCGACGGTTTGGACTCACCGAAAAGGGGTACTACCTGCTGGCCCCTGACACGTTGAGACAAGGGGACGAGATTGTCATCTTGGACGGGGGCAAGACGCCCTTTGTGTTGCGACCCGGACAGGACGGAACATACGAGCTTGGCGGCGAGTGCTATGTCCATGGACTGATGAACGGTGAGGGGACGGGAGCTGACGAAGTGATCTTCTCGATTGTCTAAACGCAGGGACATGATCACTACTCGTGGCCTTTTATGGAAAGATCATCTCGTCACAATGACACTAATACAACGAGGTGTTTCAGAATTGGTAATGAATTCCTGGTCATAACCCACAGGCTATCCCATCTATCTGTACAGACACATCATGTCCAGTCACATCACCGCTGTACGCGGTGGCAAGCCAAAAAAAAAAAAAAAGAGAACAAGAGAAAAACAAGAATCACCCCATCGCAGCCGCTGAGATCGTACCAGAACGCCGCTCGCCTTGAAGCCTTGGCATGCTCATCACCAGGACAAAAGAGAGAATGCTTATGCAGGGAAAGAAGGGTAGACCGTCTACAGGTCCATGGTCAGCAGCTCTAACCTCGAGACCACGCTCTCAATGCTGTCACTGATCCGTTGGACTCGGGCCATCGAGATGGCCGCTGACGTCTCCTCCTCACTAGCATCTAGCAACTCATAGCGTGCAAGAACCTTCTCAGCTTCGATGCCTCCAAATAGGTCAACGTTTGACAGGCCTTCGGTGTCGAGCTCAGACCACGCTTCGGTAGCTGTGGCGGGCTCAGAGTGGTACAGAGCGTATTCAGGGTCAGACTCAAAGTCCTCATCGCGAGGAGCGGTCTTGCCCTCGACGGGCTCAGGGCGCTCAACAGGCCGCTCCAGGGCGGGAACCTCCATCTTCTCCTCGTCGAGGTCGGTCAGGGGCTCAGCAAAGTTGGTGCTCTTGCCGGACAGGGCAGAGGCGTCAACGGGCGCCGGGATCTCAAGAGTGTCGACAACGAACACTTGCGGCTGGAAGTTGTACGAGTTGTCGAGGCTCAGCATGGAAAAGTCCATGGTCTGCTCAGGGATCATGGCCATACCAATCTGCTGCTGCGACTCCACGGACCCATAGGGGTTGGTGTCTTTCGGCAGCGACTGACGCTGCTGTTCTTGCTGGGGCTCAACCTTGACCTGGGGTCCTGGTGCCTGTGCCGGGTTCGCACTCAGGTGGTCGAGGAAGTTGGAGAAAGAGGACGATGCGAGGAGCATGCGTGTCAGGTCGGTGAGACGCTTGTTCTCTTCGACCAGAGCGCGGTTCTGTGCACGGAGGTCACCGTTCTCGTTGACCTTGCCGGCAATCTCAGCCTCGAGCTGGGTGATGTATTCTAGACTTGTTAGCAGGTCTCTTTGATCGAGGGTTCAAACCGTAACTTACCCTTGCGTCGCGAACGGAATGCGCGAGCAGACACCTTGTTGCGGAGCTGGCGACGCTCCTTGCTGCTTAGCTTCTTACCCTCCTCACTAGCCAGCAGACGTTCGTCCTCATCCATGTCATCCTCCTCCTTCTTCGTCCTGGGCAGGTTGGCCATGGGGAAGTTCTTATCATCCTCAGCGGACGGCGGCTTGGCTCGCATAGAGTTGAGCAGCTGGGTGATCTTCTGTTCGACGAGAGGGTCTGTGGGCTGGGAGCTCTTGCTCCGCGCCTTGGGTTGCTGCGGCATGTGCTGCTGCTGCTGCTGCTGCTGATGTTGACGCTGCATCATGTGTTGTTGGTGTTGTTGCTGCTGCTGCTGCTGGCGCTGCTGAGCCTGGATCTTGGCCATCGCGGCTTGCGAGTGAGCACCGGGCCAGAGACGCCCGACGTTGCTGGGCTGTGTGGCCACGGAAGTAGGCGACAACTCTTGCTCGATGTTGCTGGGGTTGATCGTGTTGAAGAAGTTTTGGGTCTCGGCAGGCGAGTCAAACTCCATGTCCATATCCGACGCCCCGGCCATTGTGCTTTGCGAAGGCGCTGTGTTGAAGTCGAAGATGTCGTCCTCGGGGGTCATGTTCGACAGATAGTCGAGGCTGCCGAAGTCTTGGTAGCCCGTGTTGTTGGTCTGGTTCACAGCCATGGTGTTGGCGAGCGCGCCTGGCACGAAACCGGTCTGCTGGCGGTACATGTCATAGTTATGGCTCGGCCCACTCAGGGTCTGTGTACTTGTTGAGGGAACGCTGGGTGTGGTGACGGTCGCCGAAACGGGGCTAGCAAAGTTGTTTTTCGATGTTGACGATGGCGAGGACGACAGAGACGAGTTGGTGGGTAGACGATCGTACTCAGTAAGGTCGAGCAGCGCGTCGATATCGACGTTATTCGGGTTGGGAGCCGCCATTGTGTTGTAGGTCTTGCTCCAGGGCGACTAGATAGATGAAGGGCGTCGGCAGGGCTCGGAGGATGGTTGTTGATGTTCGACTCGGAGCGCTCTGCAGTACAGTCTCAGATACGTACTCGGGTAGGGTGTGTTGATGATGTTGTTGTTGATGGAGAATGGAGGAATGAGGGAAGGAGAGCAGAAAGACTGGACACACGATGTCGGCGGCCACAGAGAGAGGGCAGTGCTGTTGTGCAATTGTGCAGGCACGGTCACAACTTGGATGGCAGCCTTGGCGATCCGGAGTCTCTGCGGGAAGCGAACAGGGATGAGCAGGGCGTGGTAAGAGGACGCGTAAGCTTTTCGCTACGCTGCGGCGCCTAGTTCCAACCCGCTTCGGCGACGCCATGCGCTGGAGTGAGCACGTTTTAGGGGCCTAAGTGAGAATGCACCAATCACACACCGTCTACACGGCCTGTTTCAGCATATTTGGTGCTGAACAGCCCCAAGACCAGGCAGCTATGGATTGGCAGACTGCTATCTCATTGGCTACATTGGTGCCGTTAGTGCCGCCTAACACCGTGTATGACGACGTCGGGGACTGGATACAAGTCCACGCGAATTCCAAGTTGCTGTCCTGCTGCGAAGGCTTCCCCTTTCGTTTTGCAATGCTGACGACTCACTAGTAGAGGCCGCGAATCCTCCCGCGCAGCCCAGGGCACCGTATCCGAATCATCAATCCGCGGAAAACTGCCTCATCTGCTTTGCGCGCGCAGAGCGAGATTTGCATATGCCTCCTCTCTTTGCCGTGATGCACTGCCCCTCGCTGTTTCATCTCGCAAGGTCACGTGCTGCCTATCTGCTTGGGATCGGGAGGTGGCAGTGCTCCTATGGAATCCGCGATTGGCTCAATCGCCAATTTGTTGTAGATCTTTACTCCTCTCCCCGTCCCCGCTGCAGTCGATTGTCAAAAATAGATTATTATTATGCCGTCTGCCTCAAGAGTCAAAAGTTTATTCCTTCCAAGGGCCCAGCATTTAACTGGCCCTGCCCCGCCATGTGGTGCAACTTGTTAAATGGGTGTACTGGTCGACTGGAATGCAATTGATGTCTTGGTCGGTGCCGCTTCGGCAAATGGAACGCTACTACGGATACAAGTAAAATTCCCATTCCCAGTGGCTCGCTTCACCACGAACGCCTAGACAAGTCTGGACTCGGAAGACGTTGCGGTTCGCACTCTGAGATGGTGTCCCCCGTCATCATGGGCTGATTGCCTTCGATACGATCCGCGTATTGTTCACGCCCGAAACTATCTGGCGCTGACGCCGCTGAGGGATATTTCAATGTTCAGTCTTCTGCGAACCGATTGACAACAGTCTACATCAGGTATCTCGTGATTGCGAGGAACTACGTACGCAGTAGCCTTCCGGAATGTGGGAGTCAATCCGCCACGATGGTCGACCAGGCTTTTCTAGTTCCGCCCCGGCCTGGACCCTTGATGAGCAGTGGCCGATAATACGCGGCTGAGTCTGCATCGATACAGACTTTCAGTCGGAGGCGTAAGCAGCCGATCGCTGTTCTCGCACTTGGCTGTGTGCAATTGCACGTATCAAGCGAGCAAGTCTAGAGCCTTGTCGAATGCTAGCACTTGATTCGCGGGGACTTGGCATCACCAGAGCTCAAAAAAACCTGGCGTGCCAACTGGCGTGTGCCACCAGTCCGCCTATACAGCACAAGAGGGCCAACCATTTATGACTCGATGACTCTGTTATCCAGCCATGATGCGTTTGTGCTAGGTGCAGTGACCACGCATGGTTCACAGTTGAGCAATCGTACATGTACTGCCATTCGCCATGAAGCAGGTCACGGTTGGATAAAGTCCGATACGGCCAGAGCTTCGCTGCCAAGTCCAGCTCCCAGCAACACCGCCCTCGCCCGCCATTCCTCACGTCTTACCTCGCTCGTACCACGTGCCCGTCCGCTCGATCCTCTCCACAGCCTTTTTCATATCCTGGATGTAATATCGGCTGGGATATTCTCGCACGGCTCTCGGCAGCATGGGATACCAAAACGCAACATAGTACGACACGCAATAGTACAAGCCTGTGCTGAGCGCGGTTGTCTTGAAGCCATATTCCTCCCGGAGTCGCTCGGGGAGCCAGTGGATGGTCATCAGCCTGGCAACGGGTATGTTGGGCAGCGCCCAGAGGGGCATGGCCTTGGGCCACAGGAGATCCGTCCCCAGCTTCCGCGCCCAGTCGGTGACCTCGAGCGTGTTGATGTTGTGATGCCAGTAGGCCCAGAAGTCGTCGAGAGTGGCGGGCCACATCTCGGGCGGCATCCGCAACGAGGTCCCGTACACGCTGCTCTCCCTGTACAGCACCTCCTGCCTCTCGCGCGACACTTTGCCAAAGAAGGCCTCGTGGACGACGATGATGGCGACAAAGAGCGTCGCGGCCGTCCACTTGTGCAGCTCGGGGTCGTCGGCATAGTACCCTTCGCCCTTGATGTTCTTGTGCGCGGCGTGGATCACGCCAAAGATTGCCTCTTGCTCCGCCCGTGTGCCAAAGACGGCCGCGTTCAGGAAGCGCGCTGTTGTCTTGAGGCGGTTCATGATGCGGTAGGCAAAGTTGGAATGCTTGAAGGAACCCTCTGCCAGCCCCGGGTGAGCGAACTGGCACAGGATGGCGAATTGGCCACCCATGAGGTATATGCCTTCGATGACGACGCCCTTGAGCTCGTTTGGCTCAGCTACTGGCTCGTAGATGTGAGGTTTCTCGATGCGTTTCCGCAGCGCTGCGCCAGAATCGATGGGACACGCCATCTTGTGGATGTACTGCGTCCAGTAGTCTTCTGGGCAGATGAAGTGTGATGATCTTGGCCCTGTGTCGTTGGCTCACATTGGGAATATATATTCTCCAGCCGTCGTTGGTCTGTCTGTCTTAGTGAGTGCCGAGGACCAATCACAGCTCGTACACAGCGAAGTGGTTGCCCCTTCAGGCCGCCGAGGTGGGCGAGTCGAGGAATCATCACGTTGTTACATGCCGAAAGCCTGCGGGGGCACTATCAAGGTGACAACGTATGCTCACAAACAATGGGAAATGTGTTGCTGGGACCATGATTAAATATACATGTGAAGGACGACCGAAATCGGAACTGGCCATATGTCCCCGTCTTTGAGTCCTCCTTTCCAGTCGCCTTTGGCTTTCTATAGAGAGTGACTACCCATGAGAATATTCAAGATAATGGTGATTGTGGGACAGGCTGTCGTAGATGGGAAGATACATCATATGACTTCCACTCCCACTCCCACTTCCACATTTGCGCTGCTTCGTGGCCGCCACTGCACGTGCGTTACAGACGAAGCTCGACTTGTCTAAGAACATACTCGGAGAATTTCACTCTTCCTTTCAGGAAGAGAAGTCGCTTGTCTGCATGTTGCGGAAGACGCCCGTGGAATGGAGTCTATCGCCATTAAACCCACAAGATCACCAGACCAGTCTCGCCTGGAGTACAGCCAACCTGTATGATTATGCCAAAAAGGGGCTCAACATGCTACAAAGTAATGGCTCCGTCGATTCAATGATTTCACACTTTCATCATCAAAACGTATCGCTTAGCTGTCGGTGCACCTTGTGCATACGAGCCGGCCAGTCCAGTTGAGTGCTGTGCCGCATCCTCGCTCTCGACCCCACGTCTTGACCATCAGCGTCGCATATCAGTAACTGTTTCCGTTAGCTCACGTATTTCTTGCGGCAAGACACAGCTACGGCGTCGATCATTGCGTATCTTCTGACAGCCCCCACACCAAGGACCATCCCTCGCTTGATGCCCGCCTCAGCGTCAGCCTCAAGACGTGCGCGTCGAAGCGAACCTGAGTGTACGAACCGGCAAATCACGCCTTACAACACTGTGGCTGGGTAATTCTCCGACGGAAGATCGCCTGTGCCTTAGAGGGGAGCTCCTACGGCGCAAGGAGATGCTACGTTCGGGAAGTCATGATGTGTTCCGCGTGGAGACGACTGTCATCGTAACCGAGAGACATCAACAACAACAATGTCGATCGAATGACACACCAGAAGACTGGACGTCATGAACAGCAACAGCAAGACTTCATGAAGATCTGCATCTGGTGAGAGGGAAGCCAAAAGGTATATAAATGGCTTCGTCGTCCGTACCTAGCCCCTTTTCTCCTCATCATCAACATTGAACTATTCGGTCTACAACAACGAGAACAGCTGCTTCACCACAATCACATACCATTCCCCTAATTTTCCCAAATATCCAAAGACATCACCTTCAAAATGCACTTCACAATGCTCAAGACCTCCGCTGTCGCTGCTGGCATGTTCCTCTTCTCGGGCTCGGCCACCGCCCTCTTCAACTGCAACGACAACCAGAACGCATTCCCTCCCACGCCTGGCAAGTTCGCCGTCCACTACACTTCGGTGCGCGACACCAACACGGGAAAACCATGGGTACGTTCACCATCCTCGAGTGGCCATCCGTCGCCCTACATGAATATAGCTGACCACTTCTCCCTCAGATCCGCATCTGCACCCCCAGCAGCGTGGGCGACTGGGACCAGAGCGGTGTCCTGGAACTCGACTGCGCCGCCGAGTCCAACACCTTTGGCACCGATCAGACCGGTCTCAACGCCAACTTTGTCGTCGTCAACGGCAATGGCTGCAACAGTGACTCGACCAACCTGTCTGGCGCGTCGATGAGCTATGATGGCGAGGAGTACGACCTGCAGAACGCGGGCAGCGAGTGTGGTGACCGTGACCACGGCATCACTTGCGAGTGGGACGTTTAGAACTTTTGTCAAGACCGTGGCTTGTTCGTGTATGGTTTGGCAGGGCTGGACCCTGTGGTTGCCATGAGCCGAATCACTGCCCCTTGTATGCACATCTGGACAATTCTGAACAGTTCGATGACTGGACTCTCAGGTTGCGTCATGGGATTCGACTGAAGAAACAGATAGCGCTCTTGATTCATAAACTGATCAATGGTACAAAACATTATCCTAGACTAGAGACCTTTTCGCCCTCGCTCCTGATCAAATCAATCAGACCTTGTGAAAATCGCTAAATCTCAATGCATTCATCTCTCCGCCCCGACGTCCCTTAGCTTGCGCATCCACTTGTGCGTCCCTGTACGCAGCACACATGTACAGGCAAGACTCCTGTCCCTCATAGTCGGGCGCTCTTTGTCCGCCGAGGGCGTCTCGACGGTGAGCGCTTTCGGCCAGGGCCACCAGCCACTTAGGGGCATCTCGGGGTAGAGCACGTTGAAGCATTTTCTCGACCTGGCCTCGTAATGGACACCTTTAGGCCGGACCAGGACCAGGCGTCTGCCCGCTCAACGTTGCATGTGCCCAGTGTGACCCAGTGCAGGTCAAAGTTGATGATGGTCTGGGAGGAGCGCGCATACACATCCAGGCGGCCTATCCATCCTCGGCCTACAGTGGCATATGACCTCGAGTGCTTGCTCGTGATTTCTTTTGATGGGCGTAGTTTAATGTCCTCGTGGCCTGGTATGATATTGGTAGGGGGACTCCAGTGGAATCCCATTCTCATCATGCGTGGGACATTCTCGGACCATATGACCAACTTTGCACGCCAAAAGGGCTGGGTGGCCGCCTGAGTTGATGCGCCTGGCAGGATGTCGATGATGTTGGTCCGGGAGGAGAGATGAAAGACGATGTTTGGCTTATGTCCCAACTCGAATTGGTACCAGTTTGCTGGTCGGACTCTGTCCCAACGCGCCTCGAGCAGTGCCATCGCATGTAGCGAGGGGCCTAGGCTGTCGTACGCCGGTGGTGGCTGGTTGTCGCTCATGTTGTTTTGAGGCGTTATGGTCTGGTGGTCGGGCATCAGGGAGATTCAACGCTGTGCGGAATTGTATTTGAGGTTGAGGATGTACGTAGCAAGACGAATTGAGAAAGGGGGAACAGAGGCTTGGATGGCCTTTTATATACATGACAGACGTATTGTATGAACTTTAAAATACCGTGTTTATTATGTTCAAGTTTATTGGGATGATAGTTTGAAGCTTGGCTAGCTGATGGTTTGAGGCTTTCGCAAGCTTTCGTTAGGAAGGCACATCACTCCAAAGGCGCTTGTCGCACACTTGCTGCGTCAATTCAACGGACAAGTGCTGAGGAAAGCACGCTCCCTCCTGGATGCGACAGTTGCTCGATGCTTGAGCTCAATTTCGCGATGACGAGTGGATGGTGAGGCGCTCGTATAGATAATGTACATCGTGGCTTGGAGGCGCTCGATAGCGAGCTGTCGTCCGGGTGCGGGCCGAGCGTCAATAATAAGTTATAGCGTTAAAACCTAATTTTCAGCCTCTGAACTCTGAAGTCTGAAGCATAACTTAATTAGAGTTAAGATGTCTCTGAGTCTGCAACGCGCTGATCACTGGCGAAAGCGAGACACAAGCGACGTGTAATCCGAACACTGATGGATTTAATTTATTACCGGCGACACCCAAGGGGCTCTCGCAAAAGGTAAAAGGCCTGTGGAGCTCATAAAAAAGAGAAAGCGTAAATTGGTGCACGCATGCGTGGCCTCCTGAGTGGCGCGTTTCAGCGTGGAGTCTGACTCGCTGCGCAACATGCCATTGATGGGGCAGATAGTCATCGCCTCTCCCTAATCTGTCTATCTGGCACGAAACAAACGGCCAATCGGTGTCCCAACTGCCGGTGGACGATTGAATCACGGAGGGGCCAGTGGATGGCGGCGAACGGCTCGCGCGAGGAGCTGCCTTTTCGAGGTCCAAGGACGACTGGAGATCATCCATCGCAAGCCCCTGACTGACTGACTGACTGAATTGCCGCCTACCAGCGACTGGACCGACCAGCCGTCCGTGACATTGCGACAGGCCGAAAACGCACAAGACTGGAGGACGAAGATCCGAAGGATGACCTGCCAGCAGCCAGCAGTCAGGGGAAGACGACGACGAACCTTGTCCCCTCGACAGGGAATATCCCAGCTACTCCACAACCATCAACCGCCAGTGGCTGACAGCAGTCTTCACTTGCATTCCATACTGCCTTGTTTGGCCTAGCACGAAGCCTGAGCCGCACCGCCCATGACCGTTCATCAAACGAACGTCGAGCGGCTGGTGCGTGGCGGCGTGAGCCTCATTTCTCCAGTCCTTTCTCTCGAGTCTTCCTCGTTGCGGGTGGTCTCGACGACAGTCCGACTAGACGCACCGGCGACCCGCGACCCAGGCAGGAGTCCATCAGGACTCAGGACCACATTATCTGCAACGAGCAGTCACCTACGGAGTACGTAGTACTGTACGTACATACGTACGTAGCACCCATGGCTCATCATTTACTATGGATGGCACCCACATGCACGATCCCTGGCCATGAAGGCTTCTTCTGGAGACTGGCTTACAGACCCCTGTGAACCACTCTCCTCCACGTAAGATGATAGATGCCCATCCGCCCGCCCTATGGCCTTTCCCCCCACACTCGCGGGCTGACAGATGAAGGTCCCCTTTCCTTGGCTGCCATTGTCGTCGTCGTCCTTGTCCTCACCTTGCCAAGTTCTTCATCCTCGTCCTGTTTTGTCTGTCGTACGCCACTGTTTGCTGCTCGTACCAATGTGTTTGTCGCTCTGAATACCTCCCACCACACTCATTTGAATACTCCCCCTCCCCCACACGGTCCTTACCTCAACTCAGATCAGACCCAGACATCATCACCATGGCCGTCGTTCCAGCTTGGCTTGCTGGGCCCGCCGCCAGCGAGAAGAAGCGGCGGGGTCCCTTCACGCGCACATGCCTCTTCGCCGTCGCCGGCTTGATGGCCATTGTTTTCCTCGCGTATAGCATGGCGTATATTTTCTTCGAGGACCTCGTGCCCAGCGTCGTTCCCACGTCCAAGCAGGGCGATGAGACCGCCGCAATGGTCTCGCAGGCGCCCTCACACAGTCCGCAACCAACGCCTGAATCCGAGCCGGAACAGGAACAGGAGCCAGAACCAGAGCCGGAGCCCCTGATCACCATGAACGTCAGCCAGCCAGAGTCTGTCAACCAGCTGCACTGGGACTCGAGGCTGTACAATGACGACGAAAAGTACGGCCTCCGCCCGCAGCAGACATTCCACTCGTCCGACATCAAGAGTCCGCTCTTCCAGGTCAACACCTTCAAGCCCCACGCGGTGGATGGCAACCCCTACATCTTCATGACCCCGTCCGTCAAGGACCAGTCGTCGGGCGTCCAGATCTTCTCGCGCAAGGACCTCTCCCTGGTGTACGCCCAGTACGGGTGGAAGTCGACCAACAACTTCCGACCGCAGGAGTTCAACGGCAAGCAGTACCTCTCCTTCTGGCAGGGCGAGCCGGCCACCGGCCACGGCCTTGGCCAGGGCATCCTCCTGGACGAGCACTACGACGTGGCCTACAACATCTCAATCAACGCCTTCAACTCACGCGCTGACTCGCACGAGTTCCAGCTGACCCACGATGGCGGCGCCATGTTCTCCGTCTACGAGACCGTCCGCAACTGGGACATGCGTCCGGTGGGTGGGCCCGAAGACGGCGTCCTCCAGGACTCGGCGTTTGAGGAGGTCGACGTGGTCACCGGCGAGACACGGTTCGCATGGCGTGCCTCGGACTGGTTCTCGATCGAGGACACGACGGTGGGCTACAACGACGTCGAGGACTACGGCCACCCCACGCACGACGACGGCTGGGACTTTTTCCACATCAACAGCCTCGAGAAGACGCGCGACGGCAACTACCTCGTCAGCGGGCGCCGGTGCAAGGTCCTGACGCTCATCAACGGCACCTCGGGCGTGCCCATCTGGATCATTGGCGGCAAGAGGAACCAGTACGCCGACCTCTCCGACGGCATGGCCACCAACTTTGCCTACCAGCACCACGCCCGCTTCGACAATGACGACGAGACCGAGATTGTCATGTTTGACAATGCGCAGCTGGCCAACACGCAGCCCAGCCCCGGCTGCCAGGCCGAGTGCTCGCGCGGCCTGCACATCCGCATGAACCACGAGAACAAGACAGCCGAGGTTGTCCGCTCCTACTGGCACCCCAAGAGCGTCCAGGCGCGCGCCGAGGGCGGCGTCGACAGGCAGCCTAACGGTAACCTGCTCGTCGGCTGGGGTAAGGTCCCCGGCTTTACCGAGTTCTCCCGCGAGGGCGAGGTCCTCCTGGACGTGCAGACGGGCCCGTGGACGGCGGACGGCAACGCACACGTCTACCGCATCTACAGCCGCGACTGGGAGGCGTATCCGCCCTGGGACCCCGAGGTGGCTCTTTTTGAGAGCAACCTGTACGTCAGCTGGAACGGTGCCACCGAGTTGGCGTACTGGGCTATGGTAAGTGAAATCGACCTTAAAGTGAGAAGAAGGGAACATGGACTGACAGACGATACAGTATACGGGCGAGACCCGCGAAGATCTCAAGGTCGCCAAGGTCGTCTACCGCGGCGGATTCGAGACAAAATTCTCGATACCCGCCGAGGCCAAGTATGCTCGTTTCGCAGGCCTCGACGCCGAGGGCAAGCTGCTGGGCAGCTCTGACATTATCGATACACAATCAGGTGAACGGGTGAAAGCTCAAGGGCCGGCTGAGATTACCTTTACGTTAAATCCCCACACACTTGTGTGATGAGGGGGTCGCAATGATGTCTTCTATGATAATACTTTTTTACTTTCAAATACATGTCCGTAACGATGATCGATCCGAAAAAGCTCTGACTGATGGATGGGTTCATGGTTCATCTGTGGCCACGGCCATTCGCATGCTGGAGAGGAGGTTCCGTCCAGCATGAGATTGTCCGTACACATCCCCATCGAACAGCCCTGTAGCATCCTTTTCCATACCAGACCGGACCAGAGTCGCACCACCGGGATGCTCCCTGACAAACCCTTCAACATGATTGACGGTATGGTCAATGATAACGTCATGTCCCGTCCTGGCCTGCTCCTCGTACTCCCTACATCTAGGTACTAGGCAGCACATGTTGATCATGAGAACTTCCTGCCATGGGTAGAACTGGGAGAACTTCATAAACAGGTGCCTAACTTGACGTCCAGTCCCAGCGCCTCTTCAGCCATGGTATCCGCCCCGGTCACCATCGCGTTTCTACTCACCATACACCGGGCAAAGGTTCCCCTGGCTGGTTTCGTGGCGATCTGCCTCCTGCAGGTGCTGTTCTCCTGCTGAAATCAGTGTTTGCTCGCGGATCGGGCAAGGAGGGAGAAGCATTGTGGAAAAGGCACGGTTGATGTTGACGTTGAATTGGAAATGACAATGACTGTCACCAGGCTCAGGTTGATTAGAGTCCAGACTGTGAAGGGTAGGACGCGCGTTGATTGGCCATTTTACCTTACATAATCACACGTCATACGTAGCAGGTGCGGCCCAGCGCGAAGTCAGGAGCTTCGGGCTTCGACGCCCAACGAAGACTTTCTGCACATCGAGCATCACAGTTCTCAACCACGATCGGGCCCTGAAGAATTCCAACAGCGTTGCCTGTCGCGGTGCTCAGCTCTGTTCATCACTTGAGCTTCGCATCCTGTGAAAGCCGAACGCGCAGCCTCAGTTTTCACTCTCCTTCTAGACGTGACTTGCTGGCAGACGAGATCTGATCCACGAGAGCACCAATGCGCCCAGCTAGACTTGCTAACCCAGACATGATGCTTTGCATAGCCAAATAATGGGCAAAGGGAGCAAGAAGAAGCCGCAGAAGGCGGCGGCTGGTCCCAAAGACCGGCACAAACGCTATGCCAGGCTGCTACAGGATCCGCAAGCGCCCCTGCCAGCCAACCTGGTCGCACGGCCAGACGTCCCCAAGGCCAACTCGAAGCACCACTCGTACTTTGAGTTTGTCGAGAACGAGGACAAGAAGAAGAAGCTGGAATTCCAGGTAGACCGATGGCGCGCCGTCTGTTTCGAGCAATGTGGATGTACTTACTGGGCGTCCAGGTCACGACCAAGAAAACGCCGCCCCCAGGCTTCGAGTTCGTCCCCTTGGGCCATCCTGCCCTGACGAACGCGTGCAAAGAGCTGTCGCGCGAGAAGGATGCCATGATCTTCATTGTGTCGGCACGTCTTGCCCGCAACCCCCCTGCGCCTTTGGCTTGGGTTCCTTGAGCGAGCGAGCGAGCGAGCACTGACATGATCCAGGACGCAAAGGAGACAGACCCCAAGAATCTATCCCATCACATCTACCGAACTGGCCACCACGTCCGACAGGCCATCGCCGACGAGGCGCGAACAACCCTCGAGAACTACCCTGCGGCCTTTCAGGCGGTCGACGGCCCGGAGCCGCTCCCCAAGACCCAGGATGAATACACTGCGCAGGTCAACTCGGTCATGCTCGATCTATTCCCGCGTATACCACACACAGATCGTCAAGCGATCATCATCCATGCCTTCAACCTGGTCAGTCCGGCCACATAATGGCGTGACGTAACGCCCGTGCTGACACGCCTCACAGTCGGCTCTAGGCCAGGCACAGAAGCCGGTGGGACTTGTTACTGACATTCCACTGTCACGCAGGGTGCAGCTCGCCGTCCTAGCGCACATTCGCCACAACCACACCAGGTACGACAAGTTGCTACGTGAAACGAACTGGGAAACTGCTCGCAAGGTGGTGGAATCTCTTTGCCTCGACATCCTCGTCAAGTGGCGAGGGGACGAGGAGACCGGCCGTGACCAGCTCGACGAGATCCTCCGCGAGGTGGTCGTCATCTCGGACTCGGACTCGGAGGAGTCCGACGACGAGGACGACGGCGACACCGAAGACTCGTCTGCTGACGACGCAAAGGGCAAGGCCGCGATGGCCGGCCCTTCTCAGCCAGGAGCCGAGCCCAGGCCTCCAGTGCAGCAGCAGCAGCAGCAGCAGCAGGCTGCGCGGCCACCGGCCAGAAAGCAGGCGCAGCGTGGGTTCAAGCGTTACCGCGCTTGGGAGGAGGCGATTGAACGAAGTCGTGGTGATGACGACGTGCTCGTTCCTCCTCCTCCTCCTCCTCCTCCTCCTCCTCCTCCTCCTCCTCCTCCTCCTCCTCCTCCTCCTCCTCCTCCTCCTCCTCCTCCTCCTCCTCCTCCACGCGAACCATCCGTTGGTCAACCCATAGCTTCCCCTGGACACACAGCAACCCATGTTGCTGCCGGCATGGTACCGCAGCCAAACGGATTCGTGTCTCGACCCCATCCCAATCATCCACCAGGCCACGTCGTGCGCGAGCAGGTAAGATATCACGACCCGCAGCGGACAACGCCAGGTCGCTCGCGCCACGTCACGCCCGTCACAGACCGTCTGCAGGACATGCTCGTCCGGTCTATTGAACCGGTCTCGCCCAACAGCGTGCAGCCATCCTTTGTGCGGACCGTGCCCCCAAGGCGTCAGCCCTCCCCAGTGGGGGCCTCTATGCATCACCCCATTGTGATCTCCTCGCCCATTCAGGACGGCCCTGCGAGTAGGCCTTTTTACGTGGAGCGACGTGTCGTGACAGACCGTCCGCCACATGAGCAGGCGTACGCAGGCGAGCCCTTTGGTCTGCAGCCCGCGCCTCGTCTCCATCCACCCGTACACCAACCATTGTTCCCATCCCGTGGCTACGATGTCGGTGCTCCCCCTGGCGCTCCCCAGCGTGTCGCCGTAGATACAGGACGGCCCGGTGAACGGTCCAACCCAATCCTTATGGAGGATCGAGGGGGCTTTTTCGAACGAGTGCGCGAGCCAGCGCAAGCACCCGATCCACTTGGACCGGTGCACTCTGGGCAGAATCCGTGGATGACAGGCCACGCACCCAGCCGAGCGCCGGACAGAGTCGTTCCTTGGGACGAGGGATCTCGCATGCTGCATGAGAGCCGGCATGACAGAAACATGGAAGCCTTTCCAGCTCCAGGCCCCCAGACTCTCCCTCCCGAGGCTCGTCCTCACATGGCTCACTATAGTCAAGCAGGCCCACGACATCCCGAGCCCATGTTCGCGCGAGTCGAACATCCAGCGGGCCAAGCTCATCCTGGGTAAGCCTGCTTTGGACTGGCGATTGCGCATCTGTATTGCCCAGCTGGACACTCTCTGACACCAAGTAGATATCATCTCCCTTACGATCAACCCCCACGACCTCTTCCTCACGCTCCGCCTCACAGTAATCACCCAGACTTCGGCTTCAACCTGCGACCTGAGCCGAGGTTGCCTCCATACGCTCATCCACCGCCTCGTCAGTGATTCTACTGGCGACACGCTGGTCTACCGCATGACTCGGTTTCGTTGTTGCTCAAGGGAGCATATTACGTTTGGTTGGCAATGTATGGACGTATACGCATGGCGAGCAATTGTCGGCATCAGTTATATGTATAGCCGTATGTATTTCGGCGTTGGGCGGAGAGCATGGAAGATACCCCCCTTTGGAATTTAGCAGGCAGACTTATCAAATGCGCAATGGCAATGTGGTGACATTTGGTTCAGATTCAATCCGGGTATTCTCTTCTCTACGTGAACTACTATAGTGATACTTTTCCTAATCCTCTATCTATCTCCGACCCCTCGGCTTTCCAACGCCACCGGGCGAGTGTCCCTTCTTCTTCTCGACACCGAGACCTCTCCTCCCAGCAGCGATGCCACCTTTGCCAGTCCGACCTCCAGGTCCTGCTCCTCCTCGTCCCCCACGACCACCACCGCCGGGCCCTCCTCGTCCGCGGAACTTGCCGCCTCCACGAGGACTCATCTTGTTCTTGACCGCGACGGCGTCCGCCTCGTCCATCTCGACCTCATCATCGTCGTCGGGTCCTCGCCGCTTGTTGGAGAACTTGAGCTTGCCGCCTCGTCCCCGCGTCGCGACGTCCTTGCCCTTGAGCGCAGCGACGTAGGCGCCCACACCCGAGTTCTCGGGCTGCGCCGCCTCGCCGTCCACGTCCATGGCGTCGTCGCCGTCGCCACCGAGGATGAGTTTGCCGTCCAGGTCGACCTTGACCTTGGACTTTGTGGGACGGCGCATCTTGGATGGTTTGACGGAGGAGATGTTGGCGAGGGCGGTCTTGTCGAGGAGATCGAGGGGTTCGTCCTCGTCCTCGACAATGTAGGTCTTGCCGCCCTTTTGTGACTTCCTAGCCCGTGGCGCGGCAGCCTCGTTGTCGTCCTCGTCCTCGTCATCGGACCCCGAGTCCGAGTCGCTGCTGTACAGTGCCTGCTCGTAGGCATCGTCAAACTGCCCGCCATTGCCCTCATTCTCGCTGTCGTCCTGATCCTCCTCCTCGCCGTCCCGGGACTGCTTGGCGGCGTCCTTCTTCCGCTTGGCGCGCTCCTTGGTCTTGCGGATGTTGGTGAGCAGCTTCTTGTCCGCCTCGGGGCAGTGGTTGTTCACATTGTCAAAGCCGAAGCGGCGGATCATGCGCTCGAGGATGTTCTTGACCTTGGACTTGAAGTGGCCCTTGTGCTCGTGGCTCCAGACAATGAGGTTGGGCACGAGCGTGGACAGGCGCGGCATGACAATCTCGACGGGCAGGCTGATGACGCACGTCTTGACAAAGCCGAGACACGACTTGACAATCTCGCGGTTCTTGTGGGTGAGGAATATGTCCATGGTCGAGACGAGCTCGGCGATGGACTCCTTCTGCAGCTCGTTGCGGAACGCAAAGAGGACGCGCGAGAGCGCCGTGATGCAGGCGGAGATGGACGTGGCGCTGTCGCCCATGAGACCGGCGTTCATCATCACGAGGTACTCGTCAATGCTGGCCTGGGCGGGAGGCGCGTCGGGTCCCATCTTGGGGATCTTGGTGCGGTCAATGGTGGTGCCGTTGGTGTCGATCATGCGTTGACCCATCTGCACCAGGAGCTCGTAGGCTCGCTCGCGGGCGCTCTCATTGTTCTCCTTGCAGCACATGACGACCTCCTCGAGAACGGTCGGGATAAAGTGCAGGCTGTCGTCGGGGATGAAGAGGAGGAGGGCCGAGATGGCGGCCAGACGCTCGCGGCGGGCAGGCGAAGAGACCGTCTCCTTGCTCGAGACGAGAAGCTGCTGTAGATCGGCGGAGCGCTCCTTGAGGGCAGCCTTGCCGGTCTCGGACTCGACAAGTCGCGGGATAAGCTTGTAAGCCTTCTTCTGGAGCTGGGGCTCGGCTTGACGGTTGATGACAATGTTGGCAATCTCAAACAGAGCACCGAAGCTCTCCCTGGGCAGATAGATGGCAATCGTAATGACGAGGTCCATGAGAGCCTGTGCAGCCGAGGGCATGTGGTCCTTGCCCTTGGCTTGCTGCTGGCTCTTGTCCTTCTCGGCGGGTTGCTTCTGGAGCTCGCCAGCCAGCATCTGGCAGATGCCGTCGAAAGTGGACGTGACCTTGGCGACGGGGGTGATGCTCAGGAAGGCGTCGATTGTCTGGAGAATGGGCCCGCCGCTCTGCGGGAGGGTTTCGGTGTAGATGTTGAAGAGCACGGGCAGGACATTCTCGCCGAGTCCGCCCAGGATCGTGAGATTGTCTTTGGCCGCCTGGCGGGTGATTCTGTGCTGGAGCACGAGGTTTTCCTCGCCCTCGTCGTCGGTGGCGATGGCCTTGTTCGACTCGACCAGGACCTTGAGTGCGCGACAGACGACCAGACGGAGACTCTCGCGCTCGTATAGGACGGTGCCCAACGTCTCACCGAAGGACTGGTCGAACGCCTCGGGCAAGTCGAGGGGAAGGTCGCAGAACCCAGGGAGCGTCTCCCACACTTGCTGCACGAGAGTTTCGTAGATCTTGGCCTCCATGCCCTTGTCGGCCTTGGCGCGGACAAGAGCCACCTGGTGTAGCTGGTTGCTCAGGGGTACCAGCTGGTTCTTGAAGTAGGAGAGGTTCGTGTTGCTCACGTAGTCGCGCAGGACCGGCATCATCCACGCGCGGGCAGTGGGCCCCCCTGCGGTGGTGTCGAGGTTGAGCGGCAGAATCGTCAGGACAGTCTCGGGGCCCATGGCGCGGATGGCCTTTCCAAGCACAGTGTCGGCCTCCTTCTTGCTCCGGAACGAGGGGCTGTCGCGAATCTCGCCAACAACCTTGGTGACGTTGAGCAGGCTGGGCGCGGATCGCCACCGCAGTGCGTCGAACATGGCGCCGAGCACGTGGAAGGTCTGCAGCCAGGCAGCCTGGTACTGCACGGTCAGGAGAGACTCGGCTGTCTTGGCGATCTTCTCAATGGTCTTCTCGTCGTAGATGGAGGCGTCGAGGATGACGGATTCGGGGACACAATTGGCCATGAACGAGGCCAGGCACTCGGAGGCGGAGATCCGGATGTTCTCTGATGGCGAGCCGAGGAAGCGAGACACCATGGCGAATATTTCCGGTAGCTTCTGGAACGTATCGTCGGGTTCAATGCGGGCGGAGACTTCGTATCCGCGGGACAGGATGGCCACCCATGGGGGCACAAGCTGTGTGTCGTTGTCGGCAGGTCGCAGCTGCGAGATGATGTCCATCAGTCGAGGCAGCTTGGTGGAGGAGACCTCATCCGTCATGCCCTCAAAGATCTCCTCAAAGATCTCGAAGACGGCCATTGTCATGTACTCGTTTCCGGTCTTGGCGATTCCCAGCAGCATCTCGCACAGGGACTCAATCTCCTTGCTGGGCCAGCCTCCACTCGCCACAGCCACCGTCTTGACGAGCTGCAGTCCGTGGATCATGGCAGGGTCGTTGCCAGTGTCGCCTTTGCGGCCCTTGCGCTCCTTGACCAATTCCTCGAGATGCTGGGCAGCCCAGTGGGCAATGAGGTCGGCAGCAGGGTGGTCGAGAGACGGGCTTGGCGGCGGGTTGCGGAGCACCTTTTTGATCGCATCTTGGGCCCGTCGGCGGATCTTAGGTCGCGGGTCGAGAGAGAAGGTGAGAAGCCCAGTGACGCCTCGTCGGGGGCTGGGCGATGTTTGCGGAAGCTCCCACGACCGCGCATCTTGCACGACCAGGAGCGACTCAAGGCAGCCCAGCGATGCCCTGAGCAAGCTAGCCTCGGCTTCCTGGATGCTCAGGACGGGGACGAGCAGCTCGAAGACCTGTGTGAAGCGCGAGCGCAGGAGCGCCTCGGGTGCGTATGGCGTTACCACATCGAGAAGGTAGACGAAGGGCTGGATCTTCTTGGTGTCGACATTCTCTCCGTTTCCAATCAGACTGCGCAAGACGCCCAGGATCGCGGAGAAGTATGTATTCGAGTCGGGACGCAGCTTCTGCTCTTTGATGGTGGATTCTATGGATTGAAGAGCGAGGACGTTCTGGAGGGGTCAGTTAGCAGGAGGATCCTCGGGGGTGTGGACATGTTTGTTTCGTACAGTCGACTGGCTCTGGAGACCAGGAGACTTGATCTTGTCCAGCTTTTCCTCCAGCGTTGGCCCTTGGTTGGTGGCCATTTTGACTGGTCGTTATGCTGAATTGGACGATGGAGAGCATCGGTGTAATTATGCGACTGAGGACTGGATTGGACTGACTGACCCGTGCCAAAAATTTCCACCCAAAAAATCCTTATCGGGTAGTGGCGGGGTCCGATAAGGGTGGAGCGGCCGGCTTGGGGCAGACACTAATGCACCGTCAGAAAGGCGTGCCCAACGCCTGCCTATTTGCACGCTATTAAAGTCAAACTTTTGTAAACAACATGCCGTAAATTCACGTCTTTGAGTCCTGCAGCACGCTTGACAACATTTGATAAAGGCACTTGTCTCTCTGAAAACCTAGGTGATGGGCTCATCTGGACATTCAGAGGCGTTTTGGTCACCGCATTGCACTCTACATCTGCTAGGTTGGGCCATCCGCCACGTCTATTTGACGTGAAAAGACCCGCCTGTGAGAAAAGGGGCAAAGTGAGAGATGGAATCATGGAAGGCAGCTGGATCGGGCGCAACTGTCTGGCAGTGGATTTCTCAAAGCACTCCCTCCCTTCACATGAAGTGATCACTGGCTGGCAGCAAAGAGGACGACAGACACGGTTGGCCGCCATCAACCATACGGGGGGCATGACTGGAACCAATCCACACGCCTTTCGGGCAGTATTTTGGCGACATTGGGAACACTCATCGCTTCACACTGCTTTTCCAAAATCTGAGTCCGCTTGTACTCTGTGTAGCTTCCATTTGTCGCTGTCTTGTTACGCTTTGCATCCCCTACTCAGGTAGTCGCCCATGTTCTGCGCCCTCTATGCATGCCAGCATGAGCGCGTGTCCCTCAGACTTAATGTAAGATAAGTGTATATCCGCCAGGCATATCAATTGCGTGAACAGGAATCACAGCAGGATTCCTAGGGCCACCCATGTTTTCTGGCCGTTGAGCTTCAGCGGTACTGTGTGTCCGACCCCTGCGCTGTGCTGCGACAAATGGTCCTTTTGCTTCTCGAGCACGTCGTGCAGCGTGGAACATGGCCGGCATGAGTCGCTCGCCGCTGGTTGGGGGCACACCGGGTCCAAATAAGCTGCTTACGAGAGGAGCCACAGGACCGCGTGTGACTAGTTGTCTTGGTTGAGAGTTGTGGCTCGGGCCATTGGCTTCCGAGGCTACGCGATTTGACATGTTCGAAGTGTCGAGAGGCCGAGATGCATTGAGTAAGAGATTTATCGTTGGTTTGTAGGGTATCGGACGCTTTGCTTGCGTCCTCCGTCAAGCAGAGGGCCTAGAGATTTAGGGAGAGTGTGTGGTTGTCAACAGGAGAGGGCAGTGGTCCTGCAGCGTCAGTACACGCGTGACCTAATACGACTTTCGTCGACCGATTCTCGTGATAAACACATGGCCGAATAAGGTATGCGCGGTTGGGCCTGAACTTTGTTTGATGATATTAGCTCTGTGTAGCGCAGGTTTAGCTAGGTATGTAAGCCTTTGCCTCCGGAGAGGGTGACTGTTCATATCGCTGAGACTGTTGCACCACGAGTGGTATCACCATGCCTCTTCACTTTGGCTGGAGTTCTTCCCAGTGCGCACGTGTGGACATTTGCTGTGAGTTCTAGTTTGATGCAGCTGGTAACTAGCCGATGTGGTGAGGTTAGCACGTTCCACAAACAGGAATGGAAGTTCGCGTGTAAAAGACACCAATAGCAACTAGACTCCTAATAGTGCCTAGGAGTACCTGTTTCCTCATTAATGCACCTTATCTTGTTACCTCAGCTCGCTGGACGATGCCACCAAATTGCTGACTTGGAGTACGTCCAAAAGCAAGGTGGTTGGGATCAAATAGCAGGAAGACTTGGCTGGTTCTCATCGCAGGCTAACTTGGTGGTGAGATTGACCAAGGAACAGCTGTCTTTTCTGAACAACTTCTTGATCGCTAGAATCAGAGGAGATCAACGGTTCGAGGACTGAGTCGGATGGAAGCGCGTCGGGTGGAATCAGGGGTAGAGCTTCGAAGGTGACGGTAGCGACAAAGCGATCTATAGCTGCGGCCCAAGGATAGATGGTCGAGATTGACGGTACTCGAGGTTGAAGAGCCTATACCCGACAAAGGGGGCACGTTGTTGACTCACAAACGATGTATGTCCTATGGACTCCGACCAGTCTTTCTCCTACGACCAATGAATACGAGCGTACCGTATCGTTCTCCCTGACTGATCTTGGCTCTCTGCTTATCGTAGGTTGACCGAGAGACGGTCTCTGTTGATAATACGTACCGGAGAGTTCCTAGAATTGAGCTAACGGGAGGATGTCACAAGCTACTAGCATCGCTTGCTGCTGAAAAAGCTCATGTGGTGATGCCTGTCAGACTCTTCTTGCATTCGACAAGCTCTGTAGAATCGCCTGAACTTCGAACCCCCGAGTATCGACATGACCAGGGCGGTAGCCACTAGGTAATGGTTAGGTCAGGCCGTGAGAGAAGCACACCAACGCGCATAGCGCCCATAATGATCGGCCCATGCTGTGCCAAGCTGTGATCGCCGCTGGTGTCCTAATTGTTTGCCATTTGGCATGACTCCTGCATCTTATTAGTATTTATTATTGAATAGACATGGGTCACTATTTGATGTGTTATGAACTGAGACATGACGTCGTCTTGGCACTACCAAGATGTAGATCTGAGATCCGGAAGGACAGCGGTGTACACATCCCACAAGTGGGCATTATCTTCCTTCTATCAGCGACTTGATCATGTGGTATTCCCAGCCCACGGGGGATCGGGAGAGACTGCGGCTCAACATGTTCGTCGCGGTGCAAAGATCCAAACAGATCTTGGTGCTTTGGGTGTGCTAGCCTCGTCAAGCTCCTTCTGTGTGCAACAGACGGTGAGCTGGTGTAAGATACAGAGCATCTCAAGTGAAATGAAAGGACCAGCTCAGCGATTCAGCATCCAGACCCTAATTTCATCAAAAACATTGCGTTGCTGATCAGTCCTTGCCTGTTGACGATCGATATCAATCTCCCCTGTGTAGAAACTCAAGAGCGAGATACGGAGTCATGGACCGCCTCCTCCATGTAGTCGGCGTTACCATAGGAGCTTTCCGCGCGATATGTGGACCTACAGAACCCATGTCTGGCACTCTGGCTAGCCGCAGGAGTGGAACCTGTCACTTGTCAGATCTCAGAACAAAAGGCGAAGAGCTCTCTCATCGTGGATGGCGCACAGCAGGGATGCGTAACGTGTGCGCATGTCCCTGTCTCGCAATTTCGACGGAGCCAGAAAGTCTCCGTAGTCGCGGCAGTTGTGTCGCAATCGAAGATGGAGCTCGTCTCCTATCCAGAGAGCCATGACGGTTGACAGCAATTCGTGAGTCGGCGGTGCGCTTCTTCAGTGTCGTTCGACTCTTTGATGATGAGACGTCGGCGGTGATAGCCAGTCCGTACGGTCACTACGGTGGACTGGCCTCGCTAGACACCTCCTATTGTACCTAAGCTTGGTTGGACTTGCACAAGAGCCCGCTGTCAGCCTTTCCCGATCAAGTAACAATCGACAGGGACATGCGCATTGTGGATGCATTCGACAGCTGTCATTGGGACAGAGAGATACCCCGGATGCGCGGGGTATCCATAGTCCAATTTCCAGACGCATGGGCCGCTGGAGAACGCCCCTTTCGTCACCCAAGGTGTCCATAAGGTGAGCCACGAGCACGGCAGTTCGTTCGCCAACGGCTTTGCGTGGAGATTCAAGGCTGTTTTCTGTCCTCGGGACACACTTGCGGCTCAAAGTGTGCCGTTGAGCTGAAATCATCGTGTTTCATGCCACGCCAAGATCATAACGTCCCGAAATCAGATATTCGACATATCGTCGACAGGCACCAAACAACAGCCACGTACGTATACTGTGTATGCTTGCTTGGACAACGCTCCACGACCAGCCCACGCCGGTAGGTATGCGTGATTGGGATCGTCCAGCATGCACTGTCCAACTGCAACAAACATCAGCCCGGCACGCAATCCGGGATAAGGTCAACTGCTGTCGCCCACGCTGGCCAGTGCGTGCCCAACGTGAGGTCATGGACGCATGGTTGCACAGGATCCCTGGAGAGGAGCCGCTTCTCCTGACCAGCATCCCCTCGGGAATATAACTAACCAAGAGATCTGTCCATGATCCTTCCTCTTTTTCCATTCAACCAGCCTTCGTTCACTCATTCCCTCAACCACTCCAACGGACCATAGTCACTCTTTCTGCTTCGGCACCACAGTCACTCTTTACTCCAAACCCTCATCATGAAGGCCACCGGTATCATCTCGGTCGCCACTCTGGCGACCGCGGCCTCTGCCGCCCCTCTGCTCGGCGGCGTCCTCGACACCGTTGAGGGCGTTGTCGGCGGTCTCCCCATTGTCGGTGACATCCTCGACCGTGTCCCCGTCACCGACCTCCTCGACGGCATCTTCGCCCGCCTGCCTGTTGACCAGCTCGTCGACAGCCTGCCCGCCCAGGACATTGTCCAGCAGCTCCCCATTGGCGAGATCGTCCAGCAGTTGCCTCTGCAGAACATCATCGACACCGTCAACTCGGGCGTCGGCAGCGTGGCTGACATCCTCCCCGTCAAGCGTGGCTACGTCGGCAACGCCATCTCCGGCGTCCCTTTGGTCGGCAGCATCCTCGACTCGCTCGATGTCACCGACCTGCTTGACGGCATCCTCGACATCCTCCCCGTCGAGGGCATTGCCCAGCGCCTGCCCGCTCAGGACATCATTGACAGCCTCCCCGCTGAGGACATCATCGCCCGCCTTCCCATCAATGATGTGGTTGCGAACATCAAGGTTGCCGCCAAGGCCGACGTCAGCGTCAACAAGCGCGCCGCCGTCGACCTTCCCGTCGAGCTCCCTCTCGTCAAGGCCATCCTCGACCGCATCCCTGTCACTGACCTCCTGAACGGTGTCGTTGCCCGTGTCCCTGTCAAGACCATTGTCGCCCAGCTCCCCGTCAAGGACGTCGTTGCCCACCTCCCTGCTGCCGACATTGTCAAGGCTCTGCCCGTTGCCAACAAGGTTGCCAGCCGCAACGTCCAGCAGCTCAACGTTGTCACCGTCCTCGAGCAGAGCGTTGTCAAGGTCAAGGAGCACACCAAGGTCATCAACGTCACCCTCGAGAAGGTCGACAGCGAGACCACCAACGTCCAGGACGCCAGCAAGATCATCTACGAGCAGGTTTCCCAGCTCAAGGTTGTCCTCGTCGACACTGTCAAGGTTGTCACCAACGATGCTGCCCTTCCCCTTGTCAAGGTCGAGGTCGAGGATCTTGTGGCGGTCGTCAAGACCCTCGTCGAGGAGATCCTGACCACCGTCCTCAACCTGGTCAAGGCCCTTGGTCTCCGCACCAAGATTGTTACCCTCCTCCACGAGATCTTCGCCCTCCTGGCCGACCTCCTTGGCCTCCTGGTCGACATCACCTCCGACCTCGTCCCCAGCGTTGTCGAGATCTTGGACACCTTCCTCAGCGGCCTCAAGGACGGCGTCCTGGTCCCTGTTGCCACTCCTCTCATTGCCTTCACCGTCGGCCTCGTCCAGTAAATAATTAGAGTGCTTGCATGAAGCAAGGCGTTCAATAGGTTTGGTCTTCGGCCTTTTGTGACCACGAGTCTATGAGGGTCAGCAGTAATCGGTTCGAGGCGGGCGGTCACCTTCCGTGACAACCGCTGACACACAATATAATTCATGATGAATATATTTATCAGCAGCATGTTTGCTTGTTTTCGTACCACATTCAGTCGTAAAATCCCTACCGTCACTCTTCTCCTCGTGTCGCCAGTGCTACAATGCTGAATTCAAGGTTCCCGTTCGCATGGTTCAAGAACCTCCTGACACCCTTGTCGAGAGCCTCGTCGCTCAACAGATCAGCGTCCTCAGGCAGCGCACCGCGATCAATGGGACCATCACAGCAGCCCTCCAACTCCCACAAATGACCGTCTTTGCCCTTTGTGAATGCCAGGAAGTGATAGCCGCAAGCCTCGTCCGCCTGAGGGGCACTGGTGTCACCCTTCCTTGCCGACTTCATGAACACTTTTTCCAGTTCCTCACTATTGTAGAGTACGTCCGCACGGTCCCTCGGTTTCAAGGGCAGGCCTTCTTTGATGAGACGGTCGAGCAGCGAGCCTTCTTGAATGTACTTCTTGGCCTCTCCGTTGGCTACGGAGTGCAGCAGCGCAATGAGTCCGCATGTGTTTCCAATGGTTTGCAGGAACCACGTGACAGGCTCGTCCTCGCCCGACTTGTCGTACGTTAACTTGAAATCACCCTGCGCTTCGCGCTCCGCTGCCCACCATTCACGGCCATCTTCCTTGCGAACAGCAGTGTACATGGGCGCAGGGGTGATGAAGATGAGGCTGTGCACTGGGCGCGGGACCATGGCGAGAAGCGCAGGTTCGTCAAGAGAATAGACGTCGTAGAAGCCAAGCTCGGGGGAGACGCCGAGGTCATGGACGAGGCCGGTGAACACCTCTGGATTGTTTTCAAGAGGGATGAAGACCTTGTTGCCCGAAGGCGACAACCAGACTCCGTCAGTGGGCATGATGATTGAATTCTAGATGGCTGAAGTGATGATTGTTGTCTGGATAATGTGAGGAAGGAAGGGTGAGGATGTTTCTAATGGTACCTGCCTAGGTACTACATGATTTAGGCAACCAGTTGTACACGCAAACCATACCAGGTCCCTCAGAGTAAGGTAGAATAGCAAGCTCAGCTCAATCTGAGAGTTCGACTTGTGTCCATAAGAAGCAAACCTATATCATCTGTAGGGTGTTTACTATCTAGCAATTTATAATATCCATCAAAAAACACAGGCTTGGCCGTGGGTGGAAGGGCGACGATGGCCATATTCCACGCAATACAGGGTAGCCCAAAAAGCAATGACGAAGTCGCTACCCCAGACAGACTGCGCCCGTGATGCGACACGCTCCCAGTGACGCCAGCCCCTCCAGCTGCACCTCACCGAGCGAGCTCCAACCCCCAACTCCGTCGCATCTATCATACTCCATACATACGCCACGACCGCGACAGGCGCCTAACCTCTTGACAAACTTCTCTCCCACCCTCGCCAGGGTGCTCACTCCAGGCGCAATGGCCTTCCTCATCCTCGTCATCGGGGACATGCACATCCCAGACCGAGCCCTCGACATACCAGCCAAGGTACCGTACCCATTGACCACCGCCTACCTGTCAATTGTCCTCCAGACCATTATACTAACCGGAACGCACAGTTCAAGAAGCTCCTCTCTCCAGGAAAGATCTCGCAGACCCTCTGCCTCGGCAACCTCACCGACAAAACAACCTACGACTACCTGCGGTCCATCTCCCCCGATCTCAAAATCGTCAAGGGCCGCCTAGACGTCGAGGCCACTTCTCTCCCCATCACCCAGGTCGTCACACAGGGCTCGCTCCGTATCGGCTTCCTCGAGGGCTTCACACTCGTCAGCCCAGAGCCCGACCTGCTGCTGGCCGAAGCGAACAGGCTGGATGTCGACGTGCTGTGCTGGGGCGGGACGCATCGCTTCGATGCCTTTGAGTACATGGACAAGTTCTTTGTCAATCCCGGGAGCGCGACGGGCGCAGAGAACATGGGCGCGGGGCTGGAGGCGGAGGAGCCGACGCCGAGTTTCTGTTTGATGGATGTAAGTGTCTCCTCAATGATAGCAGGGGTCATGTTCGAGGCTAATTCGTGCAGGTGCAAGGTATCTCTCTCACTCTTTACGTATACCAACTACGAAAAGACGACAATGGGAACGAGAACGTGGCCGTGGAAAAGGTGACATACACAAAGCCGGTAGAGCCCTCTGGCGGATCATGATAGAGATGTGTTCATGGTAGAGGAGACGTCGATACCCGAAAGCAGCATGCGCCATGTCAATGGGACCAAATTCAATCATCAGTGCTCTGCCCGCTTGGTATATGAAACTCATTTTATCCAATCCAAAACGCCTCCATTCCAACCATGGTCTGTCGAGTCCCAACATAGTTACAGCCTTACACCATCATGCTTCTGCGGCGCGATGTGCTGCGTTCATGGGATACAATGTTCTCATCGTCACTTCCAGTCGCACTCGAGAAGCGCCGTGTACCCTTGGTTCCCCGATTTGCCCCCTTTCGCTTGGCTCTAGCTGGCTGGGGCGACATTGTCATGTCGTACACATCCGAGTCGGATGTAGGATTGCTGTCATTGCTACCTCCCTTGGTTGCTTCATCATCCTCGTCATCGAGCGCGAGCTTGAACATGGAAGCTGAGGGACGCTTGCGCCGTTCGGTAGCAACCGAGCTCGGAAGTTCGGCTGCTGGCGAGGTCTCACGTAAAGTCGGGCTTGCAGGTGCTCGCAGGTTCTTGGCACTGATCGAGGAGCTGTCGGGAAGTGCTTCAGCCTCTGTTGACCCGCGCTTGACTTTCACGTGCTCCTGGGTTATCAAGATCTCTTGTTGGCTTGACCGGCGCGAGGTGACCGCATCCACGAGTTGCTTTCCTGGACGACGCATCTTGTCTCTTAAATTTGGCTCTGCGTAGCTCACAACGCTTCCCCTGCGTCTGCTTGGCCGCGACGCTTCTCCTTGCGAATTGATATCAGCTGGCGGTGGCGTATCACCTCGTGTGGTGTCAACTGCGGGAACCGAATCCGGAGAATTGGGTGCGAGTAGCTCTGGCTCCACGAGAGGAGCTCCTAGATCACATGGCTTCTGTATCGGTGCAGGAGCTACATCCGCCTTTGGCAGCTCGTCGTCGATGATTTCGTCGTCTGATTGCGGTTCGATTTTGACCTCAACGACGGGAGGTGCTTGGGTGATTGGCTTGGCCTTGAGGCGGCCGGGTCCTTTCTTCGCCTTGTTGATGTTCGCTTTGGCTGCAGAAACGTCGTCGACTGGTGCCATCCTCGACCTCTTCTTGGGTGACGCCACATCGTCGTTTGTGCTCTTTGCTCCAAGAGGCCTCCTGCCTGCAGACAACACTGGTTGTGGTCCCTTCCTGGTCGAGGAGAGTTCTTTGAGCGGTTTGATTTGTGTCTTCTCCTGAATGGGCTGCTTGCTGGCGACGCTTTGGGGTAGAGAGTCTTCATTCTGGCCTTCTCGTGCCTGAGGCATAGGCACAGGCATAAGCTTCAGGTCAATGGGTTCGAGCTGCGATGCAAATTTCCGTTTCACGCCCGATGTGGGAGGAGATGCGCTTGACTCAAACGCGGACGGATTCATCCTTTTCCGCGGCGATGGCGATGGCGACCGAGCAACGATTGGCTGTAGTATCCCTCTAGGACTCGGCGTTCCTTTCGTCGGCGTGTCTTGGGGCATATCGTCTCTGAACGGCTCGCCTCTAATGAAGTCAGATGTTGGTGGCGGGCCCAGTTCCGGCGATTCTGACGGATCGCAACAGTCTGCTTCCGTTCTGAGGGCCATAATCTGCTCCGGGCTAATGAGTGATCAGCAAAGTCCAGCATGGTCAGTCGGATGAATGCTTACTTCATAGACCTACGACCCGACATCTTGTGTTCAGATATGTGACCCAGTTCCTCAACGTCGCGTGCGACTTCTCTAAGTCGACGTTGTGAAGGGCTTGGCCTGGTGTAGCTGAAACTGGTTCGTCGACCGACAGCGTGCGTCGTTCCAGGAGAGCGCCTCTTTCGCGGCGGGTCTGAGCCTAGCTCTGAAATCATGTTTCCAAGATCGGCGAGCTGTGCTTCGAGTTTCGCCTTGATGACCATAGCGTGATCTGTGACCCGTCGTGCTTCGGAGTCCTCTGCCTGTCGCTCTAGTTCTCGGATTCGCTGCCGCAGGCCGTCGTTGTCCTGTAGAAGCTCTGCATTCTCCATCTCTAGTTCTCGCACTCGTTGCGCTCTGACATTATTTGACCGGGCCAAGTCGCGGTTCTGGCGCATCATTTTCCTACGAACTGAGAAAGAGTTAGCCGGCACGGTCCCTCGTCGGCTGCCGCGGTTGGACATACGGATCTCAACAGCCTCTGCGGACATGGGTCCGACTTCATTGAGACGGGCCATGGCTCATAGTCGGTCGACGGAAAGAATGCTCGAGGCAGGCGGATGGGTTGAACAATCACAACCGACGCGTCAGCCAGCACTGGGTCGAGACTGAGGCTGCAAATGGCGAGGAGGAAGGTCGGTGATGTCGTATGCTGCAGGTAGACAGTCAGACATGAAGTTGCAATGGCGCATGGTAAGGTATTAAGGTATGATGTCGCGAAATATTTACCGGTGCTGGATGCGGTTAGCGTAGCTTCTGCTCAACCACCAAGAGCGTCGGCCAGGCAACGCCCCTCCTCGCTCACCGAGTGCACCCCACCACAGGCTTCTCAGGCTGGCACCCACTGGCATTGAAGCTCAACATGAGTGCGAAACATGGTGAACATCCAAACGACAACTGGGAAGCAAAATGTCGTACCCGACACGCTCGCTGTCTTCTCACATGCGAGCACCCAGTGCTGCTGGCTCGTCAGCTCAATCACCCGCACTGCTCGCCCGTATTGAGGAGAAGAAGGCTGAGCTCGCGCACTTGAAGGAACTCCAGGAACTCAGCGGAGCAGTCGCGACACAGATGGAGAACTTGGAGCAGAAGCTTTCGACTCTTTCAGATGGCACAGAAGGTGAGTGCATCACGTTTGTTAATGAGCAGGCACTAACAGACACAGCTATTGCCACCGTTATGGGTAACTGGCACAATGTGCTTCGCGCAATCAACATGGCATCATGTAACGAAGTCCAATCTTTCTGGCACCACTGAAGCTGATAATATCTACTTAGCTAAAGCCACCAAGATGCCTGGGCAGACGGGAGTGCCATCGGACGAGACCACAGATGATGCCGCGGTAGCACTGCCTCAGACACTTGTGCGCATCCCAACTGAACATGCTCCGGTGGTGCAGGCGCAAGCCGAAGCATTGGAAGCTGAAGCTGCGGAGGGAGACTCGACTGTGAGCAGGTAGCGCATGCCCGAGGCTGGAGACTCTCCCATACGGCAACGAAGCTTCGAGGCTGAAGGATCCGCACGCTCGAAAGAACAATCCACGCATACAGACCAAACATCAAGCAGTACGTATCGTCTCTACCCTTGTTGAAACCCGCACCAAAGTAACACTCAAAAGGTTCACAATAGACTCGTTAATTAAGTCTTGCGTCTGAACAGCGTCTTCTGACAGTGTTTCTTGAACTCATGGTCACTTGAAGGCTTAGTCAGCCTGCGCGACGCGCTCGATTCCTGCCAACGCGATGCGCCCGTCGACCCTGCCCGTGCAATCTGTGCAGAACGCAAGATGCCAGTTGTTATGCACCTTTGTGCAGCTGCATCGAGCGAGCTGGGGGAGAGATGAGGTCGCACAACGGAGGCAGGACCAAGCGAGGGAAACCCAAACAGAGCAATCACAATGTAAACACACGAGTCCACCACCTCCTCTCTCTGCTTGACTTGTGGGATATCCCATCATCTTCACTAAACATTTATCACTTTCAGCAACATCTCGCAGGGTGTCTCCCACATCATCTGCACAACTCATCCAGAGTCCAGGTATCCTGTGGACTCGGGAACCGCGGCGCCAGTTGCTCGACACCCCTGTCACATCCCGAAATTGGCTCCATTTCCTCCGCTGCCCGTCTCCCAGGGTCTCGCTGAAATGATGGAGAGCTCGATCACCAACAGTAGCGCCCACTTCTCCCACGGCGGCACCTTTCGAGTCCTCGTCGATGAGGGTCAGTACCTCGATGACAGCCACGCTGCCGCGTTGAGTGAAGGAGAGAGAAACCACGAGTCTACCGCTGAGCAAGAATCTCTGCAAACCCAGCCAAACAGCCGCCAGAGTATTGGGACTGCACGCGCCAACGAAGTTTTGGAGCGCAAGCCTCCTCGCTTAGCTCGAGAGCGATCCTCCAACGACACCGATGAATTGGAGCTTCTGCTTGGTTACCACGAACACAAGAATCACGTCAGGTGGAGCGACGAACAGGTCTCCTCCGAGTGCTCTCATTTAACTCACAAGCGCGAGTTGACCGGCGGCACGAATGCCACAGGTGGGTAGCCTTTGAACCTCAAGAGAGTCTGCTAAAGTTTCCCATATAGTGACCGACATTGGAAGCTACATTGGTATCGAAACAGCAGCTGATTCATTGATCGAGCGCCAAGTGAACCGACTACAGCACGGAGCTAAGTTCGACTGGGTAATCGTCACTTCCGCCAGCGAACAAAAGGCGTATGGGTGTAACTTTGTGGGCCAGAAGACAGACAGCTTCTACTTTGTGGCATCGCCATTGAATGAAGCTCAAGAGCTTGCTTATGTCAGTGAGGATCTCAGCATGGAGGATCAGGTGCTCTCAGTCCTGGCCCGGCAGCAGCCTGCCCGGCCAGCTGCGTTGAAGGACATGTTCACCGTCCCCAAGATTGTGGAGGTCACCGAGGAAGAATCATCGACATTGCGCTCTGATGAAAGTGTAGCGGGCAGCACAACCTTTCCAGCAGATCGTCCGGCGAGCAGCCAACGCATTGAAGACTCTTTGGAAGAGATTGATAAACTCGAAGAACAGCTTGAGGCCATGCGCCTTGCCACCAGCCCTCGTCATCGAGATAACGATCAGCAGGGTACAGTAAGCCTGAATAGGCCTGCGAAATCTTCTGCGAGCAAGCGTGTGAGCATCGCGCCGGGTCAGGCTGCCACGATGCGAGTCAAGCCTAGCGAGAAGACTCGACCATCGCCCCGGAGAGTCAATTCACTCACAATGCGAGCTGAAGAAACCTCCGCGGAAGCCCAGCACAAAGGATCGGGTGCAACAACGCTTACAAGGTCCAAGTCTACGCTCACGCGTCTGCGTGACCCCAAAGATGCGACAGGCAAGCCCTCAAAGCCAGCCACGGTCCCGAATTTTGAGCTGCCAGGCGAGGCTGTTTCGCGCCGCTTGCGGGAGCAGCGCGAGGCACGCGAAGCACGCAAGGCTCAACAGGCCGAGGCGGAGAAGGCTGCCGCTACTCCACCCAAGCCTCGTCTCAGCCGCATGCTACCGAAGCCCACCTTTGAGCTTCCAGGAGAAGCCATCTCTCGTCGAAAGCGGGAGGAGCGGGAGGCCAGACTTCGCGCCGAAGAAGAGGAAGAACGAAAGAGACGCGAGTTCAAAGCCCGCCCTGTCAGGCTTAGCATGGCATCGACCACTCTTCCTCGTAACAGTACTATTGCGAGCCGCACGCGCGAGAGCAGACCATCCCCAGATGCGAATTCAAAGGACGTTCAAGGTAAGCGCTTGTCGACGTCCGCCTCCTTAAGCCGCACGGCAGCAACTACCATCACAACAACTTCGCCTGGCTATCGCGGGCGTACATCTGATGCCATCGCCGCTGATGCTGCGAGCCGGGGCACGTCGGTTGCGACTAGCGTCAGCGACAAACGCAGCTCAGTCTCACAGGAAGATGCCGCCTCTCAACGCGCTCGTGCGCGGGAGATCTGGATTCGAGACAACAGCTATCGTTACGAACGCGAGCGGGAGAAGCACGAGCGAGAGATGGCGACAAAACTCGCTCGGGCACAGGCTGCGGAGCGTTCGAGGGCAGCAAGTCGTGAATGGGCGGAGAAGAGGCGTGCTAGAGAGCAAGCCACACTGTCCATCAGGGCATAGGGGCTGTCGCCTCGATAGGCGCGCATGGCTCATCTATGATGGAAGCCCTTGTCATTCGTTGCGAACCTTTCTTTTTTCTTCACATGTCAATCTGTGTTTTGAGCGTGGTGTCACGAGGCGCCGTAAACTGGAATTACTGGCGGTCATTCTTTGCGCAGACGACGTATTTCTGACCAGGCTGGTCAACAACGGGACGCTGCTGGTGTAATTAGGGTACTCTGTTGGTCAATTGAGTCTTTCATTATTATTGATGGGCGATGTGTAGCATCCATACATGTGCCGCTTTCACTTTACATGGGAGAGCAGAAGTGACGACGAGCAGTCTCTACAAACTTGAATTCAACACCAGAACACAACGCTATGCCATCCCTCACATTTCTAGACAAGTAGGAAAATATCAGCGTGGCCAGACCAGAGCCAGTGTATGTTGTTGTGTGCCTTTTCCCCCGAATCCTCCCTCGTATTTCAAGATCCATCCTTTCTCGTCCCCGTGGCGAGGGTGATATTATATATGTATAGAGGCAAGTGATGGGCGAGAAGGCGAAGAGATAGCAATGAAACTGTTTTGTCTTTGAAAAGAAGAGCAGTCATCTTGTCGGAAATCAAACCCAGTGTGAAGCAAGCAAAGAGCAGATCCGCCGAACCCCCCTAACGCCACTCCTTGTTTTTGTGCGGCAATTCGAAGAAAAATCCACTCTCCTGTTCAATCAAAAGTTCTGCGAGATACCAGCACTCTGTTGCGGATAGTGTGCTGGGTTCTCGATGCGCGTGTTCCGCCGGGCCGGATTATCCTTAATAATGGGCGCGGCGGACAGCTCATTAGGGGCACCTGCACCAGGTAGGTCGTACGGGTTGTGCGCCGCCTGGTCGTAGTACCCGGGTCCGTGTCCGTAGGACAAGTTGCCGTCCGAGTTGTCGGAGCGGTTGGCGGCGCTGTACGAGGACGAGGCGTTGGAGGGCCCTCGGTTGACGCCGTTTCCGCGGTTGTTGGCAGCCGCGGGACCCATGGCGCCGAGGATCTCGCCCTCGGGGGAGTAGACCTCGTCACCGCGCGCGAGCGAGGCGTGCTGCTGCGTGGGGGACGCGGGATCGGAGTAGGCGAGGCCACCGCCCGACATGGTCGTGGAAGCCTTGCGACCCGTCGATGATCCGGCCACGGTCGTCCCCCAGCCGCGGTACCCTGACGAATCCTCCCTCATCTCGTGGCCTCCGTCGGCGACGCCTCCCATGGCGCCCATACCGCCGACATTGGGGATGGTCGGGTCGGCGTTGGGGTTGTATGAGTAGTCCTCGACCTCCTTCCTACGCTCCTCTGCGGCCGCGTGCCTCGCCTTGCGCTTCTTCCAGAAGAAGAGGGCGACCAGGGCGAGGATGGCGATGGAGGCGATGGGGACGACGACGCCAATGGCAATCTTGGCGCCCGAGTCGAGACCTCCCGAGCCGCTGCCGCTGCCGGGGTTGATGGGCGTGGGGTCGGTGGTAGGTTTACTTGTGGTCGTTGTGTCACCAACGGGGACCTCGCGCGTCCTCGTCCGGGTGACGATGCTTGTTGCGGTGCTGCCTGCCTCGTCTGTGGTCACGACCACTTCGGTGGTGGTTTGCTCCGTTGTGGTAGACTGCTGCTCGGTAGGGGACGATGTGTCCTCCTCTGTAGTGGTTGTGGTGGTGGAAGGGGCCTCCTCCGTCGTGGTCGTGGGTTTTTGCTCTGTGGTAGTGGTAGTGGGCTCCGCGACAGTCGTGGTGGTGCTAGGCTCATTCGCCGTGGTCGTCGTCGTCTCTGCTGGCGGTGGTTCGCTCACAGTCGTGCTTGTGTCTGGCGGTGGTTGCTCTGTTGTTGTCTCCGCAGGCGGGGGCTGCGATACTGTCGTTGGGGCATCACCGCCACCGTCTTGGCTGCCATTCGTTTGGGATGTTTCTGGCTGAGGGTTCTCGCTTGGGTCGTTGGACGTCTGCGGCTGCGCGGGATTGTTGACCGACGAGGTCGACATGGCGACAAGGTGAGTCGCAGCACGCGATCAATGATCAGTACGTAGACGGAGACTGAAAGACTGAGCGTGCAATGTCAGTAATTGGCGCGCCGAGCGTTTGTCTTGGGTGGGCGAAGAGAGCGTTGGTGGACAAAAAGAATGAAGGGAAGAGATGTGGATGTCGGATACAAGATCGCCGGCGAGTTTTGCTGGTGGCCCCTGAGGATGGGAATTTGTTGGAAAGCCTTGATGGATGGATGGATGGACGGTTGGGGCTTGGGAAAGGACGCCGCGTGAGAATTGAGTTCACAGCGATGGGCGGGTAGAGGCGGATAGGAAACGGCAGCGATGCCAACCTACGTGATCAATTTGCGTGTACCGGTCGTTCTGTGAGGGGTCGAGGTGCTCGAGCGCGTCGTAAGTTGGCGAGATTGGATCTGAGGTTGTCACAGACATGGATTGAGGGACAGCGGCAGCGAGCGACTGGACGACTGGACTGACATGGAGACTGGAGTCCAGTCCAATCTGTGCCAGTGCCAGTCAGTGCAGTGCCACTGCCAGACTCCAGTGAACAAACAGGGCTGTGGAGCAGCCGAGCCCAGATCTGGTCTGGCGCCTTTGGGCTGCCCGGGATCATGGGGAGCCGCTTCCATTGGCCTCAACTTGCTTCGCTTCAGTTGAACTGTAAACCAGCCAGTGGGCCGTTATTCTTAGTGAGGCTCAGTCCTCTTGAGGCTTTGCCACCGCTCCCACTATAATTAGGTATGATGTCGATTTCCATTTCGCCATCACCATCAAGGGGCGGCAACATTTTATGGCTTATGGAGGATGGCTAAGTTGGACGCTAAGACTCAAACGGCCTGCATGCAAAGGGCCGTCGCGACGCAGACACGCAAAGGTCCCTCGACTCCTCGAGTCCATTGGCCTGCATGTCTCTTCCCTGACACTGCAGTGGTAGGGCTGCAATGGATGATTACCTATTGACCCGTGCCTTGATTTTCCTCTTCCCATAATACCACGTCGCGTTTGAATCGATCAGTTCCCTGGCTGCCGTCCAACTCGCACACTTCTTGGGAATCACGAGATGCGACCGTGACCCCTTATTATCTAGAGGTCCTTGAAGCGTACAGACTCGCCCTTCTCCATACATTCGGCCCATCCGCGTGCCTTCCTCCACCATAATCCATCGCATTGCGAGACTGCTTCGTAGAAGTCGTTCTTTAATGGGCTTTCCTCGGCCCATTCCGGACACAATTCCATCATTTTGGCTTTACAGACCTTCCGTAGCTGGGTCTTCTCATACTCCATCTTGTGAATCCAGTAGAGTTGGTTCTTGCCCTCGTTATCCAGGTCATCTGGGTCGTTGCGCTTCTTCGCTTCTGCGGCAGCCTCCTCCGGTGTCTTGTCCATATATGAGTTCCGCTGTGGCTCCTCTTCCCGCGGTTGGTCGTCAAGGAACGTTGGCACTCTACTTAGCATCCAGAGTGGCAGTGCCGAAACGCATTCCCAATCGAGCACAGCTATAACTTCACCTTGTTCGTTAAGTAGAATGTTGTTCAGATTGAGGTCATGGTGATAGAGAGCTGACGACTCCCAGCTGGTCAAGTCGGGAGGGAAAATCTGGGGAAGAAGAGTCAGGAGAGTCTGAGCTACTGGCAGGATACCTTCGGCTTCTTCCATGTCATCTTCATCCTCAGACTTCTCTAGAATCAAGGTTTGATGCCGTATGATAATAGTCAACAGGGTCCTTAGCCAGTCATGGCTCGATCGAAAGGGTCCGCGTGGAATGTCGTATCTAAGACGATCGCCCATGAAGAACTCTTGTGACACCAGGCGTCCAGGCGCGGCCGCGGCTTCGTGGACCTTGGAGTCGACTTGAAGGTCTATTTCCGGCGACTCCAGCGTCCGTATCCTTGTGAATGCGGATTCCTGCTTCTCGAGACCTGACAACTCGAACTGGAATGATGCAAATCGCTTCGTGAGCGCGACCTTTTGCTCCATCGACATAGTGCGCCATCGTTTCCGCGCCGGCGTGCCCTCCATATACTCCATCAAGATCCATTCGAAGCCGATCTCGTTATCATTACTGTCGTCAAAACCAAAGACCCTGGGCACCGGGACACTGGTGTTCTCGTGCACCCATCTCAAGGTAACGACTTCGGCGCGCGTTTTGTGGCAAGGGTAGACAGGTAGGGTGACACGCATGATAAAGGAGCGTCCGGCGGTATGAACCAGGTAAACCTTATTAAAGAGACCTTCTGCGTGAAAGGTGACGGTGCAGGGATCCCCAGGGGGCGTCTTCAGCTGTTGGCGGGATACGTTCTCAATCGCGCCGGTTAAAGGGTCCCGCGTCCATAATGGCAGCAAATAGGATGGTGTCTGCTGCCACCCTAAACCATCCTGCATCGATCGCGGCATGCTGGAAGTAATCGATCAGAGATGTCGGGTCTGGGTCTGTGTCGGCTGTGGCCTCAGCTTCAAGTTGTAGATGAGGTGGAGATGATTACCCACAGGACCTTGCTTGGTATGATAATGAACAAGATATCAGAAGAGCAAGAAGATGTATTCTCTACTTATTTTGGGAAGGTGCTAACAAAGAAATCTTATTAGTGGCCGGCTGTGCTGCTGTGAATCACATGCTGTGGGGGAAAATACAGCCTACGACGAAGTATTCAATCACCAGTTAGTTCAATGGGTCGATCAGAACTTGTGTTCAGAGTCCAAGTAAAGCAAGTGTCTGGCGGATTACGTCCGGACACATATTGATCACCGACTATGTATCGTATGTCTGCCTATTAAGCGATCGTAGCGACCGCCGCCGTCAGACAACGTAACTTGTCTCTGTTGGATCCCTCTTCCGTAGCAGGAGTCCATCCAAGGTCGGGCCTTTCTATATGCAAAATATTCTCCACTCCCTCTAAAACAAACATATAAATTTCTTGTCAAAATATCATGACCGTGGTTACTCCTGAAGTGAAAACAGAACCGGGCGACCCGCTGGACGAGATGCCTCCCGGTCAAAGACCCATGCTATGCCAGACAAATGCTTTGCTAAAAAGACAGTCAATTCTTGCGGACGACTGGGAGCTCATCATGGCCGCATGCCCCATTGGGGCTTGAGCTCGCCCGCCAGTGCTTGCTGTGTGAACACCGTGTCGCCAGGCAGTCGGCTCACACGACCTGCGCCCGACCGGATGGCGGACATGGCCGTCGAGGACATGCCACTGCGGTTGCTCCTGATGCTGCCCGCGTCACTCTGGTTGTCGTTGTCCTTAAACTTCTTGGGCGGCAAAAAGTCCAGACTGGTAAATGTCGTCGACTTTCGGAGCATGTGCGGGCTGGGCATGGCCGCAAGCTCGTCGTACGAGCTCACCAGCGGAGAGGCCGCAGCGACGGATGGCGAGTACTCTCTCCTCTCGCCGAGCGGGCTCTGGGATCGGCCACGCGCTCTCGACTGGAATGACTCTGGAGGCGCGAAATCAGCGGCATTGAAGATGGCAAAGTTGTCATCCCTCAGCTTCGACGGGGTCGGAAGGGTACTGAGTGCCGATGGAGGCGGCAGGTTCTTCTTCGGCGGCCGGCCACCACGGGCGGAGGCAGAGGAGTCGGGGCGCGGGCCAAGCGAGGATGGAGCCCGAGAGCCCCAAGCAGCAGAGCCTGCCCGCGGACGACCGCCTTGCATGCTCATGCCACCAACAGACCCGTGAGGTCCATGGGGTCGGGGACCATGACGCCCAGGGCCGGGCGGGCCACGGGGTCCAGGTCCAGGAGGCCCGCGTCGGTTGCTTGGGGGGGGTGTCATGGCGCGACGCTGCACGGGCTGCGCGTAAGGCATCACAAAGGCGTTGCTGTCGGGGTCGTAGTAGGCGGCCTCACCCATGTATTGGTCGTCATAGTCCTCATAGTACTGAGCACCTCCTCCTGCTCCTGCTCCTCCTCCATTGTACTCGGCAGGGACATTGGGCATGGGGGGCGCAGGAGCAGAGTCGTCAAAGTACTCCCTATAGAATGAACGAATACGGTTCGCTCTGTACTCAGGGTCCTCGGACTCCAGCGCGTCATCGGGTGGCAGAGGTCGGAATCCAACGGACAGGCGTTTGTTATCTTGCTGGGGAACACCGAGACCGGCCTGTTGCTGCTGCTCCTCGAGGTCCATTCGAGAGACGCGTGCGCGGCCGCGACCAAAGTCCTCGTAGTCGTCATAGTATTCGCCGGTCTGTGTGTTGGGCTGGGTGTGATCGCCATAGTCACTCTTTGACATTTGACTATCGCGCGTCATCGCCTGTCCGGGGGCTGCGTTGCCATCAGCGCCGGACATATGCAGCTCATCCTTGACGGGTGACAGTGGCTGAGGTAGGTCCAGGTTAAGACCCAGCCCGTGGTTTGTCGGCACAGAGCTGTCCCCAGTATGCGCAACGCCAATTGCGTTGGGCTGGGCGGGACCAGCTAGATCGAATTGTAGGGAGTTGTGTGGCGGGCTGGCGATACGATCTTCGGGACTCCTCGCAACAGTTGACGGAGGCATTTGGATGCTGGGAATGCGATGCGGGTCTCCCTGTTCCTTCTCATCAGGGTAGGGGATCGTTCCAATTTCGGGCACAACTGGCTTGACGGGTACGATGGGTTCTTGGAGCTGTGGTGTGGCGCGCCCTTGATGCGTAGGTTCAGGAGCTGCTGGAGGCGTTGCGAATGGATCCTTCTCCACGGGAGAAGCATCTCCAGGCGACAATGGAGTTCGGGGAAATGACCCTTGCCGAGTGGCTCCTTTGACCGATCGGCCAGTAAGGACGGAGGCACGCTTACTTCCATGAATGGATCCTTCCTTGTTGAAAGACCTGATACTGCCGCCGCACTCGCTATTGACCATCCGGTAAGGATCATATTCGATGGGATAATTCCGTGTCAATGTGTGAACTGAGTCCTGGGAACCATGCTGTTGAGGCGGAAGGAGGTAAGGTGAGTCAAGGTTCATATCCATGGAAAGCTGGTTTGTCTTGTGCATCGATTTCTCTGCTCCTCCACCAAGGAGAATACTCCGGCGAGGCTTCTTCTTCTTCCCCCCAAGGGGAGTAGGTTCGCCATCTAGGCCAAAGTCGAGACCTCTGGTAGGGTCATTTGCGTCTTCTGCCCTTTGTCTCTTGACGTTTTTTCGGTGTAGGTAGAAGAAAACGCAGATGCCAATCACGATGGGAACACTCTCATGGTCAGCTAGGATCCCACGGTTGACACAACCAGCTTCACTTACACTACCGCAATAATAATAGGTACCTTCATGTTGCTGAAGGAATACGGCTTGGCCTCGTCATCGTTGGCCCGGGCCATCAGGCGCGCCTCGCTTCTACGCAGGTTGATGCGAGGGGCCATCCGATACCCAGTCGTACCATACTCGCCTGTCGGCACCATGGCGAAGATGGTGCGAGTGTTCAAGAACAGGCGTGATCTTTCAGTCCGTGTCCCACGCGCTGATTCGATGTCAATGCAGTCGTGTCGATTCGGTTCCGGTAGACAGTCGTCCACAGTTCATGCCCGAGTGTGCGTAAGCGGCCTGTGGTTCGAGGCTCTGCTGTGAGAGACTGAGTCGACTGATCGATACGGATCGTGTTGGTTTCGCCGTTCCGAGAAGATGTACGCAAGAGTCGTCCGAGAGGTCGTTTTCGTGAATAGTAGGATGGGTTGGTGCAGATTCGTCGAGTAGCCTATGAGAGAATGAAAAGGTCTACCAGCTAATCGCAGTATTATGTCGTCGGTTTGCGAGGAATGCAGGAGCAATCAAATGAGTGACTGAGCTGACCGTCTTGATACCAAGGGCGGTGCAGTAAAAAAGGAGCGGCAGGCTCTGGCTGGCAGATAACCCTTAGTGTAACGACAAAAAGAGTGACAGGGCGAGGAAACGACAACAAACGGCACCCGCGACGTGAGAGAGGGAGTGAAGGTCACGATGGGAGGTGGGAAGAGGGAGAGGGAAGGAGCGACTAGACTAGGAGTCGTTTTGGAGTGGACGGCAGCCGAGCAGGGGTCTGGGGAGCCCAGTATGCACCTTCCCAGGCGTGTTCCAGCAAGCTGCAGGCCTCACGCGCCGCTGGAGAGCCCCCATGTGAAGCTGTGGCTCCTGAGGGAAGCTGCCAAGTCCAGTCGCCCGCAACCAAGCCCAACCAGTAAAATGGTTGTCCAGGCTCGATTAATTAACCCTCTTTGCTTTGCGGTGCACCGGGTCCGTGACCTGTGGACCTTGGCTGGCTGGGAAGGAAGGCAAGTACATTGGAAGTCCAAGCGGAAGGCCTCGCAATCTACCAGCCAATAAACACACGACATTGCCAGGGGTGCCCCCTTCTGGTTTAATTTGACAGGGGCTAAACTGCTCTCAGCCTCTCTCTCACTCTGCTTGCGCTGTCACCTCCACCTGGACTGTCGGTGGACGCGGCATCTTTCGGTGAAAGGACCATGGCTGAACCAGGTCCGTAACTGTTGTTAAACGTCCCTGATGCCTCGAAAGTGCCTTGCCGCCAAGACTCCCTGAAGATGCGTAGACCGCGACCAGGTAATAGCCGCTGCATACGCCGCCGAGACTGAGGAACGCAACGACATGGACCTGCGACCGATTAGAGCTTCATGCAGGAACGCGGTTTTAGTCGGTGGAGGCCGCAGCACAGTGCATGAAAGCCGCAGAGACTATGGAATGTATGTACAGACTATGTGCGGTTCCGCAAGTTCTGCACCACAGTCGTGACGGCATTAGACACTGTGCTTACCCCTGACGCTTATCCGGATCCGTGCTAGCCTCATTATCTTGCCGTTTCGCCAGAACAAGCTCAGGTAATTAGAGTGATCAACAAGCTCACTGAAAACCCGGCCAAGGTCTCGGCCTTGGAGCCTTGAAAGCTCGATTTTTCGGGTGATGGTCCCGTCAGCCTCCTGCGTTGGCCGTGCCCCGTCGCCGAGATGAAAGGTGGAACATCCATGTTCATATGAATCGCATCGAAGATTAAACGCTCGCCACTGCAAAGCAACGCCACATCAGGAAGCGGGACATTCGAAAATGAAGTTCGGCTCAAGCGACTGGCGTTCTTATGACAAAGGTCAATTCGAGGTCAGGCGATGAAGAACAGCATTGAGAGGATCGATGTGCATAGTATCGAGTAAATAACTACTACGTACAATGGCATAATGTTTTCCAATCCTTCTCCTGCCTGGACCTCTACTTCGTAGATAGCTGGTAGAACTCGGGCGCATATTCAAACAGCCAGTCCTTCTCCACCTTTGTAATGTCTTTGATAAAAGTCTTGTCCCCCGTCTCCATGATCTCATGGAATATGACCCAATCTGCTTTCCGATTGAACATCAATGAACTTGGATGGGCATGGAGGATGGTACCGCCAGCAACATTGCGAAACGTGCCGTCTGGCTGCATGCGTGCAGCATGAGCGAAATACCCTGACGTGAGGCATCGGCGAATCTTTTCCGCTTTGCGCGCGGGATCCTGCTGTGTGCGCCGTGCTGGATCCTGAGGGTCGAATGTCATGGCATCGTCCACGGGGATGTTGAACCGCTCAAGGTAGCGCTTAAGTTGATTGCGGATGCTGACGGCTCTCGTCATCGACTTGTAGTTGAGATGGTTCTCGTGGCAGAACTTGGTCTCTTTCTTTCCCTTCGTGACAAATGCCTGGTAGGCATTAAGGAGAGTGAGGTGATCGCCTTCTTCCACGGCAAATTTGCGTCTCGAGGTTTCCATCTTCTTCCTCTCGCCATCGTGATGGAACCATACCGCGCCGTCGAGACTCGTCATGGCCGCTATCGTCAAGATCTCATTGGTACACCCAAAGCTGTGCGACGCAAGCAGAGTCTTTGCCATCATGGGCTCAACTGCAAGCTCTGCCATCCGGGCGCCTAGGGGTCGCGTCAATTTCCCGTACTCATCCAGTGCTCCCAAGGCATAAAGAAGCTCGAGTGCCTTTGCCACGAGGTCCGATGGAGGCGCTGAGAAGAAGTCGAAGCGCACAACGTTATCAATTCCGAGGGCCTTCAGCTGAAGTACGACAGGTGCCAGATTTGACCTCTGTATCTCGGGTACATTGGCCTCAGGCAAGTTCGTGAAGCTGTCCTCTGTATACAAGCGAAAGCACTTTCCAGGCCTAGTACGGCCTGCTCTGCCCGCTCGCTGGGATGCGGAAGCCTTGGATACTGGTGTCGCTGTGAGCGTTTCAATGCCAGTCCTCGGGTTGTATGCTCTCTGCTTGACAAAACCGCAGTCAACCACGAATACGATGCCCTCTATGGTAACTGATGCTTCCGCGATGTTGGTCGCGAACACAACTTTGCGGGTGTTCTCTGGAGTTTTGTCAAAAACAAGCATCTGCTCCTCGCTCGACAGTCCTGCGTACAGAGGCAAAGGCTGCAGGCCAGTTGAGTGCGAGTTTGCCGTCGCAGAACGTTCAGAGATTGCTTGTACGGCCTGGTCGATTTCTTCCCTACCAGTCAGGAAGACGAGAATGTCGCCAGAGCCTTCTTGTTCATGTATGCTCAAAACTACGTCGATGGTTTTCTCGAGGTAGTTCTCTGCGGGAGAGTCAAGGTAGAGAATGTCGATGGGATATGTTCGGCCCTCGAAACTGATGATAGTCCCAGTCTCTTCCTTGACTGCCTCTTTGGCAGGCTGGCTTTTGTCGTCGCCGCTTTGTGTGAAGAAACGTAGGAACTCCTCAGCTTGAAGAGTAGCGCTGCTGATGATGATTTGTAGATCCGCCCGCCTTTTCCGTATTTTCTTCAGCAGGCCAAGGAGGACATCAGTGCTGATGGACCGCTCGTGGGCTTCATCGACCATAATGACCGAGTACCGAGTCAACAAGGGGTCGACAAGCGCTTCTCTGATAAGAAGTCCATCGGTGAGGAATTTGATGCGTGTTGACGTAGACGTCAAGTCCTCGAACCGGATAGAGTACCCAACTTCTTTGCCAATTTCGCAACCCAGTTCTTCAGCAACGCGCAAGGCAACGGTTGTGGCTGCGACGCGGCGAGGCTACAACGTCAGCGAATGTGTATCATATTGCTCATGTGCCTTACCTGTGTCACACCTATGAGCTTGCCATCAGAGCACCAGCCAGCTTGATCCAGGAATTGTGGTATTTGCGTCGTCTTGCCTGATCCGGTTTGCCCAATCACTACAGTTACGGGAAAAGTCTCGATGGCATATTGCAGGCTTTCCCGATGCTGCGCGATTGGGAGAAGGCTTGGCGGTTTATATAATGCAGGTATGAACGAAGATCCAGGTTCAAAGTCCGCCATAGTGCGCCGTGCTCTTGGTTGTGGTCAATGTAAGCGTATGGCAAGACGCTGACGACAGATCCGTGAGCTAGATGCCAGCTAGGAACTCTCAATTCATGATGTATAGCGCTTCCTCAGCGTTAACCCACCATTGAACCGAGCTCATGAGCAGAAAGGAAAGTGTAATGCGAACAATTCGTGCTCAATAGGGTAAGTCGGCAAAAGAAACAGCCCGACTTCGATGGTGAATGTGGCGGCAGCCTAGTTTCTGGTGTGGCTGAGGCAGCAAAGGATGTGGAGAAACGTCATCGCCGACGTGGCTGCCCCGGCCCCCAACCCCTCGCTATCAGTGAGCTACGAGAACAAAGCTTACCCCAAGGGTCGCGAGTCTTCTTATCCGGAAGCAAATACAATCGTTCTATCAGTCTTCGGTTCTCTCATATATTGTAGATCGAGACCTGGACTGCTCATCATGGCTGGCCCAACGGAAACGGTAAGGATGCTGTCTAGCTCGATCCTCCGGCTCATAGATGCTAACAGCTGCCCCTAGCCGAACAAACGACAGTCGTACAGTGGCGGCGCCGAGTCGCCCACGACAGTTCGACCTTTCGAGATGGATGACGACGATGTACAGGACTCTGGCGTGCTCTCCCCTGATGGCAACACTACCTCCATCAGCGCGGCAACCGCCACGAATACAGCTGCGAACACCTCCACCGTCGCAACACCTCCAGCGCCGACCGTCACAGACGAGGAAGAGCCGGCTCCAGCGAAGCCTCCGAGGCCAATGACCGAAGCGCAAAAGAACCAACAAACTCTCAAGGAAGCCTTCCCCAGTATTGATATGGGCGTTATCAAGGCTGTCTTGTCTGCAAGTGGCGGGCGCGTGGAACCAGCTTTCAACGCCTTGCTTGAGATGACCGACCCTGATGCAGTCACAAGGGAACCCCCAGAGGAGGCGGCAGCGGCGCCCCCTCCACAGCCCCCTCGTCCTCAGGGCGGACGGCAGATATCCCAGCTGGAGGCCGATGAACTATACGCACGGCAACTGGCTGACCACTTCGACAACGTTGGTGCTTACGAAAACCGCACTTCCAGTCGCAGCAGACAACAGCGCCAGGAACGCGGGAGCGAGGAGGACAAGGAGTACAGTTTCATAGAGGACGACCTACCCCAGATCCGCGATAACCTGCGCCAGGGGTTCTTCGAAACGCAGACCAAGGTCAACAGCTGGATTACTACGATGAAGAAGCGTCTGGAAGAGCAGTTTGACGAGTCTGACGATCAACCTCAGCGTCCAGGCCACCGCACAGGGGAATCAAGCCGTAGGAGCGGTGACTATGACGCGGATCCCCAGGTCCTCAGCGATGATTTCGCAGGCATGCGCTTCACTCAGGATGGTAGTAAGCAATGTCAAGATAGAGCCAGCACGAGACAAGGAGCTAACATGGCAGCACCCGCCAACCGATCTCAGAGCAACATTTACCGTCCACCATCTCACTCACCTCGCCCGACGTCCAAGTCGCCCCGTCCGAATGATGGCCGTAGAGTGGGATTCAAGGAAGAGACGGAAGAGATCAGCATGTACGACACGTCACCCAAGGTGCCGCCAAAGGACAACCCGCCTGTCAAGGCAAGCAAATGGCAGCCATTGTCAACAGTTGAGCCGAGCCCGATTGGTGACAACGACCCCTTCAGCTTGGGAGACAGCGAGGACGAGAAGGATGCCAAGGACACTGCTAAAGACAAGACAAAGGATAAGAACGACGAAGACAATGAACGTCTGAAGAAGGCAGCTGCAGAAGCCATGGCGGATGATCTGGTTGCCCCTGGGAGGGAGGGAGGAAGTTCCAAGAAATAAGCTCTGCGATGCGAGCCTTGGTGAAGATAGGATCTAATGATTACTTGTCCGTCGACCAACGCATCGTTTTGACACTGCAACGTGACCATGACGTGACCAACGACCCGATTTCAGGTCGCCATGCATCATTTTGTGCATCTCCTGACCCCCCCGAGGGCCCAAACAAGTTAACAACTGTGCATGTCTGTCTGCAAGTCACCAAAATTCGGCTCCCTGTAGCTGCGGCCTATCAAGCCAGCACGGGGTGCGAGAGCAGCCTCCTATTGGATCGGCACGGATCTCCACGGAATCGGTCGCTGCCATAGTGCCATTAAATAGTGCACTTGTCTTTACCAGCCGCAGCCACGTCCAGGCGGACGAATTTGGCCATTTTGGTGGGGGTTTCTCTCGGGATGCAGGGTCAACAGCCAGTAGGTGCAGCACATCGGGAAATGGGTGGTCCCCTTGTCTAGAGAACAAACAGACATATGATCCATACCCTTTGATCGTGACATTTCACGAGCATATACGTAGGCGCTCGGAGGAACTCCCCTGCGAGGGCATTACGTAGGAGCTCTTTCGCAGTCACGCAGAGAGCTGTCAGTCTGATCACCCCGCTGAGGGGCATCTTCTACCATCTTTCCTTCTCATCTTCAACATCTTCGTTCACCAGTTCGCATCCAGATCGATACAATTGCCGCCTCGCTTGTGCTGCGTGTGCATATTCTGTCACCGTCACTACCTGATCTACACGAGCGGCTCCCAGGTAAGTGTTTACCGAGATTTGCCCTTGCTCAAGCCATGCTTGGCTGTGATGTTGGCAGTGTGTCGGATGGTGGTGTACTGATTCTTGGGGATAGGCAACGAACACTGCGCGCCTTGATTCTTCCGAGTCATTGAACTGGCACGGCTGGTTTACCTGGCTTCCGACACAAAATTCGTCATCTTGCCATTCAATCCGGCGCAATCGACCAAGAGTCTCTCACCATTGCACGCTCGATTCTTTCCGGCCTTTCCTGCTGTGGCGCATTGCAGCAGCGGTTCACAGGTCCCCGCGCTAGTTGCCCTTCGCTCTTGCACGTTCACGTTCATCTTCAGACTCATTGTACGCCCACGTCATACTGTCATGTTATATAAGTAGCTCCGGAACGCAAGCCTGCTCATACGTCTGCGTGAGACGACAAGGGACGCCACGGGTTGCGACCGACTGCCTTGAAGACGCAAGCAGTCCGCCGCGAGAATCTTGACCTTTTGCCGATCCTGTCCCTCAGCTAGGCCCCAACTGCGCCTATTCCACTTGTCGCCATGTAAGTGGCATGCAGTCCTCGACTGGTCTGCGCAAAGGCTGATGTTTGATATCACAGGAAGTTCGGCAAGCAAATCCAGAAGCGCCAGCTGGAGGTCCCCGAGTACGCTGCCAGCTTTGTTAACTACAAGGCGCTGAAGAAGGTGAGGCCTCCAAACTGTCTTTGACACAATGTCATTTTGTCCTGTCCTCGGGGAACACAACATGAGAAAACCGGAGCTTGCAGATTCTTTAGGCGCTCATCATTGCACTCACGCGCGTCTCTGATGGCTGATCTTGTGTAACTGACGCTGTGTCATATAGCTCATCAAGAAGCTCTCCGCCACGCCGACACTCGCTGCCCTCAATGGCACAACCCGAACAGCCGTAGCAGCCGACTCACAGGCGGCGCTCCAGGCAAACAAGGCTACGTTCTTTTTCCAGCTGGTAGGTGCTGCGCGTTCTGTGGTCTTAGAAGATCCCTGTCTGACAATTGCAGGAACGCGAATTAGACAAGGTCAATGCCTTCTATCTGCAAAAGGAAGCCGAGGTCAGTAAACACACATTTGTTACCACTCTGTGTATTGTGTCTGATCTGTTTCTTTGCAGCTTAAAATCCGCCTTAAGACATTGCTCGACAAGAAGAAGGTGCTGCAGTCAAGACAAGGCATCTCGAGACGATCCGCCAAGTTCACGACGCTCGAGGAAGGCTTCCAGCAGTTCGCCACCGATCTTAATAAGCTGCAGCAATTCATCGAGATAAATGGCACGGCGTTCTCGAAGATCTTGAAGAAGTGGGACAAGACGAGCAAGTCAAAGACAAAGGAGCTGTATTTATCTCGCGCTGTCGAGGTTCAGCCGTTCTTCAACGCAACAGTGATCAGCGAGTTGTCAGATCAGGCGACGACGAGCTTGCAGGAGCTGGGCGCCTGGTCAGATGGCATTCAGGTTGATTTTCGATCGTCTGGCCATGTTGTTACCAGTCAACATTTCCTGGGCACAGACGAAGGAGATGCAGACACGCTCCTGCTCGACACCGTCGTCACGGGTAATATTGCAACGTTGCGAGACCTGCTCGCCAAGATGAATTCGTCCTCGAGCGAAGGGTCGGACGGCGACAGTTCATTGATGGAGCGAATCACTCGTACGTTCTTGGCCGCCATTTACGACGCCCCGATCGAGACGCTCCTGGTTCTTCTCGAGACCAAGCTGGTTGATTTGCACTCGTACGACGACATCAACGAGAGGAATTGCCTGCACCAGGCTGCCATTTACGGAAAACAGCACGTTCTCGAATGGGGCTTGGCCGACGGAGTGGCTGTGGATCGGACAGACGTCTATGGACGAGTTCCTTTGCACTATGCTAGTTTACATGGCCGGATCGATATGCTCGAGGCGCTGCTCAACGCGAACCCCAACACAATCGACATGATCGACCACGACAACTTCACACCCTTAATTCACGCCATTATCCATGGGCACCTCGAGTGCGTGGAGAGGCTGCTTATTAAGTCGGCACGACTCGACCCTCTGACGGACGCAGACCATGTGCCACTGAATCTGGCCTGCGAGCATGGATCAGTTTCGGTAGTAAGGCTATTGCTCAAGCACGGCGCCAACATTCTACCCGATGCTGAGGGCCTGTACCCGCAACATCTGGTAGCTAGATCTGGGCAGACGTCTGAGCTGCTCCTCCTGCTGCAGCAGTTTGGCGCCGATCTTGATCAAGTGGACAAGCTGTATGGTTGGACGCCACTCGTGCATGCTGCTAGCGAAGGCAGCGTTGACTGCTTACGGGCGCTGCTGGAAGCTGGCGTCAATCCAAATGTACTGGACGAAAAAGACTTGCCGGCCATGTATTACGCTGCGTGGGAGGGCCACCTCGCATGCATGAAGCTTCTCACCCCTTTCAACACACGCAGCCGTACCAGTCCTCTGATTCAGCAGCCTCTCCTTGGGTCCCGGGGTAGTAGTAGTGCGCCTATGCCCATGGCCTTGGACCCGGACGCGATTCCTGTTCTCGAACTGCCCCCTCCCATAATACCACTACGCAGGTACGGGCACAATTTCCTGGACACCAAGACAGTGGTTCAAATCAGCTTCGATACGGACGGACAACCTCTTGTTTTCTTCCAGGATGGCAAGTACCCGGCTGCTCGGCTTACCATCTCCTCCAAGGTCTCCGACCTCATCCCGAAGAACATCATCCTACCATTCCAAGAAGATACCCGCATTGTTTCCTTCCAGGTTGACCATCTGGACTCATTCTCACTCGACTTCGATGTGTTCCCGGCATACGGCGCCAAGGTTATCGCCAAGACAGTGGTTCTACCCAGTACCTTCAATGCCTTGCAAGGCAGCACCAAGTGTTTCCTTCCCCTGTTCGACCCGCGCTTGAGGGCTATCGGGCAGATCAGCTTCAATACGCAGGTCATCAAGCCATTCCAGGGCCAGCCTCTGGAAATCACTGACTTTGAGACGTACTGGAAGGCGACGAGCCAGTTTAACCAGCCGACAAACCCAATCGTGACTGGGTCTAGCCTTTCAGGGGACTACGTCAGGCTCTTTGTGCAGTACACCAGCGATGGTGTACCTGTTCTCTGGCCTACATGGTCCATCTCGTGTGGTGGCATCGAGATACCTGTCTGTCGTCTGTCCCTGGAGCAATTCACTGCTACGACCGCTCAATCTCAGGGTCGTGCAGGGCTGGCAGCACTAGCCAACGGGCAGTACACTGACATCGCCTCTGTCTACCAGATCATGGCTACGGCGGGCGCCACATTATCAGATGCACTATCGTGGCTACCGGCAAACATACACGCCAACATACACATACTGTACCCGACAAGTGAGGAGGAGAAGAGCTTGGCGCTGGGGCCTGCACTGGATGTCAACGTCTTTGTTGATTCTGTTCTAACCATTGTATTCGATCACGCTCGCGCACAGCGGGTCCAGTCGCCAGACGCTGTTCGATCCATCGTCTTCAGCAGCTACAACCCACAACTCTGCACGGCTGTCAACTGGAAGCAGCCTAACTTCCCAGTCTTTCTCTGCAACGATCTCGGCCGGGAAGAGACCATGCCCCCGCCGAGTGTCATTCACAGCAGCGGTAGGAGAAGCGCCTCACTCAAGGAGGTGGTGCGAATCGCGCAGAGTAATAACTTCATGGGCCTGATGTGCTACTCGCGCCTACTTGTATGTTGCCCTTGCTCGGATTTTGAACCAAGAGATACTGACAGAACCAGGATATGGTCCCTGCCCTCGTCGATGCCATAAAATCGCATGGTCTCGCACTGGTCATGGACAAGTCTGCCGATGCGCCCGAATTAAGTCCCCAAGTCGAACCTTCTGGACGATCTGTGCCCCAGGGTGTGGACGGGGTACTGCGCAGTCACGGTGTCTTGCGTTTCAACGACTCAATAGACATGTAGACCAACGGTACAATAGAAAAGAGAATTAATACCACCATGCCAACTTGATCAAGCACCCTTGTACTCGTACTTGAGACTGGAAAGCTCAGACTCGGGGTCGACGCTCGCCATCACGACCTTGCAGACCAGCGCAACGGCGTATATGATCACAGGGAGATTACCCATGCTGATCCAGCCAAAGCTCGTAGCGTCACTCTTGACGAGCAGGCCCATGAGCACAAGCATGACCGCCAAGCCCAGATTCAGATAGGGCAGCCAGGTCTCGAGCGGCGACCGATCTAGCACCTTGGCTTTGGGCTTGCCCTTTGTGTGTAGCTTGTCGAGTATCTCGATGCCAGTCTGCGTTGTCGGGTATCGCCAAAGGAGAAACGCCGTCGAGAGCAGAGACGTGATGCTCAGTACCGAGAGCATCCTCATCTTGGCGTGGAAGAGGGTCGGGAGATAGGGAAGGCAGGCAGCGATCGGGAGGCAGAGGAGGACACGCGCAAAGAAAGCGTTGCGAGAGGCATTCTCTTCGGCGAGGCGATTGATCAGATGCTCCTGTTCTGCGCATGGTCAGTGGCGTGTTCTGAGCTCATTGTGGTCAAGAGGGAGACTGGGACCTTCTTCGTCGAGCGCTTCTGGATCGGAGCCGTTGGATTCTGTCTCATTGTCTGCTGGATACCTAAATGTCTTGCGCATGCGCGCCGTCTGGTCACGGAAAGAATTATTCATGAATTCTCTGGCGATGGTTGATGTAGCTGCCATGAGCTGTTGCTGTACAAGTCTGGGCAGCGGGATTCGTGGCGGCGGGGATGGGATCCAGGGTCCAGTCCAGCTTACAGGCACGCTGGAAAATTTCCCCGGGGCGCCGCCCATCAACTCTCGCCCATCGACGCATCAACGCCAACGTCACAGGGCCAATCCGACCCAAAGCAAGCCAAGATGTTCTCGCGCGCCGTTCGACAACGACTAGCCTCCGCCGCAACGAGGAGGAGTCCAGTGAAGCAGCCACAGCGACGATGGATCACGCCAGCTCCCAAGCCCGGTGACGGACCTCTCATGTCCCGTCGCGCCGATCGCGAACTACCTCGTATGATTGCCTTGCCCCCTTCCGAGTCTCCGCCTCATGAGCATGGCTGGAGCCGCACGTACGCTCGTGTACGCTAATCGATCTGATTTCTCGTAGACTTGGAGCAGGTCACATTCCGCTGGGGTCGCACCCTGCCCATCTTCCTCGTCATCGTCACCATCTCGAGCGTCGCCATCTTCAACTACCAGAAGTCGTCCTCCCCCGTGACGGCTGGCACGCTGTATGCCCTGCGCACCAACCCCCGCGCCCGCGCGCTGCTCGGCGACGACATCTACTTCAAGCACCAGATCCCCTGGATCCATGGCGAGATGAACCAACTGCACGGCCGCATCAACATCTGGTTTACTGTCAAGGGCACCAAGAGCACCGCCGTCATGCGATTCGCCAGCCACCGCAAGACGGCGAGGGGCGTGTTCGAGACGACCGAGTGGAGCTTGGAGGGCGAGGATGGCACAGTCATTGATCTCCTGGAGGAGGGCGATCCGTTCAGGAATCTCATGGGCGACGACGATGATTTCGTCATCCCCGTAGCGGCGCAAGACGAGGACGCGATACGTGGATTCAGGCAGCAGCCACCATTGAATCGGTAGACATGGTTACGCTATGAATTGTACAGTAGATGTATATGACATGTATAATACAACAGCCGAGACTCCAGACCCATTGTGCCCTAGTTGTAGTACATGCAACGACGGCCGTCCACTAATACTCGATCAGATATCCCTCCTCAGCGCCTTGAGCTCCAGATGCGCTGACCGCGCCATCTCTAGTTGAGCCTCCACGCCACTATTCCTCTCCACCAGCGTCTTGAGTATCTCTTCCCTGAACGGCAGACCGGGCGCCTTCATCTTCTTCGAATCCTGCAGCTTCAACGTCCTGCCCTTGGGGCCCGGGACCGCCCCGCTGACCAGTACGGTGCCGAGCTCATTGTCGACCGCGAGCACCTTGAGGTTCTGCACCGTGACGTTCTCGTTGCCCATGCGCCCCGGCATCTTCTTGCCAGGGTGCACACGGGAACCGCCGCCCTGGGAGGGACCCGTGGAACCGATCGTACGGTGATTCTTGGAGTTACCGTGGGATGCCTCCTGTCCTGAGAAACCGTGGCGCTTCATACCACCGGCGAATCCCTGACCTCGCGAGGGGCCCTTGACATCGACGTACTGTCCGACCTGGAACCAGTCGGGGTGGATTTGTGCGCCGACGGGCAGCAGGCCATCCTTGTCCCTGACAAAGAACTCGGCGAGCTCAGCCTTGGGAGCGATGCCCTTGGCCTCGTAGTATCCCAACTGCGGCGCCGTGACGTTTCGGGGCTCCTTGCTGCCGCGTCCAATCTGCACGGCCCAGTACCCGTTCTTCTCGCGTGTCCGGTTGGCGACGACTTGGACTTGGTCGAGCTGGAGGACGGTGCAGGGGATGCGCTCCTTGCCGACAAAGATGGCCGTCATGCCCTTCTTGGTGGCCAGAACACCAGTGCGGAAGGGTGTGGTGCGCTCTCGGCGCTTGAGGGCCGCGGCCGGGCCGGTGGTGGGCTTGGGGATGCCGGCTGTGATTTGGTTGTAGCGCCAGTGCTTGGATCGGGGAGGTGCCGTGGACCAGCCATTGTGGACGCTTCGGGTGGCTGTCGAGGGGAGACGAAGAGGCGATGTGGTTGTTCGGGCGACGAAGCGCGGGAGCGCCACCCGCAGAGCGATACGGGGCGGCATGGTGGAGGGTATGGCGGGAAGGAGATGGTTGAATTGAGGCGCGATCTGGTCGTCGCGATGGGAAATTTTGGAGGTGCTGGGTGAACGAACGGGGGATCTTCGGCTGGGTTATGTGGGTCCTGTGTGTCCCTGCTGAGCTCCCAAGGTAAGATGCATTTACTGAGGAATTCAGAGTCTTTGTTCATTAATTTAATCTATTTGTTTATCATTTCTTTCCCCCAATGCCGCTGCCGACATCGTTGACCCCAGTTCCCTTGATCCTGTGATCTCCAGGCTGGGGCGCGGCTTCGTAGAGAATGTTCTCCGGCGCCTTGCCCAGCTTCGTCCACTCGCCCTTGAAACCAAGGTAGCTTATTTTGGTCGTGTCCTCTCCAAAATTGTCCTCAAAGAACAAGCTCAGGCGCTGTACCTTGGAGAAGAGGGCGCGTTTGAGCGGAATGTCCTGGATATCAGAGGTCTGCGAGAGCTCCAGAGTCTGTGTGGGATGTGTGTCCTCAGCGGATTGGAAGTCGAGGTGAGCGTTGTTGATGTACAATTTGAGTGTTCTCGGGGCGTCATCTGATGGCGACGTACGCAGTAAGATGGAGTGCAGCTTGACTTGTGCGGTGAACCTAGATGGTTGTGAGATGATAGGCTCTAGCAGTGTGGCATGGACTCTCATAAGACGTACGGCACTGTCATCAGGAGCTGCTCGTCGGCATCGCTCTCTAGCTCGGGCTCAAGTTCCAGGCGTTCTGCCCAGGTCTTCTTCACAATCTTCTTGCCGGAATCGCGTGCCGCTTCGTTTAGGGTGACAATTTCGTCAAAATTGACTTGCTCGTAGAGTGAGTGTTGCAAAGCTGGTGTGATGTCGTCTGAGTGGCCATGCTCATGGTCGTGGCCGTGGCCATGGTCGTGCTCGTCGTGACAATGCGACATTCTGCTTTTGGTTACAGGCTCTAATTATAACATTGAAACCTCAAACGTCAAGAAGTATTGTCGATGAGGTTGGTGTGAAAGAAGGCAATGCCTTGATCAAGCCCCACGTCCACAGGCGGCGACTGGTGATGGTGCCCCGCGGTTCCTGCGTGGAGCCCTTGATTCGTGATCATGATGGTGACACAGCGACAAAAGAGACGGTTTACAGATGTGTTGCGTATATAAATGCGCTAATTAGCCATATTCAGAGCAAAGTGAATTCCCATTTTGGCATGTTTGTTAAAATGTATGGTATGGTTTGAATATATCGATCGAAGCATACAGCGAATTCCTTCCACCCATAATCAGAGCAATCCATCTCCTTGCCCGACAAGGACTCAGTGACCACCAAATCCCTAGCGGAAACCGCTTCTCTTCTTCTTCGCCACCTTCTTGGGCTTCTTCCCAGTTGTACCAAAAGCTCCAGGCAAAGGCTGACTCATAGTGATCCTTGGCTGACTTTGGGAAGACTCGGGGGGCCGGCTGCTGCGAACCTGCGAAGCCGCCGGCGCTGGTCGCAGAGGTATCTGGCTAGACTCGGGAGCCTGGCTGGACATGCCTGGCCTGATTGGCACCTGCGTGGATCTCGGCGCCTCTTGACTGGAGGCACCCGCTGGCGTCGCATGCTTCAACGGCGATCCGCCGCGTTTCAGGGGCGGCATCTTGTATTTCTCCGCTGCCGCTTTGCGCTTCCGCTCTCTGCTAGCCAGCCTCTGTCTTGCGGGATCAAATTGTCGCTCGGTGGCCAGTGCCACGGACGAGGTGTAGTCTTTGAGGTCAATGCCACGTTCAGTAGGCCAGAAGGACAAGACCGATGCAGGTTTCACGGCCCCAAGTTTCCCTGCTCGGATAGTTGGCGCGAGTAGACTGAGCCGCTTGAAGGCGTCATCTGCCGGCGGAGGGGTAACCGGATCGCTGCTGAACGCGGAAGGGTCCGAAAGGGCGGAAGACTGCTGAGAGGAAGCAAAGGCAATGGCACTCGATATGCTTTGTTGGCTGTCCATTGGATTGTCTGAGGAGTGCGGCCCAAACAAGGGGACGTCTTGGAAGGCAATGCCATGAGTAGAGAGGAACATGTCTCTGGCCAACTCCAGAGCGTGGTCTTGCTTCAACCTCAAGGCCTCCTCGGATATGTGACCCCTGACTGGGTCAACCCAAATAGACATCAGTTGCTTTTGAAGTAACGGCAAACTGCCAAGTGGCCTGTCGGGTTCGTCCGGGTGACGTCGATTGAGTTGGGCGATGATGGTGTTTTCCTCGGCATGGCCCAGCACCTCCGATAGATTTTCTTCCATCTCTTCGGCAGGGAGCTCATGGACGTCGTCAGAAGGGGGCACTTTTGCAGATATATCTTTCCAGGTCATCAGACTCAAGTGGCCATCAGCCAGCCCGCTCTGCAGCGCCTCCCGGATCCCGCGCAATAGCGACAGGGACAGCCCGGCGCCGCCACCACCGAGGCCCCTGCGCATCTCGTCTTCCAGGAAGGGCAAGACATGATTGAGCCTCATTGCAACGGAGTCGTGATCTCGGGAGGATTTTCGAGGTGGAGGTGCGGGCTTTGGCTCTACTACCCGGCGAAGGCGCGTGTTCTGCGAAATACGTGCGAGCGAAAGCATGGCTTCGTCTGTCATCGAGTCAGGTATGACCACAGCGTCCCCCATGTACCTGAACATCTGATGGCGTTTAGATCTCCAACGTCTGTTCTGATCAGTACCGCTCCAGTTGAGCCGTTGGACAGGCAGTGCGACAATAAGAGATGGATCGTTGCAGGTGTAGAACATGCAGTACCGGACGCTCAGGTCCCGAGCAAGCATCATACCCTGGTAAAATTGTACGCCAGCTTGGAGATACTTGTGTCCCAGACCCCTCCTACCCTGAGGATGAACCGTAATACTCGATGGTGTGACCGCAAGTTGCTGCACTTGAAAGGCATCTCCACTTCCCAGTGTGAGGACTGTGAGCTGCGAATGCCACGAAGGAAGACCACTTGCGCCATCCATAAAGAACCAAAGCACGCGTAACGTGTTACTTTTTGGCATGGTCAGGGAGATCATCGCTTCGGCAGTGCTGCCTTCGGCTACACCACAGATGGCCATCTTCGGTATATCAGGCTTGTGGCAGTCGTGCGGGCACTTGAGAAGAATTCGAGGTATTTCCTTTGATGTGCCTGTGGTGGGGAACAGATCGATCCAGACGAGATATTTCGTGGTGAGTACGAAGATGTGATTCTGGTTGCTTGGATTGACTTGAACGTCCAGTATGGATCCAAAGGCTCTCTCGCCTGTAGTAAATCCAGGGATGTCCGGAAGGTGTTGGCCGCTCACCAAGTGAACTGTCCTCAGGAGCTGGCTATTCCACAGTAGAAGATGCGTTGACGGCTTCTTCGTTGGCAAAACCTCAACTACGAAGCCGGACGAGTCCTCGTCGCCCACGAACAGGACACCGTGCGGCTGAGCAGGGTACAGGCTGCGTTGAGGAACTTGATGCAATGGGCCCTCCCATATGTGGCCTTGCCGATGGGGTGTTAACCGCATGTTTGCCTTGCCCGTTCTTGTGAAAGCTTCAACATTCCACAGAGTCCAGTATCCACACTCATCCATGACACAAAACTGCGGCTTGCGATTGAGGGTTGGAGGATTATAGGCAAAGTCCACATGTGCATTTCCACCGGTTTGAGCATACCCGATAGTAATGACAGGATTTGGCTTGATCCATGAGAGCGTTTTCCGGTCCGATTCAAGCGAAATCGTTTGCGTTATTGGAACATGGCTGTACTCAGGACAGAGAATCGTCGTCGATGTCGATTTCTGGACAATGAGCCATCGCAATGTGGCTACCTGAGGATCCACGGTTGAGATGAACCTCATCTGAGTGATGGGTAGTCCGTCGCTTTGCCAGAAGTTCTCGCTGTCCTGATCGGTAGGATCGACTACAGACAGATTGAGCTGTGCGTGATCCCCATCGTCCCAAGCCCATCGTGAGTCCTCAACTCGCGACAGCCGCAGGAGTTCGCCGGAGTCTCCGGCAGGAGCAGCAAGCACATGAGCGACGCTGGGTTTCTTTGGGACTCTCAGATCAGCTACCTCTCCCACCGCCAACAACGACCTCATGGACGACGGATCATCTGCCTTGCGGTATTGAACGAGTCCTTCGGTGAGTAGATCGGGTGTTCCTGCGCTGCCCATGAAAGCACCAGCATGCGATTTGAGCAGCCATCGCCTCTGCAAGTTCCTTTCGGCACCAAGATGAGAGTGAGTCAATGGTGGTAGTAGCTTCTTGGAGGCAGTATACAGTTCTGCAGATGTGCCGATTTGTTTGAAGTAAGGGGCTGTTGCGGAGTTAGAATCCGAGATGTAAACTCCTCCTTCTCACAGAGACTCACCATCAGACACCAGTCGGTTCACATGCAGTGTTCCTGGCTCGCCCGGCCCAGACTTCTCTCCGCCTGTTTGATATATCGGATTTCGCACCGGACCATGTCTCAGGTCGGCGAACCGCCTAACCTCAGCCATCTGGCCGAAGTAAAGATTTCCAATGCGACAGTCGTGTGGTCCAAGCGTACTTCATTTCGTTTCTTATAGTGTGTCGTGGATGAGGCAGGATAAAGACTCATGCAATCATCTTCCAGCGTACAGAGAAAGATATGTGAATCGGACGAAGAGTAAGGCAGTGATGGGGAGATGCTGAGCTGCTTGTTGCTTTCTCAAGTCGCGTGGTGAACTTTCGTCGTGAACTTTAGGTGATAAGAATTATATGTGGCGGTGCACGCTAAGATAAGCCGATCAAGCCACAATCTGCAGCGCATTCATTTGGCGCGGCAACGCGGCCATTGTTTGTGCCATTGGAGGTAAACACGTGAATCCCGTCTGCACGCGGGCAAGCGACAACTTTCCCGACAACCTAACACAAGTGTGCCAGCATAGCCGATTTCCTCCCATTCTCTACATTCAACAACATGTCTGCCGCCTTCGAATCGTCGCTGTCAAGCAGTCAGCACCGCCAAACCATGTCCTCTCTGGGCCCCTCCATGGCCGACACGCTACCGAGCACCGACTTTGGCTTCGATGAGCTGCGTGATCGCATGGCCAAGTTCACCGCCAAATTCGATGCCTTTATTGAGCAAGGACGCAAACGTGTCCTGGAAGAACGCAACAACTTTCGCATGAACGTCGCGGAGCTACAAGAAGACCAGCGCATGAAGAAGCGCGACATTGAGATTGTCCAGGCAAAGACATCAACCCACGCGCAGACGATCGAGAAGGAGGAGGCGGAGACGCGGGAGATTGAGAGTGCCATCGAGGAGCTAGCGCGCCAGAGAGACGAGCAGAACGCGACGAGGGAGGCGCTCAAGGCACAGATTGAGCAGACGCAGGCGGAGATTGACAAGCGGCTCGCTGCGCAGCGAGCGTATGCGCAACGGCAGGAGGCACAATCGCGCTTCAACGTGCCTGAGCTGGACTTTTGGATCCAGAATCTGTGTTTGACCATTCACGGCGCCGGACGCGAGGAGCGGCTCAAGTTTGTGTATACACACATTGACGAGAAGGACTGGGAGAGGGAAGCCTGGTTTGAGCTACTGACAGGATCGAGGGACTACGATATCAAGCATTGCCGTCCCAAGCTGGAGCGCGAGAAGGTGGAAAAGGTGCTTGACAAGGTGAATGAGTCGAGAGAATTAGTTGTGTTACTGAAAGGGATGAGAGAATTGTTTGTGGAAGCGATCCAGGGATGAGTCTACTGCCTTCAAATATGCAGCTTTGTTTTTCTAATGATACCAAATTGAAACGCCCGCTTAATGTCTGTATAATCGTAAACCTGCCTTGGAATCGTGCCTTGGTCATGTTGGCGACCCCCCATGGGCATCATGTTGTGAACAGCCCCGCCACTCAACGCGCTCCACGCGAAACTCCCACCTCCAAACCACCATCGCCAGCATGCCGGAGCAGGACAAGCACGCCGCCGCGCAAAAGGCCGTCGACATTCTTCACGAGATATCCACGATACTTGTACGAGCTCCTCGATCTCTTCTCTGATTTCGCTCAGCAAACTGACCCGCAGAACTGCCATCTTGACCGCCGAACGCTGTCGATATGTATCTCCATGATTGAGAGAGGCGTCAACCCAGAGGCGCTGGCTGTACGTACCATCCCCCCTAAAGCTCTAGATGCATCGTTGACAGTGAGGAAAAGCAAGTCGTCAAAGAGTTGAGGCAAGAGGCACAGTCAGTGCAGCGGCCGTCGTAAACCACCGTCAAGCGTCTGTTTGGTGTGGAGTTTTGGGTTTGCAAGGATTCGGCGTGTCATCACGATTTCTACGCTTTTGTACGACATGAGGAGTTTGATGAAATGATGATCAATCCAATAAAGTCAGTGTCGCTATGAATGAGTTCTGGAGGCCACCAGTTTTCATGCCTCCAATGGTACTTGATGCGCCCTTTGCTCCTATAACCAAACCCGATGCCGACAATGCTCTCCTTATGACTGTCCAAAATGTGCAAATCCTCATAAATACATAGCAGCTCCCATTATCACGCCGAGCCTTGCCAAACGTCCCGGACACCCCCGGCCGCATCTTCGCGGCGGGAGCTACCTGTGACCGATGAGTAGAATCTCGTTGGCATCGTCGTCGTCATCTTCTTCATCGTCCGCTGACTCTTCGTCGCTCTCGTCTTCGAACATGTACTCATCGTCGTCGTCTGCCGAGCCGCGCCCCCAGAACCCAAAGATGCCGTTGTTGGGTTCGTCGGGATCCGAGTCAATGTTCTCCAGACTCGTTCCAACACGCATGTTCGGCGGTGGATACGACCCTACGATTGCTTCAGACACTCGCCGTTGCATTTCGATGCCTTGTGACGAGTGCCTTCTGCGATTGGCTGGAATGACGGGCTCTGTTGCTTCCGCTCCTTGGCCTTGGAATCCAGACTGTTCTGGTTGAGCGTTTGTCCCCTCCACCAAAGCAGCTTGCAGCTCTTGACTGTTGCTACCCAGGATCTGAAGCTGGAAAGTATTGTATGATTGGCAGGTCCCGCATTTGGTACCGAGCCAATGATAGGGAACCATACTCCGGCCGGAGCAGTCATTGCAGAGCACAATCGCCCTTGTGTCACGAAATTCAGCAGGCATTGGCTGACTTTGGATGGCAATGTCCAGATTGCGGAACTGTGTTTCCATGTTCGCCAAACTCTTGTTGCAGATCGGACACTTGTACGAGACCGACATGTGTTGGTCGTAGCATTTCTTGTGTATACTGTGACCGCAAACCATGAACACGACCGGTCGGGGCGACGTGAATAGGTATTCACCGCAGATGGGGCAGTCACAGTCCGTAGAGCGTTCGATGCACTTGTGCGTCGTCTCAATATTCGTCGGTATACACGCGCAGCACGTGAGGCAGTGGAAAAAGTCCTTCCCGATGCCGTGCCCTTTCCGACAAATGCCACAATCGTAGCAGTGATAAATGGGTTTATCTTGACGGTTCTCCCACAGCTTGCAGATGCCACAGTAGTAGTACGCCGACGGTTCTTGGCAAGCGACACATGCTTCTGACGCCCTTTGCGGCGTTTTGCAGAGCATACATAGCATGTATTTCGTCTCGAAGCGCGGCAATTTGTGATCGTGTCCCATTTCTTCGTCATGACAAAAGCGACAGGGATACCACTTGCGGCACGTGTTGCACTGTAGCTTCACATTCCGTTCGTAATGTTGACATCCCAGCTGCGGCTGGGTGATTTCGGACATTGCCTCTGCAGGAGCACCGGGTGTGATCTGCCCCGAAGCTAGTCCCGACTGATTCTTGAATGGCCGAGACGGTGCCCACGAGGGCATGAGATCACTCTCAGTGAGATGAAACTCTTCGGTGTCGTTGTCGCCCGTCGACGACCAAAACATCAAGGAGTCGAGAGCACCTTGCGGTCTGAGTTCCTCCTTCATTTGGCCGACGGGGCCTGTCGAACCGATCGCTATGTGTTGGAGGTTGGGCACTGCCCTGGACGCATTGTATCGTTCGAGATGTAAGTTGTGCATGAGCCTGGCCTTCTCCTCTGGTGACACATCTCGGGCATAAATCTCCTGTATGCGCCTTCGCATTTCTGCCATTCCGTCGTCCTCTGGTATCTTGCTGCCTCGCCTTCTGTTGGGTAAGAGGGGGAATCCGAGATGGTCGCGAGGACTGCCGTCGTCTACAGTGGCCGCCATTGGGCTGGCCAACACTTCATCGGACCGTCCCAAAGCGCCCAGCGCCGACATGGGGCCTGAGGATGTTGAATTGTCGAGGTCGGGGCACGCTATGGGAGCGATGAGGGCTGGTGTTGCATTGCTGATATGGACGTCCGATTCGTTGTTATCGATTACAGCCTCTGGCTGCGGGCCTGGGGCTTCATCGCCGCTGCCAAAGATAGTCGATCGCGAGACTTCGGAGAAACGGCGAGCTTGTCGGAGAACAGGATTGATGAGAAAGTCGCTGACCAGATAAGACATTAGATCTAGGTCCGAAAATGACCTCGCACAGAACCAGCCGACCTTCGGAGGGGGCGGCAGGGGAGAGGTCCTCTTTTGTCTGTTGTAGGGCGCGCTTTAGCGGGGAGGGAGGAGTGATGGCGCGGGCTGAGGTAGGGGACCAGCGACAACTAGAGGTTGCCGAAGCGGAGGCCGAGAGCACGGCAAAGGTGACGAGACTCTGCGCGAGTGATAGGGAATAGGTAGACAGTGAGCGGTTTGGTTATCAAATGCGTCGTCGAAGGAAACGGTGTGTGAGAGGATGACATAACGAGGTGTGGCCCATTCAGCTGGGTCTGGATTCGGGAGGGATCGTTGTTGGATGCTGGCGACTGGCCGCCTGTCTCAGTCCCTCAGGCATGTGATGGGCTCTGAATTGTGCCGTACTACGTCTACAAGTACAAGTACGTTCAGTGGCTCAGCTCGAGGATAGGAGAGGACTGGGGAACTGTGGCTGGTGCAAATCGACACGTTGTGGTTCCATTGAACGTGTGGCGCTGTGAGCCGGACTGGAGCTCGGATGCAGGGGCGTCTTCTTCCCAGCCTTAGCTGGCCTCTTACCTTGCTGTTCTTCAACGCCAAACCGGTCGCTTCTTTATAGCATCCTCTTTCTTTTTCTTCTTTCATCACTTTTGCGTCTGCAGAGACGTATTGTAATCGCGGCTTCTTCGCCAATGCCGGACCGTCTTTGAGTTTGAAGCTCGTCCAGTCCTTTAACGTCCCCAAGTTCAACGGCCCCTCCTCAGTCACCCCTAAGAGGCCCTGGTCCCCTATTCTGGTCGCCGCGAATCTCCCTTCAGCCGCGCCACGGTTGCCGATTGTTTGATCATCGCGCCTCAGCATCATCGCAACCCTGAAGCAGCTCATCTCTCTTCTCCGTCCTCGCCATGGCCTCTGAAAAGGCCACACTCGCGTCTGGCGCTGACCTTGGCGATGGTCTTCGCCAGCGTGTCCCTTCGACTCAGACCGCCTCACGCCCCGCCCAACCAGCCGACAATAAGAAGTTTGTGAAGAAGGTCCGTGTCTAGCAAAAGCGAGGAATGCACCAGCGCTGACCAGATATCTAGGAGAAAACCTTTGTCGAGAACTTCACCGAATGGGAGCCCATCTTCGCTCCCATCCTCTTCACGATTGCCGCGTTCGCAACCCGACTATGGAAGATTGGCATCAGCGACATTGTGACCTGGGACGAGGCGCATTTTGGCAAATTCGGCAGCTACTATATCAAGCACGAGTACTACTTCGATGTTCACCCTCCTCTCGGCAAGATGCTGGTCGGTCTCTCTGGAGTCCTGGCCGGCTACAACGGCACCTTCGAGTTCAAGTCTGGCGAGAAGTACCCTGAAGAGGTCAACTATGCCTTCATGCGCGCCTTCAACGCCCTCTTCGGTATTCTTTGCATCCCCCTGGCATACTACACGGCTCGCGAGCTCAAGCTCCGTCGTCCTGCAGTATGGCTTGTGACCCTCATGGTCCTCTGCGAGAACTCGTACACCACCATCAGCCGCTTCATCCTGCTCGACTCCATGCTGCTGTTCGGGACGGTCGCCACCGTGTTCTGCTGGTCCAAGTTCCACAATCAGCGTCACAGCGCCTTCGAGCCCGAATGGTTCCTCTGGCTGTTTATGACCGGCATTAGCATCGGTTGCGTGTGCAGTGTGAAGCTCGTCGGTCTCTTCGTCACCGCGCTCGTCGGTCTGTACACGATCGAGGATTTGTGGAACAAGTTCGGCGACACCAGGATGCCCGTGTCTACGCTGTCCGCTCACCTTTTCACCCGTATCATTGGTCTCATCATCATTCCTTTCATGATCTACATGCTCTCCTTTGCGCTTCACTTTGCGATCCTCGACCGCAGCGGTCCTGGTGACGCCCAGATGAGCTCTCTGTTCCAGGCCAACCTCAAGGGTACCAACGTTGGCAAGAACAGCCCGCTCGAGGTCGTGTACGGTTCGCGCGCGACCATCAAGAACATGGGATACGGCGGTGGTCTGCTGCACTCCCACGTCCAGACCTATCCCGAAGGTTCGCAGCAGCAGCAGGTTACTTGCTACCACCACAAAGACACCAACAACGACTGGTTCTTCTACCCCAACCGCAACGAGCCTGACTATGACGCCGAGTCTGAGGAACTTCGTCACATTGGTGATGGCTCCCTCATCCGTCTCATTCACGCTCAGACTGGCCGCAACCTTCACTCGCACTCCATCGCCGCTCCTGTGACCAAGAAGGACAACGAGGTCTCGGCCTACGGTAACTTGACTGTCGGCGACGACAAGGACCACTGGAGGGTCGAGGTTGTCCGCGATGCTGCCTCTTGGGACCGCAGCAAGCTGCGCACCCTGACCACGGCGTTCCGACTGAAGCACCCTACTCTTGGCTGCTACCTGCGCGCCGGCAACACCAACCTGCCCCAGTGGGGTTTCAAGCAGGTTGAGGTGACTTGCACAAAGCAGAACAACCCTCGCGACACGTACACTCACTGGAATGTGGAGGCGCACTGGAACGACAAGCGTAAGTGAGGCCATTTCAAAGGCGCAGCATGTGACTAACAAACCTCAGTTCCTCCCAGCGACCCTAGTGTATACAAGTCTCCCTTCTTCCACGACTTTATTCACCTGAACGTTGCCATGATGACCTCGAACAATGCCTTGGTCCCCGACCCCGACAAGCAGGACGACCTTGCATCTCAGTGGTGGCAGTGGCCTATCCTGCACGTCGGTCTGCGCATGTGTGGCTGGGATGACAAGATTGTCAAGTACTTTCTCCTGGGCAACCCCTTTGTCTACTGGGCCTCGACTGCCAGCTTGGGTGTCCTCGCCCTGGTGGTCTTCTGGTACCTGGTCCGCTGGCAGCGAGGTTACAAGGACCTCCAGGAGAGCGAGGTCGATCGCATGCACTATGCTGGCCTGTACCCGGCTGCCGGATGGTTCCTGCACTATCTGCCGTTTGTGATCATGGCGCGTGTCACCTATGTGCACCACTACTATCCGGCGCTGTACTTTGCCATCCTCACGCTTGGTTTCCTCGCCGACTGGTTCCTCCGGAACCGCGGCGCTGCGATCCAGGCTGTCTCGTATGGCATCCTGTACTCGGTCATCATCGGCCTGTACATTCTGTTCATCCCCATCTGCTGGGGCATGACAGGCAGCAACAAGCAGTACAGCTACCTCAAGTGGTTCGACAACTGGAGGATCAGCGATGCCTAAGCGCATTCCCACTGATTGTCACCCTAGGCATGGCGGAAGGGTGTCTGTGTAATAATAGTGCGGGATGATGGGCAACGTCATGGGGATCTACTTAACGACCTGGTATTTGCATGTCTGAAGATTGATATAGGGAGGTGCGGAAAAGTTTAATGCAATGTAGGTCGAGCTCTAGTAGATGAATGCTCGAAAACGTAATGCAAGATGATAAGAAACCCTTGTCTCGCTGCCTGTGAAGCAGAGCCTTCATGCATTAGTATTATTGGTGTTGTCTCTAATTATGATTCTGGCCATCGCTTCTATCAGCAACACATGCCTCCTGATGATTTGCTCGCGTCTGTTGAAAGTTTCACTTGGCCTTTGTTGCCTGCTCCTGGGCCTTTGACCCCCGACCTCCTGTCATTGAGGTCGTATTTGCCGGCCTGGATATTTTGGTATATCCTCTCCGCGACTCTCATGAATGCGTTCTCGACATTCTCGCCGCTTTTGGCACTTGTCTCGACATACTCCATCACGCCGTTCTTGCGTGCCCAGTCCTCGGCTTCTTCCCGCGTGACCTCGCGCTTGTTGCCCTCGTCCCGTTGCGTCAGATCGGCCTTGTTCCCGACGAGTATGACGACGATATCCGGCTCCGCAATCTGGCGCAGGTCGTTCAGCCAGTCGGTGACGTGCTGAAAGGTCTGCCGCCGACTGAGGTCGAAGACTAATAAGGCACCGCTCGCGCCCCTGAAGTACGACCTCGTCACGCTCTTGTACGTCTCCTGGCCGGCCGTGTCCCACAGGCTCAGCTTCATGTGTTTCTGGGCGACATCGCGCCGCGGCTCGGGGAGGCCTTGCTCCTCCTCCGAGGACGGGAGGGCGGGCTGGGTGTGGGGAGGGCCGACGGGGACGATGCGCGAGCCGAACTCGACGCCAATGGTCACGTCGTGGTGCGGCGAGAAGCGACCTTCGCAGAGGCGGATGGTGAGCGAGGACTTGCCGCAGCCCGAGTCGCCGATGCAGACGAGTTTGGCAATGTAGTCCCAGGAGGACATGGTTCGGATGAGGGATGGGCGCACGTGCGGTTCAGGGAATGTCTCGTAGGTGAGGTGCGGTGGTTTCTCGTTCATGTAAGAGGTGTGCAGCAGGCTGTGCTTTGTATCGCGCCAGAGATACTGACCGGGTGTCGAGATCAGTGTTCGAGGTCAAGGGGTCAGCGGTTGTGTGTGTGTGTGTGTGAGAATGTCATGGATGTCGTCGGCTCCAGTCCCCGTCTCCAACAGACTGGAGGCAGTGACGCAACTCCACTTTGGGGGAGACTCCAATATCCTCTGGCCCTGGGCAGGCACGAGGTCCGGTCGCGTGCCGCTGCAGCAGGGGATTGTTTGCGGTTCAGATAAGCACATAGAATCTTCATACATTAGACTATTAGAGTGAAATGGGATACTGGCCCTGATGCGTTGGGAGACTGGACTTGATCTTGCAAGAGAACCCCCGAATAACCTTCGGGCTTGAATAAGGTACCTCTAGTAGGCTTATCAGGGCCTCTGGTAGATCCGCGTCACTTGACATGTCTCAGCGCCAGCTTCTTGCGACACGTACAACGTCGATGTGATGCGACATGATAGCTCACTACAATTAGGTTTCAAGCAAAAACATATCCATTTGCCTTTGGATGGCAAGCTTTACATTCATCCACGGCATTTCCTCTTCAACGAGAGCTGGACTGAAGGATGGACACATCTGCCCCCCTAGGAAAAGTCAGTGGAGGAAAAGCTGGGGCTCACCGTAGCGCAGAGGGCAGACCGCCTGGACTCTGGAGGCTGGACCTGCAGACGGGGATCACGCAGCCCCACATCAAGTCCCGTGGGCGTCATCCGGAAGCAGCTGGACTGGTTGGAGTCAGTCGCTCCAGTCAGTCACCTTGAGATCATGGCTGCTGCCTTTACGCCTTATCCGTACGTAGGTATCGCAGGCTGCGTCTACCTTACACCTTTCGCCCGATGCAACACGGTGCACTGCTTCTGGGTCTTGTTCTCCCCAGCGCATGTTAACCTGTCTTTTTGTCCTTCTTCACAATCATTCGAAGCTATCCTTCGCATCTAGTCCCGTCCTTCCACTTCTCCAACATCGCCCACGTCGGGGTTCGCCTGCGTGCTTGCGCTTACCGACTCAACTCGCATTTGTCACACAGATAAGGCACGCACGGGTATCATCGAGAGTGACCACGCTCACCTGCCGAGGGGAGGCGGAAGGCGAAAAGGGGCAAGATGTTTTCTGAATGTACGTCACCGTCCTCTCGACTTATCTATTGCGTCAAGCTCACATGGTCCCAGATGCATCACGGTTTCTCGCCCAGTCCCAGTCGAGATTGTCGAACTTTGGCGGCCAACAGCAAACCTCTGACCCCAGTGAACACGACCGCAGTAATCCTACCCAACGCGACTGGGCATCCCGCCGCGACCGAGCCTCCAACAGATCCTACCTCGCCGCCCGAGGGAACCCTTATCAGCAGACCGGCACCGGTTCACGTTTCGGCAATCTCGCATTCGCCTCGCGAATATCGGCCGCACAGGATGCACCTTTGTTCCACAGCACAGTCGACGAGTTCCACGAGGACGATGAGCAGGAGCGGGATCGAGAAACGGCCGACATGTATGCGCTCCAGCGATCCCGGAGGGTTGCGGCAGCCAGTCAACTCGCACAGAGCGTCGAGTCGGCCGAGAATAGTCGAGGTTCTCTAGATGCGAGCGCAGAGGACGACCATCCCTATTCCGGTCGAGCTGGGCGAGGCCTAAAGAGTAGCTGGAACGGGACGAGGAGCACCCACAGACCCGGCATGGGCAAGGATGCTGTCCTGGAAGAGGAGGGCGAGGAGGCCGCGGCGCATGGTGATGAATCCCGAGAGAACAGTCTGGACAGCAAAGGCAAGATGGTCGATGTTGGGCTGGAGTCTCAAATCGAGGTCGACGACGACCCGCCGGAATCGCTGTTCGGAGCACCAACGGAAGACAGCCCGCCAGCCTTTCAAAAGTTCAAGGGAGATGCGGAACGCGCGCCATTCTTGCATAGGACGGAAGACGACGAGCAAAGCGCCGTGTCGAGACTGTCTGCAGACGACGAACAACCAATGAACACGCAAACAAATGCCACCCCCGAGGGCGAGGTCTTTCACCACGACCCCTTCTTCGCCTGGATCTTCTTGATCGCACTCGCCTCCATGTTCTCGACTTTTGTGCTGGTTTGGCTTAACACGTCGCCTACGAAAAGCCCCGTCGGCGACACCATCTACACGACCCTGCAAAGGTCTTTCAACATGCTTGCGGTGGACACAGTTGTGTCGATACTGGTATCCTTTGTGTGGCTAGCTGCCCTGCGCTCCTTTGTGCGGCCACTGGTCAACATGATTATCATTGCGGTGCCGGTTATCCTGTTATCGTTCTCGCTATACTCGTTCGTGTCCTCGTTTAAGGGACGGACACATGGTGCCAGCTTCCAGGATCTGGTGATGCGCTGGCTGTCACTGGCGCCGGCGGCAGGCTGCGTGCTGTGGCTGTATCTGGTCGTGAGGAGCCGGCAGGCCATCCAGCAAGCAATAGAGATCCTGCAATTCTCTAGCAAGATTTTGGCCCAGAATTCTGGACTCCTGGCGGTGGGCTTTGGATGTCTGGCCCTCATCGTTCTGTGGACATGGGCGTGGCTGGGCATGTTCACGCGCGTCTTTATGGGCGGCTACTTTTCCAAGAGTCTTGTCCGCTTCGTGATCCGGTTCTCGAGCTGGTGGCTGGGCGCGGCCTTTATTTTTATGTACATGTGGACGATTTCGGTGATCAATTCTGTCCACCGGGCCATCACGGCGGCCACTGTTTCTCAGTGGTACTTTCACCGCAACGCAGGCCCGGCTACGCCCTCGCGGGAGATTGTGGGAGCGGCCATGGTCCACGCAGTGACAACCATTTTCGGCAGCATCTGCGAGTCTACACTATTGGCGCTGCTCATCCGCGCACCACTGATCTTTCTACCCAGGCGGCTCGGGGGTCTAATCACGAACATGGCTTCATTCTGGATACCGACGCCCGTCATTGCGCTGACTAACCCGTTGACCGTCACTTATGGGGCGATTCACTCGCATAACCTGTCCAAGTCGGCTCGTGGCCTTGAACAGATGGAGGTCATCTCACCCGCCATCCCGACGACGACACTCACGCCACGCGCACTGGCCATTGGACGGACCAACGGACTCTTGCCGTACCGGCTGGCAAAATTGCTTCTCGTCGCGACCCGCCTGATCATGGCAACGGGTCTCGGCTTTGCAGGCTGGGTCATCACCGCGAAGCAGCTCCGTATCGAGATGCCCGAGGGCACCGGCATCCGAGGCTCAGCGTACGCTTACGTCGTGGGTATCATGGCCAGTTTTATCGGCTACTCGATTCTCGGTGCCATGGAGGGCATCCTCAGTGGGATTGTGGACGCGGTGCTGATCTGCTACGGGAGTGAGAGGCGGATGGACCGGGGACACGGACGGTTCTGCCTAGAGGCAGCTTATTTATTCGGAGAGAGGCGTCCTGGGGAGGTGATGGGATATGCATGATTCGACGTTGGTTTTGGGATGGAGTTTTTATGAGCATCTACGTACTCAGCTTTCTTATTAAGAGTAGGGCAGCGTTTGCAATTTATAATGTGACTCGACACGAACGCGATCAAAGTGAAGAGCCTGTTTGTGGTGAACATTTTCCAGTCACTGATCTGTCTCTCTGTCTTTGAATTTCGGTGACTGTTTCATTGTTTCTTGTTTCTCTTCTGGTAGAGCCCTCGAGTTCAGTATATCATAGACAGACACAGCACATCCCTGGCTCTCATCTCCTCACACCATCATCTTTCTTCTTGTCTGCGCCGGACAGATACGCAGCCATGTCAAAGTTGCCGAGCGGGTTCGGTTGGGCGCCGCCCTGCATGGCGGCCAGGGGTCCATTGCGCTGGTGCTGTTCCAGTTCGGCCTTCATCTCGGGGTCCACTGCGAATTCTGTCAGCTCTCTTGTCCAATGATTCATCTGTCCTTCCTGCTGGAAACTCACTGTTCTCCATGAGCTTGGGCATGCCCACAAACATGACCATGCTGACCAACCCCATGAGGATCATGGGGTTCTTGAGGATCGTCATGACCGAGAAGCTGGGCCGCTCGGCAAAGTACATCTTGCCGCCGAGGGCTTTCAGCTCGACGCCCGTCCCCGCGCTGCCGGCCTTGACCTCCCTCTTCTCGCCCTTATTGTCCCACTCGTTGCCGCGGTACGTCTCCCAGGCCTCAATGGTGCCGTCGTCCTTGACGTCGATGCGGAGCGGCTGGAAGACGTCCGTGGGGCAGTGGACGTCGAGGAGGTACGAGTCGGCCGTGAGGTTGTGGAAGAGGAAGGTGTTCAGGCTCGACACGGGCGAGGAGTGGTGGGCGTGGAGAGAGGAGAGGGTGGCATGCGTCGAGGCCGGGAGGGTGAATGGGTTCGGCTTGGCGGGCAGGTAGAGGGTGAGAGAATGGGCGAGGGCCGTCGATAGAAGCCCAGTGAGGGCCAGAAGCTCGAATCGCATGATGGCGGCTTGGTTGGTGCTGGTGGTGAAATACCTACACGATTCGCCTTGCGTGGGGAGCATGTTGAGGCGGGAGGTGCAGTGATGTCAGCCAATCACGTGCAAAGAGTGGATCTACACTCTAGGAGCTTCCAGTGCAGTGTTGAGGTTTCACAGAGATAAGCAATTACACACGTATGCACATGAGCTTTATTTCGACTACTACGTAGATCTGATCCTTTTCATGGCGCCGTTGGAGCTTCAGTCTGCTTTCCAGATGTCGCATCCGGGCCCTTTTCTCCCCCCTCCGCCTTCGCTGCCGCTGCCTTCTTGAACGACTGCGCAAAGTCGGCGATAATGTCATCAATATGCTCAATGCCGACCGAGATGCGAATCAGATCCTCCGTCACGCCTGAGCTGATGCGCTCCTCCTCGGAGAGCTGCTCGTGGGTGGTGTTCCAGGGGCTGGTGATTCATTAGCTTTCCACATCTTTCCGCGAAGACAACTCGAATGAGAGGCAGGGGAACTCACTGGATGGCCAACGTCTTGGCATCACCGACGTTTGCCAGGTTGGAAATCAGATTGAAGCTATCGACGACCTGGGTGCCGGCAGCAGCGCCTCCCTTGACGCCAAAGCTGAGCACGCCGCCGAAGCCCCTCTTCAGGTAGCGCTTCGCGTTCTCGTGGTACGGGTGGCTTGCAAGGCCTGGATACGACACCCATGAGACATACTCGCTCTTCTCGAGCCACTGCGCGAGCTTGAGCGCATTCTCGGCGTGGCGCTCGGCCCGGAGAGACAGCGTCTCGATTCCGAGGATCAGCTGCTGCGCGGCAAAGGGGTTGAGGGTGGCGCCAAGGTCACGCAGAATCTCGACTCGGGCGCGGATGATGAAAGACTGGGCGCCAAATGTCTCCCAGAACTTGAGGCCGTGGTAGCCCTCTGAGGGCTCGACGAATTGCGGGAAGCGCTTGGGGTGGTCACCCCAAGGGAACTTGCCGCTGTCGACGACCACGCCGCCAATGGTCGTGCCGTGGCCGCCGATCCACTTGGTGGCCGAGTGGACGACAATGTCGGCGCCGTGCTCGATGGGACGGATAAAGTAGCCGCCCGCACCAAAGGTGTTGTCCACAACGAGCGGAACGCCCTTCTCGTGCGCCACCTTGGCGATGGCCTCGAGATCGGGGACGTTGTAGCGGGGGTTGCCGATGCTCTCGACGTAGACGGCCTTGGTCTTGTCGTCAATGGCGTTGCGAATGTTCTCGAGATTGTCCACGTCGACAAACTTGGTCTTGATGCCGAGGCGCGGCAAGAAGACCTTGAGCTGGTTGTACGTGCCGCCGTAGAGGTTGGTGGTGGACACAATGTTGTCGCCCGCGTGGGCGAGCGTGGCGAAGGCGATGAACTGCGCGCCCTGGCCCGAGGAGGCGGCGAGGGCGGCGATACCGCCCTCGAGCGCGGCGATGCGCTTCTCAAAGACGTCGACCGTCGGGTTCATGATGCGGGAGTAGATGTTGCCAAACTCCTTGAGGCCAAAGAGGCGCGCGCCATGGGCCGAGTCATTGAAGGTGTAGCTCTGGGCGTTTTTGTCAACGTTTCGTTTCCTCAAGGCAGCGTGCAAGGGGAGAGACGCACGGACGTGGCATAGATGGGCACCGCGCGCGAGTTCGTCGTGGGGTCGGCTTCCTGGCTGAACGTCCTTGTCAGTCGTGCTGCTCTTCTTCATCATGTGACAGATGATAGATGTCTGTGACGTACCCAGCATGGAGCTGCAGGGTCTCAAAGTTCTTGCTAAGCTCGGACATTGTGGCTCACGACCAGACTGGATAGTACGAGACAAGAGAAGAAAGGTTGGATTTCTCGAGAGCAACCAAGATGGAGAGGAGAAAGGTGCCATTAAGCTGGGTACTTATATCAGGTCATCCCTCCAATCCAGGGTCCAGTCCAGCCCGTCCGAGGTTGGTCAATGGAGGGGTCTGGTCGGCTGCGGGAGTAGGTTGAAACTAAAGAAGTGAGTAGCACGCCATCGCGGCTGGCGTCATTCGCAATGAACCCAGAGGAATCATGTGCTTTGCTGCCCATGGATGAGGGGGAATGGCGAATTCTAGCTGTCGCTTCCAGGCCAGCCCCACGGTCGGCGGGACACCACGCCTGACCGACCGATGCCGGACCATCCCCAGCTGCCAAGGTCGGTAATTGGGAGGCAGAAACGTGGTGCTACGCGATTCGTAATGAGTACTGGTAATCGTTTTAGTATGGAGCGGCGGCAGATGCACACCACTTCTCTATTATGCCATACAATGCTTCACCCATGTCCAAGTGAGTTCAATCAATCGCTAAACGCCCCCGCGCCCCAAGACCAGTCCAGTTTCGTTGCGCAATGTTTCGTGTACTTTCATGCCAAAGATCCATGCCGCCGCCATGCAATGAGTATCGTGTCGTGTCGTCGTCGTGCCAGATGTCAGACCTGCCTCATCTGCTGTTCGCCCTGGCTGCTGCTGTCTGCGTCCGTCTCCGCCTGGAAGCCATCGCCCGCCATAATCATCTCCTTGGCCCGGATCAGCGTCGAGCCCATCCAGGTGATAAACTCGGCAGCCGCCACGACACTCGTGGCCCGGCCGACGGCGCACACTGTCCCGTTACAGAAGAGCAACGCGCTGAGAAACACGGCCAGCGCGATGAACCCCGCAAAGTAGAAGATGGTGTTGATCGCCTCCACGCCCAGCAGTGCGTACGGGTGTGTCCAGCGCACCGGCAAGCACCGCGGGCCCAGGACCAGGTAGGCGATGGACAGCACGGAGAAGATGGGCGCAAACATGAGAAAGTTGAAAGACGAGGGCGCGCCCATCGACGTCCGCAACATGTACCAGTTGATCACTGCTCCATCGTCAGCATAGGAACGGGGACCACACATCATGGCTTCCTTGGCCATTTCCGTATTGGGGAGACTCACCCAGTCCAGAGAGAACGATATTGGTGATCGCTGCCAGGCCCTGCAGCGTCCGCAACGCGGTCAGGGCCCAGGACGCCATACTGAGAGACAAGGCAAGGAAATATGCAAATCCCAGACTCTCTCCCGTTCCCAAAGACAAGTAAGAATACAGCAGAACAGCCAGCAGGACTCGTCGTGGCGCGGTGGCGGCAATGTGGCGTGCCAGACAGCCTACTCCTTCAAGAATGAATGACCCGTCCAAGCCAAAGTTGTCGCAGGAAACAGGGCCGTGGCTGTCTATAAACACACTTGATTTCCAAGTGATGAACGGATACAGCTAGGGGCGACAGCCATGTGTCACGTCCCGTAGCGGGCGAGGTCGGGCAGCGCGAGACAATCTGCTACCTGTTGCCAGTGACAGGCTCGTGAACCATTCGAGGGTGATATAAGGATATCGATGGCATGGAGGCAGGGAATGCGCAGCACCTCACTAGGCGTCAGAGGATGTCGAATTTGAGTGAGACCTTGGGGCAAAGTGAAACGACGTGTTCCAGGGAGCGCCCTTGTTTTTTTCTCTGCCTTCTTTGCGACAACGCACGACAGCACGGAGCAGTCAGCGACACAGTGACCGAGAGGGACTAGGACGAGAAGAAGCCGTCGAGTGTGATGAAGTGACAGAGGAAGAAGAAGGAAAAAGGGTTGCATCGTGAAATCTCGACGGTGGATAACAGCAGCGCCCGGCGGCACTTGGGAGGAGTACCACCGGCCGTGCGGTGGGTACGGGTCCACCCGGCCGTCAACAGTGCCGAAGAAAAGGCCGGTTGGGGGTCAGATCTCCTCCTTGCCATTGTCTGCGAGATGATAGTCGATAATAAATAGCTGGCGTGGGCCTCTGTCGCGGATGCAGGTCGGGAGTGAGGTTGCGGCACGGCGGCGTCTGGGCGTTGGGCATCGTGTGGTTTGGCCCCAAGTGGCATTCCTCCTTGGATCAGCTGGGGCTGCGCGAAACATGACGGCCAGCTTGATGAATGCACCTCTGGAATGCACTGGGGTACCACTGAAGGTTGTCTTGCACGTATATCTTAACGTTACACGCTTCCTTGTCGCCAGAGTCCAAGGCTCCAGGCTTGGGCTCCAGGCTTGGGCTCCATGGTAGGGCAAGGAAGATCGACAAAACAAGCCTCGACAGGCGTTGGAGGCAATGCAGAGACTGCATCGGCACTTGCGCTCGCCAGACAGCCGTGCCAGGTTGCACGTCGCATCGGCGGTGGTATTATTAGAAGCCGATGTCAATTCCCAGGTTGAAACACGAATGTCAATGCGACAGAAGAGAGGGAGGTCGTTATTGGCCACGTCGAATCGGGGCCATCATGACCTTGACGGTTGACCACATCCTGATTCGCGTTGCACCGCTGTTAGAAAATCGTCTTTCGACAGCGTCGTCGCGTGGAACGATCGGGGGTTCTAGATGCTATATAATAGACCAGTATTTCAGTAGTTGTCGGTCGGTCATGTGTCGTGCGCTGCAACTTCAAGTATCTGGTCTCAGGGGCCAGTCATTGTTGGACGCCGTGTCAGCGTCGGATGGGTGCACTTCAACAGTCAGCGCGCGACGACGAGACGTCCGTACAGCCTACAGGTGCACCTGATGTCTGGCTCGGGTCGGGGGCTCTGCGGATTGCGCGTTTATATGTTATGTTCACGACGCATGGGCCATAACGTTATCTCAGTGCGTAGATAGATGCATTGCCAACGGCTCGACTCGCGTAGACTGAAGTCAGGATCACATGCTGTGGGGGCCCTTTGCACCTACAAGTGCTACAGTCTACGACCAGCGAATCCGAACAAAGCTGGGGTAGTGCGCGATACGTGCCACAGACGCGCAGGATGGCCGGCATCTTCACGTGTTCAATCCGATGTGCACAGGAGCAGTAATAATTACTTGGGGATGGAATTAAGGTTACGGCGATCACCTTCACTCATGTGCCCGCGAGGCACAGTGATCGCTGGTAGGGATTGTCAACCACGAGACTTAGATAGGTATGCATCAAGCAATCGGCACGGTGGTTTCGGATGTGAATGAAAGAAGCCGGGCCATTGACAAGAGGACCCTTCGTCATGTGGTTACCGAACCATTAAATAATTGGTAATGTCCTGTAATAGGGGACGAGAGCTGTGAAGTTGAAGAAATCTGGGGCAGCAGCCGAGGCTCACCTGCGCTGTGGATGTGGGAAGGCGCTTGGCCTCGGCGTCGGCGCTCCTTCCTTCCCCAGACCTGTCCCCCCCAGTGGACGGAAGGACGCACGTAAGTACGGAGTACCTACCTTCTTTACCTTCAACGCACAATCTAGCCTCACTTCTTCTCTCTAACCTTCTCCCAAGGGGCTCACGACGCACCTCACCTCACCTCGACTCCTGCTCAACCTTCTTTCTGTCTATCATTCCTCGGTCTCTCCGTGCCACCCTCCTTCGCCTGAAACCGACCACCTGACTGACTTTCGTCATCGCCACTGCTCACCACGCCCACAATGGCCCCAAGGGACGCACAGAGCATCATTGCTGAGCTCAAGCAGCCCCCTCCTCCAGGCTCCCCCTACGGTGTGCCCGTCCCTGGCACCGAGCGCCCCGGGCGCAGTGCCATCTACCGTCACTGGAGGTTCCGCGACCAACCATTGCTGTCCACCCTCGAACCCGAAGTCCAAACCCTTCACGATGTCTTCGAGAGTGCCGCGCGCAAATTCCCCAACAACCGATGTCTAGGCAGCCGCCCGTGGAACCCTGCCACCCGCTCGTGGGGTGACAAGTACGAATGGGCAACATACGCCGAGACGGCGCAGAGGAGGAAGAACCTGGGTGCCGGTATCGTGGAGATCCACAAGGCGGCGGGCATCACCGCCGACAAGTACGGTGTTGGGCTCTGGTCCCAGAACCGCGCCGAATGGCAGCTCACGGACCTCGCGCTCGCTACGCAGGGCCTCTACACGGTGTCGCTGTATGAGACTCTGGGGCCCGAGACCTCGGAGTACATCATCAATCACGCCGAGCTGTCTTGCGTCGTGTGCTCGCTGCCGCACATCCCCACGCTCCTTAAGATGGCACCTCGCCTGCCAAACCTCAAATTGATCGTGTCCATGGACTCCCTTGACGCCGGCGAGATGGATGCCAACTCCAAGGCCGCTCTGCTGAACCAGCTGGCCTCCGAACACGGCATCAAGGTTTTGTCCCTGGCCGAGGTGGAGGAGATTGGCGCTCGATCTGGCCGCGAATTCCGCCCTCCAGTCAGCTCCGACTTCTGCACCATCAACTACACGTCCGGAACGACGGGTGCGCCCAAGGGCGTTGTCCTGACACACCGTGCTGCTGTGGCCGCCCTCGCGTCAGGCCGAACTGGCGGCCAGATGGGTCCCAAGGACGTGCACATGTCCTACTTGCCCCTGGCGCACATCTACGGGCGCATGATCGATGGCATTGCCTTGGCTGAGGGTGCGGCCATTGGCTACTTCCGCGGCGACGTTCTGGGCTTGGTCGACGACATGAAGATTCTCAAGCCTACTGGCTTCATCTCGGTGCCTCGTCTGTTCAACCGGTTCAACTCGGCCATTCGTGTGGCGACCGTGGAGGCCCCCGGCCTTAGGGGTGCGCTCTCGAACCGCGTCATCTCTGCAAAGAAGGCGCAGATGAAGCAGCCCGCCGGCAAGGCTTCCAACAAGCACTTCCTGTACGACCGCATCTGGACGCCCAAGGTCAAGGCCGCTGTTGGGCTCGACAGGGTTCACTCTATGATCAGCGGCAGTGCCCAGCTGGATCCCGATGTGCAGGAGTTCCTCCGCGCCGCCTTCGCCAACGACTTCAAGCAGGGCTACGGCATGACCGAGACATATGCCGTCGGCACCATCCAGTCCACGGGCGACTTCACCACGGGCAACATTGGTGCGCCCATGCCATGCATGGAGATCTGCCTCGAGTCCGTTCCCGAGTTCAACTACAGCGTCGACGACAAGCCGAACCCGCGTGGTGAGCTCCTGCTGAGGGGGCCAGCGCTCTTCAGCGAGTACTACAAGAATGAGGAGGAGACGAGCAAGACGATTGAGGCTGATGGATGGTTCCACAGTGGAGACATTGCGGAAATCGACAAGCTGGGCCGGGTCAAGATTGTCGACCGCAAGAAGAACGTCCTCAAGCTGGCCCAGGGCGAGTACATCTCCCCGGAGCGCATCGAGAACGTGTTCCTGGGCAACACCCCTGTCGTAGCCACGGCGTTTGTGCACGGCGACCCCAAGGAGTCCACCCTGGTGGCCATCTTTGGCATTGATCCCGAGAACTTTGCGCCCTTCGCCAGCAAGGTCACCGGGGAGAAGATCGCCCAGACCGACACGGCTGCCCTCAAGGCGGCTACGCAGAACCCCAAGGTCCGGGCCGCTTTGCTCAAGATCCTGGATGGCATTGCCCGCCACCACAAGTTCAACGGCTTCGAGAAGGTGCGCAATGTGTATCTCGACATTGACCCCTTCACCGTCGACAACGGCCTCATGACCCCTACGTAAGCTGACCCCACTAGCACCCTTTGGTTGGACCTATTACTAACAAGGCTTTAGCCTCAAGACCAAGCGCCCGCTGGTTGTCAAGGCGTTCCAGAAGGAGATCGCCCAGATGTACCAGGAACTGGCGGCTCAGGAAACCCCCAAGACCAAGCTGTAGGTGGCTTGTTAGCGTGAGCTACGGCGGTCGATTTGCTTTCTAGCGTGTGTGCGGCCATATCTTGTACATGTATCGGTGCTAGGAATCTAGGATAAGGATGTCTGCTACGTAGGTCTACCACGTACGCGGTCGGGTGTGACTATCGAGGTAGTAACTGAAGAGCATATATCATATCATACCTTAGCTATGGATTATTCTCTATGCGAGCCAGTGACGATTCTGACCAGTTGGATTTACGTCCTCATTCTATGGGTGCTTTAGACGCTGCTTGTTCGTATGTTTTATAAGGCTACGCCCTGGCTACTATATAGCCTTAGCCTTTATGGAGGTTCGACGCTAACATTTTATGTGGGGCAATTAAGCGGGAGCGGGCAAACTTTGATCCGCCTGCTTTGTCTCGGGCGGGGCGACCTTAGGAATTAACGGTGAAGCCTTAACTCGTAACCTCCTATCGCGGGCCTCTTCTTTGTGATTAATTAAGTCTCCTACTCACTTTTGGCGTCCACCTTGTCCGGCATGCTCGCGCGACTGACGCGCCATGGCCCCGTAAGTTCCCACGCGTACCTGAATTAATTACCCCAACCCCCGTGGCCATCCTTCATGCTAAATGCGCGCCCCGCGTCGTCGCGCGTCACCCTGTGATATAGCATTATTAGAGATGCTATATCTTTCTCTTTAACACATTTTCATGTTGGCACATCAGGCCTACGGAATGCGCATCTGTTTCTAGCATGGCATTGACACTTACGGTGTCTAGGGCTTCGTACATTGACCTAACGAACGACGACGATGACGGGCCACCGATAGTGCGAGCCACGGTACCTGCGAAGCGACCAGCCGACACGTCAAGCATTGCAGCGCCAACGGCGCAACGCATTAAGACGAGCTCACAGTCGTCTTTATCGCGCGTCAACGGATCGATACATCCTCAGCCGCCGCCGCTGCCGCCACGAACTGTCACACGACCCAATGCACCAAAGAGAGCTTCGTTAAGGGACTGTCTCGAGCATCAGATCGTGCCCTATGTGGTTCTCAAGCTCTACAACGTCGAGCTGTCTGAAGCCGACAGGGACGAGCTGGCAGAAAGCGTCATCACTGGCATCGCACGGCTGCCCTGTTTCCGCAAGAGACTCGACGAGACAGGCGGTAAACTTTCGCCCAAGGATATATTCGGTTTCCAGGCCAAAATCGACGGCTTGGTTGCGCAGAAATTAGAACAATATCCTCCCCGTCGGGTCAAAAGCTTGCAGCAATGGGCACGGCGGCCGGCAGAACCCGATACCGGTAGTGAGGACAGTCTGCAGCTTTCCGAACCGCTCGTTGAGCAGCCGCCACGGCATATTCCACCTCGAACGAAATTACGATGGCCCGGTTTCGATCCGCTGGAGCTGCCGCCGCGTCGTGTAAGGAAAGAAACCAAGCCGTTTCAACCACTCGCGAGGCCGCCGAGGCCACCGCAGACTGTGTCTCATTGGGGGCTACGCAAGCGACCCTATCGCTCAGCACGCGAGAGGGAGGACATTCGACGAGGACTACGCCTGCGTGAGCGGAACTTGCTCGGTCTGAATGAGCCGTATATATACCATGTGGACTTCTCGGCCGACGAGATTGCGGAACTAGTGAAGCTATTAAACAGAAAGTTTAGAGGCTCTAGATCAGGATCGAGGGGGATTCAGCCGACGCTGAAAGGACTCGTTGACTTGATCCAAGGTGCCGAGGACACGTTCAGCATACCGACTTTCATTGGGAATGATCTCAAAGGACGAGGCATTGACGACATACATAACTTCTGCGCCGACCTAAAGCGCAACGACGTCCCATCGCTACCACCGAGAGTACTATCTCTAAGTCAAAACAAACCCGAGCATCCACAGGACAGGGCATGCGCGCGGCAGTCTTCGCTTATGCTGGCTCGCGAGTTAGAGGGCTACCGCGGCTTTGGTCGAATGCGTGCACACATCAACCTAAAGAAAGAGTTTGAGCTGGCCACTGAAGATGGGCTTGACCTTATCTCCGAGTACACGAATTGCGCCGGCGACGTGATGACGATCTCATGGGCGTCGGAGCACAGCCTACTGTGCGGCACCACAACGCATTCCGATAGTCACAACCAGCAATACAACAAACAGGGCAATCTACTCCTGTGCTCGATGCAGCAAGGCACGTTGCAAGCATACCCAGACCACCGTATACCCCGGCCGGCAGGGAATAAAGAAAACAACACCGAAGCTATGCGCCAAAGTCAGGATCCTTGGGTTTACCCGTCCGTGGCGTCGTCAGACTACGACCCGATCCGCGACCTGCTATACACATCGAGCTACGACCACACTGTCAAAGTGTGGAAGGTGTACCACATGTGGGTCGAACAGGAGCAGGACGGAGACGACGAGGCGAGTGGACATTGGGAGTCGCGGATGGAGCTTCTAGCGACTTGGCAGCATCAAGGCAACGTTAACTTTGTCGTCGCCGCAAAGGACGGTTCGGGCCGTGCGGCTTCTGCGGCAGATGTCCCCACGGAAGCTGTGCGCATATATACAATCGACGAGAACGACCTGGCCAACAGCCCCTACCAGAGTCTGTCGTGTACCCGCACCGACGCCAACGACACGGACAAGTGGGCATACTATCCTGCCACGATGCAGTGGGGCAAAAGCCCCTATACACAACATTTGCTAGCTGTCGGGTACTCGCCCCGAAGTCCAGTCGGCGAGGATCTCGATATTCCAGAGGACAAGCGCGACTCGGGCGAGGTCACAATTTGGGATGCCAATGAGCATCGGAGGGTGAACATTACAAACGCAACAACGGCCAACGTCTTTGAGATCGTCTGGCACCCCGATTTACCCCAGTTCGTCTGCGCCACATCGCCATGTGGGTTGAATATCAGGACAGGTGTCAGGACGCAGCTCCACATCTTCCAGTACGACAACAAGGCCCTCGAGCTCACGTTCTGCGAGTTCGTGTCGCTGGATTGCCCTGCCGCGGACATCAACGAGGTGACGTTCCAGCCCAACTCGCGCAAGCACGCCTATGTCACCGCGGCGTGCACGAACAGAAAAGTCTACGTCTGGGACACCGCGCACCCTGATACCATTCAGCACGTGCTGCATCACGGGCTCTCCAAGGAGTTTTTCGAGGAAGATCCCCGTGACACTGGCGTCAAGTTCACAGCCTGGGGCAGCCTCGACCGTCTGTACACGGGCTCGAGCGATGGAGTTGTCAAGGTGTGGAACGTTCGGGACTCGAAGCCTTTTGTGAGGAAACTCCTCGAGACGGCAGCCCCCGTCTCCTGTGGCGCGTTTTCACCCGATAAGCAGAAGCTCGCTATAGGAGACGCTACCGGACGAGTATGGCTCTACTCGACGGATAGACGCGACGAGGTGAAAAGACATCACACGACCATCGGTGGAAGAAATATTCGCAGGCCAATGCCGTTCTCGCCGCATGCCGAGCCGCCACCTCCAGAGCACGATCCGGGCACAGGGAGCCCGGAATCGATGGACATTGACACGCCAAGTGTGGAGGACACCTCAGAGTGTCTAGGGGAGGGCCAGCTCAGGGGCCAGGCCCTGCTGAAGGCGCAACAAATTGTGAACACGGGTAACCCGGTCATCGGCTGCGTCCACGGACCGGCGTACGAAGCGACCGGTTATTTCAAGAAGGAAGCCCACCTAGACGAGGACTACATGAAGCCCCTACTCCCAGAGATCCAGCGGCAGCAACAGCAGGACAAGATGGACCGTCCTAGCTCCCGACACCGCAGTCTCCTGCGTCTCAGTGGCATGCCGCCCCCCAAGAGCCCGGCCGCCGCTCGCCGCCACGAACAGAATCGGAAGAAGGACCTGGACGAAGAGAGCATCGAGATCTCACTCCGGGTGGAATTGGCAAGGCTCAAGGTCTCCTTGGTAGAAGACTACGATGACCTGCCGTATGAAAGTGCATCAGAGGAGGAGTCATAGCATAACTGGCGAGCGCGTTTTGTCGATTCACATGTGTTGGATGCGTGATTAGCACGTGGCCTTGATTTAGCTTTTGCTACATGAACTTATCATATGAACCCAAGGCGTTGTTCACCTCTAATGTGCATGTATCGTCGCCCGTCCATCTCCAACATGTCAACCTGGACATTCGATCAATGTCGAACTGCCCTTGCTTAACGACGGGGCACCCTTGGCAGCTTCAAAACGAACAGAGTATGAGATGTGGCGTTGTTCTATGAGAGTACTAACTTAGGCCCCTCTACTTCCCGATCACGTCTTGGGTTCCCGAGTCCTCTGAGACGGGACCATGCTCTATGCATGCGAGACAGCGTCACTTGAGGACCAAGATAAGATCTCTCCAAACAGATTTCAGTCGTCGGGCGGCGGCGCGGCGTGACGCATCAGGAGTATGCTTAGCATCATGCTTTGATTCACAGACCAAAACCATGGAACGCTACCAGGAACGAAGACTTCCCCCCATTACATACGTGCAAGACCATGTGGTCGTGACGGAGTTGCTGAGATCCAAGGCAGATCGCCAACTTTGTTCCTAGGCCCCCTTGCCAGAAACTATACGAGTACCATCATCGGATCTGACGGCTTCAACTTCAATATCATGGCGGTGGCCTTCTCCGCGATGGCTCTCGAGTCCCCAATTGGCAATTATGCCAACTTCTTCTGGAGCTTACTGGTTAGCGATGGCATCTTTGAGGGATGTTGGCCGGGTTTACAGGCGAGAACGCCAGATGAAGCGTGTGCTGTTCTTCCCACGACATCACATCAAAGCGAAGAGAGGCCAGCCTTCTTTGGTTAGAATTTCCCAATGTAGTTTTCAGCCCCGATACATAATATTCACAGGGAAACTCCGACTACCATTGGTGGCGGGATAGCCAGCTGCCGAGTGGGCAAAACTGCCTGCTCAGGAACTCAGCTCCGCCGGAGACGATAGGCGCGGAGGGGAAGAAATAGAACAAGCCCATGGTTCAATATGGTATAAATTTGCTACACACGGCAAGGCATCTGCAGCATTCTCTCACGCCTTGGACCAGCCATTCTCTCACACTACGATCTCCGACCACCGCCGCCAAAATGGCCCAAACGAACACAATCTCTGTCACCATCGGCCAGATAGCCAAGATGATTGACCATTCTTTGCTGCATCCGACAATGAAAAACGACGAAATCTTGCAAGGTCTCCGCATCGCAAAGAAGTATGGTGTTGCCACGGCTTGCGTCAAGCCTTACCTGATACCTCTGGCGCTGGAGGAGCTCGCCGGCAGCGACATCTTGGTCTGTCCCGTCATCGGGTTCCCACACGGCAGCAGCACGACGCAGGTCAAGGTCTTTTGAAGCCGAGACGGCCGCGGCCGCTGGCGGAAGAGAAATCGACATGGTCATCAACATTGGCATGGCGCTCGGCGGCGCGTGGGACTACGTGGCGGATGAGATCCGCCAGATCAACGACGTTGTGAGCAAGCACGGTGCCATTCTCAAAGTCATCTTTGAGAACGATTATCTCCAGGGGCATCATATCACCAAGCTCTGCCAGATCTGTTCCGATGTTGGCGTCGCGTTTGTCAAGACGTCGACAGGGTACGGGTTTGTCAAGCAGGAAAACGGACAGTATTCGTACAGGGGAGCGACGGTGGCGCACTTGAAGCTCATGAGGGAGCATTCCAAGCCCACGGTACAGGTCAAGGCGGCCGGAGGTGTCCGCACGCTCGATGATCTGTTGCACGTCATGTCTCTCGGTGTCACGCGCGTTGGCGCAACGGCGACCATCGCCATCATGGAAGAAGCCATGAAGAGAGGGATCAGTGAGGAGCCGACGTTGGTCACTTTCAAGCCAATGGCAGAGGCGTCGTCGGGAGGCTATTGAGCTAGCAGACTTGTGCCCAACTGCCAAGGGATCAATTGTCTATTTCAAAGTTGAACATGGGACCCCACAGCCATCCCTGATCTTGGCCGACGAAGGAAAAGTCTGCTTCCGCCATGCCGTCCACAGCCGATGGTGCAGGCAACGGCCCGTGGTTGCAAGCTAATTTGGTGGTTATTTCTGCTGGGCTTCTTGTCCTGGGTAGGCTAGGCTAGAACATACCATCGTCAACGTTCTGCAGAGCTTGCGTCATGCTCTGATCCTCATACATGCCAAAAAGTGAGTCGGCGCTACATTCGTGAGGCTCCATGGACGTCCCCGTAGCCGCCGTTGGGGATGTCGGCATGTTCGGGCTACCTGTAGGGCTTATCCGCAGAATTTCCTCCGTCTCCTTCTCCATGACCAGGCGAAGAAGCTTCTGCAGCAGCTGGAGACCCTGCTCGGCCACAATCGTCTTCTGACTGAGCACCAGGAGCATACGCAGGAGCCGACGGATGCCCAGCTTGCACCCTTGTGATTGGGGACCCAGCGGATCGAGCGTCGTTACAACGCACAAGGTCACCCCGGCCGTGAACAGATGCATCGAGACGAAGCCAAGGGCATATGTCGTGGAAGCGAGGCCAAAAATGGCAGCGCGGTCTGCCCAGGATATCTGCACAGCTGCATCGCAGCATGCCTGGACGGAACATCTAAAAGGGTCGCGAGTTTCTTGGCTCACTGCCTCGTCTGCCGTCCTCGAATCATTATCGTTTGTCCTGTACGAAAGCAGGGGCCGATGGATGAGGATACGCGTGTTTTCAAACGCTAGTTTCAGCGCAAGGGCCTGTAGTCGGTATAGCTGATCGTTGGACAATGTATGCGACTCTTGTTCCATCCCGTTCTGGGCAACGTGATCTAATAGTTCCTTGTCTCCATTTGACTGGGCTGGACTGCCTAGTGTCAGCCTCCCCGGCAGCTCAGCATGCCACTGAGTGAGTCGCGCATCCAGAGATGCAACGCTGACGACAAGATTCCTGACATGGGAAGACGACCGCGTCCCGTACAGGTCAGTCAGTGTCGACTTGATGATCTTGGAGAGCTTGATCATGGCGCATTTATAATCAAGGAGAGTGGTATGACCAAGGCTCGACCTTTCTGGATCAGTGGCGATGGAATACGGGTCGTTGGGGTCGAGCGCACCGACATCGCAATCTGCATCCGCCATGCTCTGGGGGAATCCGTAGATCATGGAACAAAATGTGTCGACCTCGTGAATTGCCCACCAGCATCGTTTCGCAGCATCAGTCGCTGATGCATGGCGGTGGAGATGGAGCGCTTGAGCCAGCCGTAGGGCGCACCCGCAAAGCGTCCAAGCAAGTTCAGGCTCTCCGTGATATAGATAGTTGCTCCCGAGAAGCACACACATCTGCACAGCCTCTGTGGAGCCAAGGGCAATGACGTCCAGCAACCTGAGCCTGAGGGCTGTGAGGATACTCTCTCTCACAGCATTGGTGTCAACACCACGAGCGGCAAGCTGCCTCCGTTGGTCATCCGCGGCGAGTCGTAGACTGAGGGAGAAGACGGCGAGTAGAACGCTGAGGAAACCAATGTCTTTGCCACCAAGCAGTCCACCCAGTCCCAAGGCGTGGCTTCTGTAGAGTTTGGCGAACGAATCCCGGAACTCCATCTGGTGGAACAGGAGCATAAACCAATGGATCTTGTCAAAGTAGATTTCGACGAGGACCGTCGCAACGTCTGCTGCCGGCAGCAGTGAGATCAGCTCGCGCGCTGCCGCAGTGGACATCCTTTGAGGGACGGAAGCGACGCCAGATCCTCGAGGTATCCGCTCTCTCTCTCGCCCTGACATCGTGCCACGTGCCATCGCAGGGTTCTTGGCAGGTGTATGCCTGTATCCCAAAGCACGGGTTTCCGATGAGTCGGGCGACCTGGCACCGTGATGATGAAAGGTCTAGTCAACGGTAAGGTATGAGTTCTCAAGCCCGGAAGCCTGCGTTTCTTCCAGATCGGAACGTGAAGCTCACCTCCTCGGCCAGTCCGATGGTTGAGCTTGACTTGGCCCAGTCCGTCCCCGCCCGTGTTTCGGGGCCGCTGAGACTTGTGCCGTGGCACATTGGTGAGCCATCCAACGAGGCTGGCGGCTGCATCGATTGATTTGCCTCATTGCGCTTTCTTGTCGTCCTGCGGCGTCCACTGCGGGTTGCTGTCCCGTCATAAGGCCGCCAGAGGTCGGTCCGGCTGGGCACACAGTCAATACCGGAGCGACGGCATAAAGTGCATGGTTTTTGCGAGTCGCACTAAGAAGTGGTCAGCTTAGGTATGCTCGTCGAATCAGAGTAGGATACCAGACGCTATGACTGACCTTGAGCTTCTGTCGCCGGCATCGAACGCATGCGGTCCTCACATTGCTTGGAGCCATTGTTGGTTCGCTCGCCCGCCGGGATGGGAGTGAATAGGTCGAAGCAGAGGTATAAGAATAGTGATGCTGGAGACGATTGACCTCCGGTGGAAGCAGATGCCATTCTCGGTTAGCCTGGAGTGTTGTACTCCATGTCTCCTCCGACTTGCGTCGCCAAGTCATCGCCCATAGTCCGCTGTCTACGATAGCCCTGCCGCATTCTCGGCTTCGATAGTGATGGCCGCGCTAGAAATGTTCACAGGGGCATAGTTTCGATCAGATCCGTCTATATTTTCGCATGGATAGGTCTAGAAACAATTAAATAACAAAGATAAGTCTGCGTGGTGTAGCACAGCTCCGCGTGATTATGTCCCAGGTAAGTAGGTTGGTAGGTTATGAGCGCATGCGCGCTTCGACAGCACGGTAGGGAGACATTCCAGCCGCCCATGGTTGTCCTCCCTTTCGAGATTCCCGCCGAATAGAACTAGCTTAGTGCTTGGCGGAGACCTTGTCGCCGGTCAGAGCCTCGACGTACTGCTTGGCACTGTTTTACATGTCAGCATAGAGCCCGCGCGTAGGGGCGAGGGTAGGAGGGTAAGCTTACATATCACCAATGGCGACCATGCAGATAGTCTGCCAGACACCGAGACCGATACGGGGGGCGACACCGCGGTAGAGGCCCTTGATGCCGTTGTTGCCGTAGATGTACTTGAAAGTGTTGCCGACGGTCATCTTCTTGGGGCGGTTGGGGTCCTCCTTCTTGGACTGCATCTCGACGCGGATGACCTCGATGGGCTGGTTCCAGGCGGACAGGCCACCACCGAGACCGGAGGCGAGGATCTTCTCGCCGGCGCTGAGCTTCTCGCCGTCTTTCTTGCCGGTGGCGGAGCGGATCCAGCCCTCGGCGAGGCGGGAGAGACCGAAGCGGGAGCCCCAGTTGGTCATCTGGCGGATGGCGACGGCATTGACGCCCTTGTTGATGCCGGCGATGCCCTCCTTGCGGTAAATGTCCATAAAGGTGGCAAAGGTGGACTGGGGCTTGACGCCGGCGGCGGCCTGCTTGTGCTTTGTGATCTCGACGGTCTTCATGCAGGTGCAGAAGCCCATGGTGGCGTAGGCCTGGGCGACACCGCCGGTGATGCCGCCGGAGATGCCCGCGGTGAAGTCGCCGGCGCCGAAGCTGCGTGCGTAGTACTCGGCCTCGGAGGCGACAAAGAGGAGGACGGCGCCCTTGGTGGAGGCTTCGATCCAGGCCCAGGGGATGAGGCCCTGGTAGAAGCCGAGAACACCACCCCGGGACCAGACGCGTCCCAGGGCCGAGCCGAAGCCATCACCACGGTGGGCGGCCATGGTGGTCTTGACAACCTCGAGGGGCTGGCCCAGGGTGGTCACCTCGAACATGTTGAGGCCGGCGCCGAGCAGCAGGTTGGAGAACTTGACGGGCTTCTTCTCCAGCTTGGAGTTCCCCGCGGGGCCGGGCAGAGTAGCGGTTTGGACCATGGTGGTTGGATTCGACTGCAAAAGGGGGGCCCTGACCAAGGGAGGAGGGTGCTTCTTCGCGGGTTGGGCGTTTCTCTTTTGGGTCGTGAGCTTTTGACGGGCGACGACGAGCGACGACGAGACGTACGACTGCTGAGTCAGACGAGCGAGAGATAGCTAGCTAACGTTAAAGGCGAGAGACAAGCTCGGTCGATTCGGTTTCCGAGGGGCAAGCGATTGGGTCTAGAGACTGTGAACCGAGGATATGGAGTGAAGCTCTGGTTGCGCGCCCGTGATATTCCGTGGATACTTTTTCTGGAATGGAGACGGACTGGGAGAGGGAATATAATAAGGGGACGGGGTGCTCCTGCTGTTTTAGCTGGGCGGCAGGCCTGGTTGGTCCCTGCCGTGCCAGGCCAGCCAGCCAGCCTCACGGCGGGCGCGACTGCATTTGCACGTGCTTTTTTAGGGGCTGCTCCGGCCGGTGGCTCAGCGGGTGCCTGGCCCTGCTCGGCTACTGAATGCACCTCAGCATCTTAGCCGAGTGGACATGAAGCTCCAGGCAAAGTTCATGTCTTCTTCTGTTTGTTTTCGTCACATCACATCTACTTGCACAACGTTGGCTGCCTTCAATACCCTTCAATTGGCCCGAACCATCGTCTCACGTTGGCCGCGCTCGAGCTCTAGCCCATGTCCCAAGCTGGTTGGCTGGCGCCCCCAAAGGTTTAGGCCAGCCAGCCCCCTAACAGCAGCGCTATCGGCGCGTTACCGTGCCGCGCCAGGTTCATCAGTTGGGGGGGGCTCCAGTCCTCATCTCAACATCCACCCCATTCGGCGCCTTCAGCCTTTCTTTGTTGAGCCTCCATCCAGTCTGCTCCATTCAATTTTGCTGCGCGTCTGCCTGCAAAGGGTTTTCTTCGGCGAACGTCACTGATATCGGATGGTAAGGATACGGTTCCTGCGACATTGCGCTGGTCTCCCTCATGTCATGTCACAGCCAGCATCTCCAATTGACCTTAGAGACCCCGGTTCGGTGCATTTGCACCCGATCCTGTCAACCCGATATCGGGTCGCGCGAAAAGAAAAATCACATGCAGGTGCAACATTGTTGGACAAAGGAAATATCAGCCGTATTGAACCCGACTTTCATTATTCTAGGAAGGACTCCGTGCAACCCAACTACTATACATGCTAGATAGCAACTTGCTTGGGTGTAAGCCGTAGAGCGCCGCAAGACCCTCTAGCCACCTTGATGATGTTACAAATAAGAGTCTCCGTCTCCCGAGCGACCCAATGCGCCGTGCCTCTCGCCCTTTCGCAGCCTTCGTGTACAACGTAGAAAAGCTTCTTACAGCTTCTTGACGAGCTCAGCCCACTTGTCGGTGGAGAAGGACTTGGGGCGCTCAATGGGGGCACCGAGGGCACGGTCAATGATGAGCTGGGGAAGGACACCAATGGCGCGCGAGACACCAAAGAGCACGGTGTAGTAGTTGGCCTCGGTGAGACCGTAGTGCTGCAGGAGGACACCAGAGTGGGCGTCGACGTTGGGGAAGGGGTTCTTGGTCTTGCCGTGCTCGGTGAGGACGCCGGGGGCGATCTTGTAGACCTGGCTGACGAGCTGGAACATGGGGTCGTTGGGCATCTTCTCCTGGGCGAACTTGCGCTGGGCCATGTAGCGGGGGTCCGTCTTGCGGAGGACGGCGTGGCCGTAGCCGGGGACGACGCGGCCCGAGTTGAGGGTCGACCACAGGTAGTCGGTGATGGACTTGTCGCTGAGGTCATCGCCAACAGACTTCTTCATCTCCTCGAGCCAGTTGAGCACCTCCTGGTTGGCCAGGCCGTGCAGGGGACCGGCCAGACCGTTCAGACCGGCGGCGAGGGACAGGAAGGGGGAGCTGAGGGCGCTGCCGACCAGGTGGGTGGTGTGGGCAGAGACGTTGCCACCCTCGTGGTCGGTGTGGATGGTCAGGTAGAGACGGAGGAGCTCGACAAAGTCCTTGTTGTCGCCAAAGCCGAGCTGGTTGGCAAAGTTGAAGGAGTAGTCCTGGTCCTTCTGGATGGGGGCCACCTTGCCGCCCTTGAAGACGTTCTGGTAGATGCGCGAGGCAATGTTGGGCAGCTTGGCGATGAGGTCCATCGAGTCCTCAAAGGTGTAGCTCCAGTACTCCTTCTTGTTGATGCCCTTGGCGTAGGCCTTGGCGAACGACGAGGTGTGCTCGAGCGCGTTGACGGCCAGCGAGAACTGGGCCATGGGGTGGAGGTCGGTAGGGCAGTGGTCGATGAGCTCCTCGACGAACTTGGGGATGTCGGAGCGGGCCGCCCACTCGGCGGACAGGGCGCGGACCTGCTGCTCGGTAGGGACCTCGCCGGTCAGGAGAAGCCAGAAGAGACCCTCGGGCAGGGGCTCCTTGCCACCGGGGGCCTTGGGGAGAAGCTCCTGGCACTCGGGGATGGTCTTGCCGCGGAAGCGGATGCCCTCCTCAGAGTCGAGGACGGAACCCTCCCAGACGAGGCACTTGATGCCACGGGCGCCACCGTAGACCTGGTCCAGGGTGACCTTGTCGACGACCTTGGAGCCGTGCTCCCTATCACAGTATTAGCATCGAGTGTCGACAGCGCCGCGTCGCGCGGCGAGCAAAAGGGGACGGTTCGACTGACTTGCGCAGAGCCTTGACCTGCTCCTGCTTCTCGGGGAGAAGCTCAGCGAAGCGCTCCTTGAGGGTCTGTGTGGCCACGGGTTAGCGGAACTGTCACGGATGGATGCGCCATTCAATGGATGATGGATGGTTCGGCAATGTCGTACCTGTGTCTTAGCAGAATAGCTGCGGACCGCGTTGTAGCCAGTAGCCCGGCCAGTGAAGGCAGGGGTACGGAGGGAAGCCCTCAGCATGGAGTTGCTCACGCGGACGGAGGCCATTGTTGCGGATGAAGACTGGTGGAGGAGGTGAATGGGCGGGATGTTGCCTTTGAAGCAGAATGGGATGGGAGGATGAGATAGGGTCGGGCGGAAGGAAGGGGAAGGGCGGGACTAATAAAAAGGCGCAGAAAAAAAACAGGAGTCGCCTGGAGGCTGGCAGCTGGGACGCACGGGTGCCGGAGGTACATCATGTCCGGCGTCGTTTGGTGAGCGCTTGGCGGCAGTGTCCACCACTCACATGTACCTTCCGCCGGGTGGAGCTATCACTTTTAGGGTGCGAACGCCGTCATCGTGCTTTTTGGAGGCTTGTGATAAGCTGTCAGTTGGTGTAGATGGTCTGTACTTGAACACGTAACGGAACCAATTGGGGCTCCTCATTGCAGCCGTTAGTTTCGTCCATAGCTGTGCATTCGCACCGCAAGGTTGTTGGCTATCCGTGGGACAAACTCAACAGATCTCCCCAGCTCAGGCGGCTTGTCTAGCGCGCTCAAAGGTCTCGGTGAGCAGCGGTGAGCAACAGATCTTCAGGAGAAAGGGTGACTGGCCTCGTCCATTGGCCAAGGTAATTGACATTGTAGCAGAGCACACGTACATGCGATTAACAGATGAGTTTTGGATGAGTTCGTTTCATGATGCAAGTGGATCGGGCATATTCGGTCTCCAGTCAATGCACCTTGAAGCAAGCGAATCCACCGAAGTCTGTCTTCACTCGCGGAACTATAAAATGACGGAATAACCATTACCTGCCAAGATACTTACGCCCGGATATCATTTGGGGCAGCAGAGCTGCTGCATTCCCGCATTAGTGTGCATGTATAGGCGTGCGTAGCTTCGATTAGGCATTCCGCCGACAGCACTTTAGGGTAGGCGCTTCTTACCTTATTATTATCCCGCCACCGACAATATCCGGCGTCGAGTCCACACGTCGGTTGATTGTCGGCACCCGCCGCTGATGAAACCATCCACTCACACATCGTCAGGCTTTTCACCTTCTCCTCTTTCCCCTTCTCATCACCCACCACACACGCGACACCACGCTCACTTCATCACCGTCCATCTTCTTCATCGTCATTTGTGCGCGCGCACTTGAATCAACTGCGCGCTCTACACCGCCGGCAACTTTTGCGCCGCGCCGTTTGCCTAGATCGACCGTGCGACCCGATTCTGGTGCCATAATATCCCTCTTCCTTGGGTGAACTGGTGGATTGTTTTCGTGTCCGGGACGGTTTCTCCACACAACGCTGCCACTGGCATAACCTTGAAAATAATCGCGTCGCGATCCCTTCGCAATCTCTAGACTCCTTGAGACGGCGACGATTCGCCCTGATTCATACGTATACCCCAACTGCGCGACTCGTAAACAAACAGTCCGTCCTCCACCACGGTGGACGTGTAAAGCACAACACTAGAGGGTCATCTGCGGCACCAAGGCATTATACGTGCAGTAGTTGTTTGCGTACGAGCTTGATTTGTACACGTATCGGAGATCTCGGTCCTGGACATATATCCCCCGTCTGCAAACCTGTGGCAACATGGCGTCTCCTGTAGCGGACCTTGAAGCTGGCCTCCAGGCCATGCTTAGCCTGAAGCCTCCCGGTGTCTCGGGCTCGCGCATCACCAGCCTGACTTCGTTATGCGTCGCCAATATTGAGGCAAGTTTCCATCCAGCGAGTGCCCCCGTCGTATTCCCAGTTGACTAACATGAACCTCTCGACAGTCCGAATCAGTGCTCATTCAGAAAATCTACACCCATTTCAAAAAGGCCCCCGGAACTCATAAGCTCGGTGTCCTCTATGTTGTAGACTCGGTGACGCGCAAATGGCTTGAGCAGGCAAAGTCGCAGGGGCAAGCAATAAACAGCTCTGCCTCGGACGGGACCTACGCTGCTGGCGTGAACAGAGTGACAGAATTGATGCCCGCGCTCATGAACGATATCCTTCAGTCGTGCCCCGAGCCCCAAAAGGTATGCACATTCGCGTGTGACGAGAGCTCACACGCCCGCCCGTAATTTGACACGAGCATCCGCTCACACACTGTATAGGAAAAAATCAAGAAACTGCTTGATATCTGGGAAAAGGGGCAGACTTTTCCACCCTCCATGGTAGCATCTTTCAGAGAGCAGATTGCCGCCCCGGCACGTACGTCCACATCCCCCCCAGCGCGCAAAACACACTACAGTGATACTAATGCGAATCGCAGCTGCGTCGACAACGCCTCCAGGTAGCCCTCCAGCTGGCTTGATCGCGTCTCTACAGGGCCGTGCACCATCGTCGGCCCCGGCCCCAGCAAGTCCGGCTGCCAGTGCTGCCCCAGCAGTTGGCGATGCACAGTCTATCCTGGCCGCTCTCAGCAGACTGAAGGCTGGGCAAGAAAACTCTTCCTCGCAAAGTGCTCCCAATGTCCCGGCTCCTGCGCCGACCTATTCTATTCCTCAGCCTGGTGTGTCGCAAGCAACGCCTCCCGTAGCTCAGTCGCCATGGTCACAACCACCTCCGCAACAACGACCAACGCACCAAGGTGCTCCATCGTATCCCCCAAGCACCCTTCCCGGGGCGCTGCCATTCAACATGCCCCAGATCCCGGGGCAGCAGGGTCTCCCCGCTGGCATGCCTACTTTCCCAGGAAACCAAGCAATGCCGCCCTTCCCTGGAGCAGCAGCACCCGCTATGCCTCCACTACCAGCAGCCGCCACGGCTGGAATCGACCCCAGTATCATCGCTGTGATCAAGACTCTGTCGGAGCGTGGTGTTCCCGCTGACCAGATTGCGACCATTGTGCAGAGCATGAGTGGCGCACAGGGCCAGCAACAGCCTCCCGCGCAGCAGGCCCCCGCTGCGAACCCATATGCAAGCTGGCAAGCGCCAGCAGCGAAACCGGATGGCTGGCGAGGGCAGAGCAACGGAGCGAGGTCCCCTGGGTACGGACAACGTTCTCGATCACGATCACCTGATCGTGGCTGGGGCAACAGAGGGTCCCCACGCAACGGGCATGGCGGACGTGATAGCTATGGCCGTGAGGATGGCAAGCGAGACTCTCCTCGAGGGGGCCGACGAGGCAACGACTATCGCGATCGCAGCCCTCCCAGGAGACGAGGAGACAACGATCTCCCACCTCCCAACAACCAATGGGTCGACTTTGACCCGGAGCTGCCTAAGGATCACATCAAGGTCTTTAGCAGGACACTTTTTGTCGGAGGTGTTACGTGAGTATTTGATTTCAGAGTGCAAATGCCACCAGACTAACAACGAACAGTTGCCCAGAGCACGAGCTGCGCTCCATGTTTAGCAAGTACGGTACGGTGCAAACGTGCATCGTCAACAAGGACAAGCGCCACGCCTTTGTCAAGATGATCTCGCGCAAGGATGCCGTCGCTGCGAAGAATGCGACGCAGGACTCCCGCGATACCGACATGCCCCTCCGGACGAGGTGGGGTGTCGGCTTCGGTCCCCGCGACTGCAGTGACTACTCCAGCGGCGTCTCGATCATTCCTGTCCACCGCCTGACGGAGGCCGATGTTAAGTGGATGCTCACGGCTCCCTACGGTGGCAGCGGCGGTCGCGAGATCAAGACCGGTCTCGTGGTTGAGGAGCCTGATATTGAGATTGGCGCGGGTGTATCTTCCAAGGCCATCAGCCGGCGCATGCAGACGGACAAGGGCGGCGCCACCGGGCCCAAGTCCACGCGCCATCGCGAGTCGGATAGTGGCTGGCCTCGTAGGGACAACAACAACAACAATAACAACAACAACCGACGAGACGATGATAGGGGCCAGCAGCAACAGCAGCAGCAGCCACAACAACAGCAGCAAGGCGGCAACATGCCTTTTCCCTTTGGCATGGGCAGCCTGCCCAGTGGCATGCCCAACTTCCCAAGTGGCTTCTTCCCCGATATGAACGCTGGTGGACAGCAAGGAGGTTGGCAGAGGTGAAGAGAGGTGGAGGACATTTAATTAGCACAAATACATTGGGCTTGTACATGCTGGGCTTTTGTATATACCCACGCTGGCGTTTCGGGACATGCTCTCTCCTGCGTTGCTGGTGACCTCGCTGAGGCTTCTATGGATAATGATATACGTATGCAATACAATCGGGGCTCCGTATTCGCTTCAACATTGTTTGCTCTTGTGACATTTACATTATGCGTGATATGTAACGCTCTTATCAGACTATTGGCTTCGCCGTGCGTCATGTACACCGAGAGGCCAATATAACCACATCAACACCTACTCACGCCGTCTGCAAAGGCAGAGGAGCTACCGAGTTGATGGGATCAACTTCCTTGCGCGGCGTCGAAACTAAATATCTTGCGTGTCTCCTTGTTAGCATTGAAACATAGAAAGATCAAAAGTCACGGATATCTGCATACCTCAACATAGGTCTCGTCACCCCGCTGTACGGCTGCCACACATCTCTGTTCATCAGACTTGACCTGCCAGACACTATTCAAGCCCGAAATCAAGCAGGTGCTCTCGACCGTGCGCCTGTCCTGCATATGCACGGCCGTACTGCCACCCCAGATTGTTCTTGTGGCATCAAGCTGAAGACCCCAAACATGTCTTGCGTCTATGGCCAATTTCTGGAGACGGTCGCCTGTCTCAAGATTCCACGTCCAAATTGTCGTGTCGTCTGCAGAGGACAAGTGTTCCCTGTGAAGGGCTAGGAATCGTACAGGTAGTTCATGTCCTTGGAGTGTGAAAACACAGCTACCGGTCTGTAGGTCCCACACCTTGACTCGAGAGTCCAACGATGCGGATACGATTCGATTGCGCTCGTCATCTACAACGATTGCGGACACTCTCTGTGAGTGGCCGGTTAGGACGTGATGCAGCTCGCCTGTGCCAACATGCCAGATACGGACAGTAGAATCGTCAGAGCAGCTGGCCAACATATCTCCAGAGCCCGCGAGATGACGTACGGTCTCTGTGTGGCCGCATAGTGCACGTACAAAGTAGGGATTGTCCTGTAACCCGTGGTGTTCCAGATTCTCATGGCGATCATCATCCTCATTCTTGGGAAGCCGCCAAACGCGTACTTGGCCGTCACGGGATCCAGAGATGATCAGCGGGTGATGCTGTATTGTAGTGGCATCCTCCACGTCGCGCGGATCCGTGTCAGTTCTTGGCTTTTCCTTCATCCGAATCTGAAGACAGCGCACAGCGGCAGCGTGGCCACGTAAGACATGCTGCCATTGTCCGCTGTTGAGATCCCAGACTCGGACGCTTCGATCCGCGGAGCCAGAGACCAGTATGTTTCCTTCGTATTGGAGACACCAGACGCCAGATTCGTGACCTCGTAGCTCTTGCCTCAGCTCGCCCGACTTGATGTCGTGAACATGGATTAGGGTGTCGTCGCTCCCGGTGACAACCTTGTCATCGTCAAACTGAAGGCAGGTGATGACATGTTGTGAGTGTGCGGCAAAGGCAGTGTGCCTCGCTGTCGTTCCACCGCTCATCCGGCCCTGATCCATTGTTCTCTACTCCGCGTCAAGTCCTGATGCCGCGTGAAATTGGTCTTATCTGCCCAAGGATTGATTTTGATTTGTACGAGATGATGGTTCAACGTCTAAGGCTTGAGTTAGAGTGACAGGCTCTAGGCGGAACTGCTTCTTCAAAGATACCGTGAGCAAAGATATGCTATAGAAGCAGTCAAGTGTCAGAGTGGCAAGATGTTGATATCACTGCAAGTGGCTGGAGCGGGGAGTCTTTGTCCAACGTATGCACCACACATTGCAGCATGTTGGTCATCCGGCGTGCCGCTGATCGGTTATAGCGGCAGAGACGGTGCAACCCCCTTAGATCTTATGCTATTTTCATTTGCTTTTTATGGCAAGTGATTCTCTCTTCTGAGCCAAAAGTATTTCTGCTTAGTTCAACGCCTTTCTACGATACAATAACGTCGTCTTACACATCAAGCATAACCACATCAGCACCCACCCACGCCCAGCCGTTTGCACAGGCATGAGAGCTCAATAAGAACAAGATCAACAAAAAGATCAAACACACATACAACAGCCGGTATTCGCTGGTCGTCACCGACCCAACTACTAATCAGCCCCTCAGCGGGTTGACTATTGGAGAGCGGACGGGATCCCGTATTGTCCACTGGGTATGGTCGTATGTGATATGTGCAGCCAGAACATAGGTCAATAGACCTGAAACCTTAACATTTCGGCAAGAATGAGGACGTTTCAAGCCACCAAATAAGTGGTAGTCGCTAGGAACCGCTGAACTCACGAACATTTTGCCCTCGATGCTTGCTAGCTTACTTGCTATTTTTAATTTTGACTCGCCACTCCGAATTCAGGTAGCCGCTCAAGCATTAGTCGTGACTTCGAGTCTGGGCTACCTGTACATCCCTTCCCGCACCCAGCCGCATTAAATACCTGCCGCCCCGCATCCCTGGACCCCGGTCGCCCCACGTGCGCTGTGCTGTGCCGCGTTTCCACAATCTCTTCGAGACTTGACTCATGAACTTGCCCCTGGGACAATGCGCCCACGCTTGGGATCGTGGGTAGCCACACTGAGGTTTTATGTAGTCCTTTATATAACCCGCGAATCCGAGAAAAAGGGTCAGCCACTGAGTGCCGATTTCTCCTCTGTTACGTGCTAGTCCACCGTTTGAAAGTGCAGTTTTAGCATGCAGATAGAGGTGATATGGTGGTCGTTTCATAGGGTGCGGAATGGCTCACTTTAGCAGTCACCTGTCTGATGTGCCATCATGGGAGGGCGTCGTGTGGGTGCTGTTTGAGGCGGGCCTTACGGCTCGCTAAGGCCTAAATGCACAAATAACGCACAATCCAAATGTATTCATAGCCCAGTGCGCCGTCCGTATGCAGCCTCCAAAACCAGACTCACCGAGCAAGAAAGGAGGCGGTCTCCCGTGTGGCTTTTGGCGAGGCTGCCCCGCAAGCTCTCTGGCGGTATTGGTTCATGTTACCTAGCCATTGCTAGAAACTCACGAACCAGTCCTCGTAGAGGTGGATAAAGGAGGGACGCCCGCTTGGTTTACATCACGGAAGCCGAATGTGCAGGAGTTTGCGTTTACCTGCAACGACGCTCACCCGCCGTCCGTCCCTGAAGCTATTGACTTGTGCACAGGGCGAGGTAAAAACACAGCATGACTCAACACGGAAGCAGTGAACGCTATGTGGAGAACCCTGGCGATCCCGATATCGCGGGCCTAGGGGTGATTCGCCTTTACACCTGCACTTGTTCTTCAAGAGCCCAGAAAACTAACCATGGCAGGTGACGGTGGCATTTTTAACAACTTCAGCCATAATCGCCGCTACTATTGTCGCCCTCTACTTCAGGCAGGGGCTTCTAGAGAGATAGTATAATGGCATTGACAGAACTCTGCTACGGAAGTTATCAACAAAGTCACACACTGCATCGCTTCCAAACCAAGCTCCAGAATCATCGATCCATCGTGTCAAGCACGAAGCCGTCAACTTTGCCCTGCGAAGGCTCCTTATCAACTTGAGCGATCAGCAGCTAGCGATTGGAGTTTCCATCGCCATTGCAGTTTACGCGAAACTTGCGGAGCCAGCCGCGTTCTCGGTGTATTCTTTCCGTATGGCGGCGGCAACCATGTCGCAGGCCTGCTTCGCCCACTTGTGTGTCATGACGGTCTTGTCCGGTGGTCCATGTCCGAAAAGGAGCGTGTGGTGGAGATTGGCGATCATGGGTACCTTTCTGGTCCTTCTTCTCCCTCTGCTACTCCTCAGCGGCTTCCCTTCTATCAATCGGCCAAGTCAAGTCCGACCTCGAAATCGGGCTGAAGGACACAAAACAGGACATCGAGGGAGTCAAGGACGACATCGAGGAGTTCAAGGACGAGGTCAGGACACGTTTCAACGCTATCGATTTGTTCATATTGGAAATGCGGGCCGATCGTATGCGTTCAAATGCTTTTCAGAGGAACGCGGCATTACGTAATCTAACTATGCCTTTTCGTCCTCTCGTTACCTTTTAACCCGACAGAGGTATCGTCTAACCCGATTCTAACCTCTTTCTACAGCGTATAAACAACTTCTTTGCCCTCCGAATACTATCTAACTACTACTAATATCGCACGTTAGAGTACCTCGCTAACTTTTACGATATTCCCCTTACTCTATTATATTCTTCTAATAGCGATAATAAACACGATCCTATTCTTATATAAGATCCGAGAGGTGTCGTAGACTCTTTAGAGACAATCTTAGGCCTTAATAAAGATAATATCGAAGCGTTCTGCTAGAAAGTTCGGCAATACGATAATCGACCTAGCCAACCCATTAAGCGTTCCTAGCTTTAACCTCCCTAAGGCGTTCCGCACCCGATTCGACGGAAGCTTGACTAAGAGCACCGCGACTTAAGAAAACCTAGCTCGCGCCCCGCCCTTAGTAAACCTTCCGAAGAGCTAGACAAGGCAAGGGTAGAATAGAGATCCTATAACACTCCGTCTTCTTAACGTCCTACGGTTAATAACCTTCGAGGAAGAGCACGAGACGCCTTAAAGGGTGGCAATCTATTATCTAACGCAGGCAGCACGACCAATCCACGTACTAGTTCGCGAGAGCCATCCGAGAGCAGAAGTCGGGAAGAAGGACTAGCGAAACGGTGAACTGCGACAGGCTATCGTGACTTGTGACCCAGCATACTGAACCTGGCTTCGTATCGGATCATATGCTGTGATACGGAAACACTGCCAGCCTGGGGGGTCAGTAGGAACGGAGTCTGGTAAGCTAGATAGGAAAACAGAGTAAGATCGGTGGCATGTCGCCGCAAACTCTCCACTTTAGTCCTTCCCAAAGCTAGGCTACTACCGCGGAGGATGTGGCTCTCAAGTGAATAGGTACATTGGGTGGCTGGTTGACGACTTCTACGCCCTTCGAACTCCATCTGACCATGATCAATATCGCATATTGGTATACCTCGCCGACTTCTACCATCTCTTGCTCCATCACATACTTCCCATGGCGATGGTGAACACGATCTTGTTCTTATACGAATAGCACGCACCCTATCAAGCTCCAGGACTGCCTCAGGCAAGGGGTGGTCCAGGACCCCAAGCACAGGAGCACATAGAATGCGCATGAATAGGACCCGAAGCGGCCATCTCTTTTGTAATGGACAAGGCACTTGAACAGCCTTCTCCGTGGCGCATCACATAAGATTGCGTTGTTTCGTTGAAGGTCTTGGTGGAGGAGTTCGACGGCGTTATTGAGCATTTCAACTTGTTCTTCGGTTGTCCTGACCCGGCATTACATACCATACTGCCATCGGAACTTCTTTACCGACCGGAGATGGGCTTGGAAGCTGTTAAGACCCAGTGCGACCCGACATAGCAGCCAGCTTACACGCCGCACGTGACCCTGAAACGCCCATTATTCACGATCCAATCATGAATAGCTCGGAGAACGACAGAACGGAATCCAAATACAAGGGTTCATTTGAATATGCTGTCACTCCGACGATCGCGGCAAAGTACCATCTTTCAACTTGGTACGAGGGGACCGACCTTCCGGCCGATTGGGTTATTGCGATAACCGATAACGGCTGGACAACTAATGAGGTTGCTCTTGAATGGATTAAGCATTTTGATCGTCATACAAGCCCTCGTACGAAGGGCATATATCGAATGCTTATTCTTGATGGCCACGAAAGCCACCATTCAACCGACTTCGAGCTATTTTGTCAAGAGAAGAAGATCATCACGGCCTGTATGCCGGCTCATTCTTCCCATACTCTTCAGCCCCTCGACGTTGGTTGCTTTAGGCCACTTAAACAAGCGTACGGACGACAAGTGGAAGATCTAATGCGCGCACATATCACGCCTGTCTCAAAGGTTGACGTCCTTCGCGCCTTTCGTGCGGCTTTCTACCATACTTCACGCAGAAAAATATATAAGGAGGCTTGGCCGGCACTGGCCTTATACCGTACGACTCAGAAAGGGCCCTCTCGAAGCTTGATGTGAAGCTTCGTACGCCAACTCCTCCTGCAGACCCTATTGAGAACATGCACCCTTGGGTGTTGAAGACGCCTTAATGCCCTCACGAGGTCTGCTCACCGTCACAGCTTATCTTGATCCGCTACGAGGCCTTTTTCATATCGAGTTGGACCTATGCGTTGACAGTCCTAGCAACCAACGCTCCGCCTGCAAACACAGAAAGGCTATCTCCCTCGATTGGGCTGTCATCATCCGACTGCAAGTTGTCGATCCACTCGTGTTGACGAATGGCTCTTTCAGCCACCGGGAAGCCAAGTGAAGATATTTCTTGTTGCCATCTCCGACACCTCATCTTCGAAGTCGAGTCCACCATAATCAACAAGCGTTTGGCAAATGGCATGATCTAGGATCATGCCGTGCTTGGGGCGGTAGTTAGACATAGGGGAGCCTGCTGCTGTTATACCTTGTTGAACATACTCTCCGCCCACACATGCCCAAGTAAAACTATGGTACTCCAATTGATGTACCGCTCCAAGTAAAAAAACAAAACCCTCATGACCCGTTGGGAATGGGAGGGAGCCAGGATCATTTCAATGCTACACTGCCTGCAGTCCTGTGCCCTCTCCCAAGCATCTGCTCTGGCGTCGCTTAGCTCCCAAGCAAGGTTGTCCCAGGGCATAAGCACGTGTCTTGGCTTTTTCGCCATAATGAAGTCGCAGCGGGCCCAATGTCTTCAGCAATGGTTTTCTTTCCTCCCAGATCAGTCGTTGATTGACTTGGAGTCCACTAACCCTTCGGGCGCTGTAGCCGGTCTTGGGTTGGAAGGCTGCAAGCAGAGTCGAGCATTGGTTGGATGACGAGACAGGTGGACACCGGTGTGTGTGATGCATCACTTCAACGGCGGCTATCCAGGGACGCGACAAGCATTAGCGTATGAAATCGCTCCAAGCGCAGTGAATCTTTCGGCAAGGCGCATAAGCTCTTCAGCTGGCGGGGGATGCTACATGGTGTTCGCTGTGGCTGGTGTGGGCATGTTGATCGTGGCCTTGTGTGCCTGCATGAGCTTTAATTAACATTCATCATGCTTCACGATTGCGTTTCCTGACACTTCTACACCCCGGAACTCCGGATTTGATCTGACCTTGACCCTGTTTGATTTAAGGGATGTGGCTCTGATTCTGACCATAGGGCAGACAGTCTTTGGGGCTGTCGCGTCAACGAAAGCCAGCAACCACGAAATGCAGCCGGAAATGCATTGCCACGTTTGACATGCAGATTTACATTGTCCTCTTGTGCCAACAAACGCAAACGTCCAGGGCATACCGTAGCCTCGTGCACGCGACAACAGCACAGCCAGATTCGAGCCGCTGTCACTCTGCCCAAAGCGCGTACTCAGTTCAGGGGGTTAGCTATCTCCTAAACCTGGCCGTCAACAACCCGAAAGATTTTTCAATCAACTACGTCAAAAAATCTCGTGTCTCCAGTCACTTGAGGAAGTGCAGCGAAGATGAAAACCCGGACTTTTGTCGGCCATTGAGCCGAGTCACTCAAAGAGTCGAGGATCCTAGCATTGGGCCTTGGTGTTTATAAGTAGACAGTCGGATAAAAGCGATAAATTCCGACAAGATGCGGCTGCTTAATTCTGCAAACTTGGATTTCTGTCCCTTTTATGAATTCAGTGCACAGATTTGCCGTTGCATATCTAATTCCAGAGCCACCAACAGCCCCAGCCTTACCTCGACGAATCATCGGTCTATGTCCTGCGAGGACGAATCTTCCACGACTCTGCCTCGAAGTGCAGCTCGCCTCTACGCCTCATTCCTTCTGGATCGACGAGCACTCGGACTGAAGCCGAGTTCATGCCAAGATCAAAGACGCGCAGAAGAACGTAAATTCGATCAAGATTGGACTCTTGCCCTGGTCCACTTTGGCTACAATCCTGCATCTGCCACCAAGTCAGCATCTGGCGATCCGTATATGCGGGCTTGTAAGGCACTTACCCTCCTAAACTGAGACCCGTTCATGAAAAAAGCCGTGTTGAAGGAGTAAGGCGTAGATTTGACCTCCAGGTAATACAACGGCCGCGCTTGGCGCTGACGCTCGACATCATAGCTTTCGAGGTATCCCTTGTCGGCCAGAAAGGATGTGAAGGCTCCCGTATGATCGCGGTACGTGATATCGGCCGTCTCCGCGCCTCCCCAAGACGAAATAGCAGCAAACTCAGGATGTGCGCTCGCGTAGCCACGAATATTGCTTTGCCAGTTGCCAAGACCGAATTCAGGAAGTGAGGGTTCAATACGACGAAGCAGCTCAAACATCTGTATCTCTCAATTAGCATTTGGGCAAAAGGAATGACCATGTCAGAACTCACAAAGAGCTCGCCAGCTGCGCCGACCATTTTGTCCCTTTCGAGTCTGCCAAATGGCCGCAGGAATGGCAGCCTGTTCACAGGATCGCCTGATGACTGTCCATCCAAAACATTCCTGAGCTCGAACATGTCGAATGTTCCCCTGGATGGAAACTCAATTGTTCTTGCTCTATTCACGAGCGCCTCCAACAAGGATCGGTAAGGGGAACTGTTGGGCACTTGCGAGGGAATCGAAAGCAGCGGATCGACCTGAAGCGGCTGAACTGGGGCAGAGTGGGACTGGTACGGAGAAGTATTGGGCAGCTGTGAGGGAATCGATAGCTGTTCATTGACCTCAATTGGCTGTACTGAGGCGGACTGAGGCCGGAAAGGAGAGTTGTTGGGCACCTGTGAGGAATTCGAAAGCAGCGCATCGACCTCAATCGGCTGTACTGAGGCGGACTGAGACCTCAGACTCTGTCGACTCACAATCGTGGAGACAATTCTACTCTCGTCCTCGTTTTCTCTGGTTCTGTAGGATGAGACTGAGGTCGTTGGGGTCGGTACCCGCTCATCCCCTGTGTCGCTCCATGTCTGGATAGATGGAACATTCGGCTCGTCAACGCTTGGGATGCCTTCCTGGCGCTGATCATGGAGATTTTGCGTCTGCTGCAAACTCCCGTTAGGCGAGATTTCGTTTTCGACATTTTCCTCATCGCTATCATCGTCATCCGCATCAGCGTATGCTGCGCCAGCATCTGGAATCCCAAACTCCAGCAGAATACTGTTAAGAGCACATATGCGAGCGCTTAAGACAGCCTGAACAGCACGTATCCCACATTCTTTTGCAATTTTTGCGTAATCATCAGCGCAAGCCTCGATGATGTTGGTATCGGGATTGGTCATAATCCATTCGAAGAGGTACTTGGGTAATTTGCTTTGGAAGCAAGCCTCACGGTCGGATCTCTTCCTAGGGACGAAGACCTTCATGCCCTGGCTGCTTTCGTCAATTACAAGGGCAACGCCATCGTCTTTGTCGTGTGAAATTGGCTCAGTGCCACCTTGGTGTAGTAGCAACGTAGTGGTGATTTTTCTTGTCTCAAGTGTGTCGCAGTTCCGCAATAGCTTGTAGAGCGCATCGTATCCATTGGCCACCCGCGGACTTTGGTGATATTTCGCGATGCTGTTATTTTGTCAGCGACAAAGTATGACTCTATTATCCACTAGCGGTACCTTAATAGTGTGCCTGCTTTTGCTGTGATACGACGTTCGGGTTCGGAAATAGGTCGAGAGGATATTCTGTCCGGCACAAAAATCTCTCGCACTGATGTAGAAAGATATCTGTCCTGGAGATTGGCCCATCGAAAGAGTTGCTCGAGCCCTCGTACTTGTTCGATGTCAAAGTCGAGGAGCAGCGCCTTGTCTCGGAAGCTCGCGGCCAAGGGGGCGCGGTCTACTATGGCAAAATGGCCATCACCGCCCGAAAGGAAAACTTCGCCATCCGGCCTTCGCACTGGAAATATGCGGTTTTTGCACATTTTGGCCGCGTCGATATGTCCCCAGTCTTCCTTGCCGAGCAATGCGCTGAATTCAAGAAGGTCCCCTTTGAGCCCGTCGATTGGGATGCTCAGGTCAGGGTTGCTAAGTTTGTCGTACAGCATGCGAAGAGTCACTTTCTGTACTCCAATTACATCTTGAAAGAACGATTCAAGACCATCATAGTCGCCTTCATTGTTGATAGGGGTTTTACTTGGAATGACTGTGGCTGCTGTCCACAAACACTCGGAGCTCTTGTGCCAGGACGTCTTACCGTTTGGCTTGTAGACAAGACTCTTTGATTCAAACGCATGACTATGGAATCGTTCAGTCATTCAAACTTGCCGAATAATTGAGGCGTGTACATACCGTATATTTTCAGAATTGGATTGGTTCTTGTTCTTGGCCAGCCACTTGTATAGGCAAATAATGGAATCAAAATCAGGGTCTTTGTCTTGGTGTTCCTCGAGCTCCAAGATGGCAAGTTCCCAGTTCCACTTAGTCACCTGGACAATGTCGCAAAAGAAGTGTTTCAAACTGGAACTGCTGGAAGAAACAGATGATTCCCCGGGCATTGGTCCGTACATTTCCTCGAGCGCAGCCACGGCTCTAGGACGCTCAACAGGTGCTGTCCAAACGCAATCGTTCGGCATATACCAGTCGGACTCTTGAGACTCGGAGTACGCAGGAATGAAGATGAGATAGCAACTTTGAAATTTGCGTCTGCTTTTGGTCAGTAAAAGGGAGATGCTGTACCTGTCCGCAGCAGGCAAGGAGTCGGAGATGCAATTACCTGAGTGTTTCCCTCACTCGTGGCTCATCAGCGGAGGCACGAACCTGGGCGTCCAGAAAGATGTACAAATCGCGAACTCTTTTGAACCCTGAGCTATCCCGAGTACAGTGCCGTAGACCATTATTTCTTCGGTATTGCGCATGCCCAAGGTATTCTAGAAGGGTTACACTGAACTGAAGATCATCTTGTTGCCACTTGAGGTTCAATTTCGAGGCAAGTGAAGTGACTTGTTGCAACTCCAAAGGATGACCATTGTCATCTGATGATAGGTGGAGCTCCAGCCACAGGAACGGATCATCGTCAGACAGAAATCTTTTCGCCAAATCCTCGAGGCGACTTGTCGGAAAGAACGTCTCCTTCAGCTTGCAGAAGCGGCCTCCCCTGCAAACAACCTCGATGTTGGATAGTTCTTCCAGAAGAGCTTGATTGGCGTAGGTCTGCTCACTTTCCTTTTGCCATAGTTTGTGAAGAAGACTCATGAGCCTTTTGGGTCTGTGCTTGGCTACGTAGAGGAACGGTTTTGAAAGGTTGTTTTCGGATCTCTCCTTCAGGCGAAGGTTGCGCCGAATGTGTATGCAGTCGTGAAGCCAGTCTACCCATCGAGGAGACTCAGAACGACGGTCAACCGGTGGGTTAAGCAAGTAATCATCGTGGAGAAAAGGTACTTTGTACCCAGGAGCCCCATCGTCGATATCTTGGCCATCAGGTGTGGGGGACAAGAGGTGGGATGCACCTAGAGCGTCATCTGATGGTAAGAAGACATCTTCACGACTTGGATCCCTGATTACCAAGTCATTTGTGAAGACTTTGATGCCGAGGCTCATCCGCGCAGTTTCCATGGCATGAGATGTTAAATAAGCGAAGTGCATGTCAGCCAAAGACATCCCAGGGGTAAGGATTGAAGATCCAATCTCTCGGTATCGCTGCCTTATTTGATCCAGCACAATCCTAGTTGGCGCTGTTGCAACGCCAATTAAATCAAAAAGCTTCTTTCGTTCTGGATTGTTGCTAGCAGAAGGATTGATTACCCGCAATCGAAGACCCTCGGGGATAGGTACTTCGTCCGAGTCAGCGTAGTAGACGGGGCCCTCGCGCACAGAGGCCCAGTTCCCACCTCTCAAAGGAAGGACGTTCATCTGTTTCAATTCGCCGATTGAAGCGTCCCATTTTTTTTGAAAAGGAAATTGGAACAGTTTTGCTGCGCGAGTATGCCATTCTTCGCTTTGGCATGTCTTTAAGCGCGACCTAGCGTTGTCTAAATCGCACCTGGCCCTCGCGAGGATCTCATCCATGAATATATTTTCGAGACCCAGGGACTTCAGCAGTTCGAGGTCTTCCTGCGCGTATCTTGGCGACAAATATTTTTCAGGGGCGATATCGGGGAACAAAGGCTGTCCTTTGTGATCGACATCAAGGCGCGAGTTCCTCCTCATTTCACCAATCTTTCGAAGAGGTCCGAGACTGGCAGGCCTGAGCACGGGGGTCACTTTGACATTGTCTTTGATACCGTCGATTACGCCGGTCCAAAAAGGTCCCCAGGCATTTTCACTGTCGTCCGATGGTAGATACCGCATCCATCGGTACTGGAGCGTCTCATGTTCACACATTTGCAGCACAGCCAGTACGAAAGCTGCAGGGATTTTGTGCCCGAGAGATTGATTCCTAGGAGATGTCGTATCGATGCTCTCCCGATTGGCGCCCGTCACAAAGTCTGCTTGGATGACGAACTAATGCTTATTAGCTCAATACTATGCGTCTGCGTTGGGTTCTTTACTTTGAAACCGGTCAGTGTGGCAGGTAGAAAGGAGAAGAGCCACTGGTTCTGCAACACTGGAACCGATTTCTCATCCAGAGGGAAGGCGAGGACAATTTCGCTGGTTGCGTACGACTCAGATTCCAACGCCTCATTATTGTATTCTCGATTTTCGCTTTTTGGTAAACCCCGGGCTGTATAAGTAGTGAGGTGAAAATGCTTCTTCGTGAGGGTCTCTTGTTCGCCCTCACGCCTCAACCGCTCGGTGCTGACGAGTCGCCCAATCCCGTTGGACCTCGAATATGTGGATGAGTCCTTGGGTTGGTCATTGTCATCGTAAGTCCTGACGACGATTCTTTTGATCTTCCTCATGAAGAGCAACATTTCCTCATGGATCACCTTGAGCTGCTCATTGATGCTAGCAAGTATGTCTTTGGAGTCTTGTTCGTGGAGCCATAAGGTGATCCGTGTTCGACCTTGTTCGCCTGGCGCAAGGCCCTCTTCCCATTGCGGCGATATCATCCCCATTCCGGAGTCTCTCTTATTGTGCGTGAAAGAGAAGCAAAGGTTCCCGGAGTGAATCACAGCCTTGTAGGCCACCTTGAAGACAGATTTGAACCCGATTCCCTTCTCACCAATGTAAGCCTGTGTACCACTTTTGGAGCTTCTCCCAATGTTGCAAATTGCCGACAAATTGGATTTGGTGAAGCCATCTTCGTTGCATTCGCAAATCACGCGATTCTTGTAGACCTCAAAAACCACGAAGGGTTCGTTTCCGCTCTCCGCTGCCCGCTTGTAATGATTGTCTTCGCAGTTCTGGAGGAGCTCGAACAAGAAGCGAGCTTCACTGGTGTACAGGTTTTTGGCCAATCTTTTCGCGTCAGTAGAGGCCTCTGGTACAGGTGGAGAGGCAAAGCCACGTTATCACCGCGGAACCAATAAGTTGATCCTTCCTCAAGAACGCATCCTCAAATATCCTTTTTCTTGCCATGTCCCACTCCGCCATGGCCTGCCAGTGCTGGTAGTCGACGAAGCCGTGGGAGGTAGAGATGCTCTGGACAAGCGTCCGCGCTTCTTCCCGACTCAAGGCTGACATGGTGATAAATTGAAGGTTTTTAAACAATATGATATCAGATCTTTTTAAAACAATCAAGTCGGGAAAGATTCTTGGATTTCAATCCGTTGGGTCAAGCATAGGGGCCACGCAATCAAATACTGCGAGGCTCTGCGAGAACCGCAGGAACTGTTGTTGGTTGACATGTTCATGTTGGTCCATGCCCAAGTGAAACACGGAATGAAGGGAACTGCCCAGGCAGGCCATGATTGTGGATCCTGTTTGGCAGCATGCCTGGGGTCATGCAGCAATCACGCCGCAGCTGCATTTGACCAATTCTTGCGACCTCAAGCCTGGGACTTTTGTGTTGTGTGCTTGGGAGTGTGGTGTAAATCTTGCCGCTCAATGTATACTTGTGTGTGAGATCGAGGATAAATCGCTTGTGAGTTTAGAGTAAGATTCCGTCGATGGACTGTTGCGACGCGTGCGACTGCTAATGGGCAGAAGGGTAGTATCGACTCACACTGGCGGCGAGGGGCATGCATATGCATCGGCCCCTTGCCAGCTGCGGTGGCCTGTCATTGACGGCCGCGCACAAAAACCTGAGCGACTCCCTATCGAAATGTTACGTGATTGCGCAGGCATCCCACGGGGCTTTCTTCATCTTGGCGCGGGTAGACGGAAGGAGCGACTGTCCATGCATTTCGGTTAGAAATGATAGAGCGAAGCTTCGATTGTCGAGGAGCACGCTTTCCCATTCGGTGATGGATGGGGAACTCAGACATCAAACATCTGTGCTTAAGCTGCTGAGGCGAGGGCAGAAGCAGACAAAGAAATCGAGCTATGCGACGTCGCAAACTGGCAGGCTGCTAGGCGACGGTGAGAATGATGGAAAACCGCGCGCGGAGCAACCTCGAATACTGTGCTACTATGCTGCCGATGGTGAATGTAACGTTTTTGGCTGTTTCAACTCCTTTTCTCCCTTATTTTTGCGCAATTACCTCTCCGGGGTGACGCTGGTGACTCTGAAGTTCTAGCATAACTTGGCTCAGCGAGAGGACTTGACCCCATGTTGGAGGAGCTTTTCGCTTTTCCAGGACTGTTACGACCCGATATACGACCGCATGCGCCTCTCACGTGCCCCCCGCTTTTTTCCTCTTATTATATATTACCCGCATACCACGTAGAATAAACGACTATAGGCGACTAGCAACTATAGTCGACTACGCTATAAAAGCACTCGTAAACGATAGTCGACTATCGTCGACTATATAATATTTACTTAGTATATAGGAAGCCTAGCTTTACTATAGTTAGTCTTTACTAGCTCCTTAGCTATTAATATAATTATCTACGTAAGATCTATTATCTCGTATATAGACTATAACCCGACCGCTTAAGTTAACGATATCTTAGTATACTTAGTTTATAAACCGACTTTAGATCTACCTACCCTATAGCTAGTCTAACCCGAACGTTATATATTAATAGCTCTTATTTAGTATATTACTATATTAAGGTACTTAAGTAATACGATACTATAGCTAGCGAATCCTTTAAGATAACCCCTAAGTCTATTAATAAGGGTAAGGCTATAGCTAAGTATACCGAGACCTCTTAGACGGCTTAGTTTATAGATTTAGACTCGGACGAGTCCGACGATAAAGATATAAAGATCCTTAAAAAGTAAATCTAAGAGTTATAAGGGTAGCTATAGTGTGACGTTCGGGTCTAGACTAGCTACCGGGTAGATAGAATAGAAGTCGGGTTTAAACTGAGTACACTAGGATGTCGTTAACTTAAGCGGTCGGGTCACAGTCTATGTGCGAGATAGTGGATCTTGCGTAGATAATTGTATTGATAGCTAAGGAGCTAGGTAGAGACTGACTATAGTGAAGCGTAGCTTCCTATATACTAGTTTATAAAAGTAAGGGCTCACGGGAGCGTCGTGATCCAGTAAGCCATGCGTTGATGTTGGAGCGTAGGCTCACGGTGAGGTCGCGAGCTATACTTTATGCGTGGTAGTATGATTAGAGGAAAAAGTAGGGTGCACGTGAGAGGCGCATGCGGTCGTATGCTGGGTCGTAACATGATATCTCCCCTCCCGAGATTCTGCCCCTAGAATCAATCAAAACCAATCGTTAGTCTATACTCGTGAGTCCTATTAATTCCTTCTCCTTTATTATTTCTTACATATACTAACGCTATGTCCAGTCGCTCTTCTGACGTTGCTCGAAAGACTCGCGAACGCCTGAAGCTTGCTTACGCCATTGCTTATGACGGTGCTGACGCAGACATGCCGTGCACCTATTGCTTTAAGAATTAGAAGCCTTGTCGTTTTGATAATAGGTCTTCGAAATATAGCGAGTGTGTTCGTCGCGGTCGTCCTTGCGACGGGACGTTTGTAGCGTCTTTATATGTGTATTTGTTCCTTTCTTGCTCCTTTTCTTGACCTTTCTTTAGTGAATCGTTTGCTTGAATAGCGTGAGAAGCTTAAGAAGGACGAAGAGAAAGCTAAAGAGGCTCTCCTTCGTCTTTAAACTGAGCTCGCGACCGCTATTGGTCGTTTGACGCGGATACGGAAGATTCGCCGACGCATGAAAGAGCGTATTAACGACTCCGTTCGCCGTGGTTTAGCCGGTCTTAAGGAGGATGAGCGGGATGACTCGGGGTCCATGGCTCCCGCTAAAGCTATTCCTGTTTTAGATAGTTATGAGCACTGGATTGAGAATAACCTAAGGTTCTTAGGTCTTCCTGACAATCCTAACTAGTCGTCCTTGGGTTTGGGTGATGATTTTACGGACGTAGTTTTTTTATCTAGAGCTAGAGCTGCTGGTGGTAGTTCTTCACGAGGTGCCGACAATCCTTGAGATATTTGGCGGGTTCCTATGTATTTTCGTTGTTTGCATAGCCCTTCTATTTGATAAGGTACTTGACTTCTCCGTCGATAGTTTGTTTGTCGAGTATCCGTTCTGGTTCGTAGAGTTCTTCGAGAACTTCTAGTTCGTAGTTTGTTTTTGCGTTTTGCGGTGCCTTTTCGAGTAATAAAATGTGAAAAACTAGGTGCATCCTCATACTTAAGGGTAGTGAAAGTTTATAGTTAGTGTCTGAGATAACTTCGTTAATTTTAAATAGTCTAAGTTTTTTGTGATCGAGCTTCGGTAAAGGTCGAGTTATTGTGAAATTTTTGCGTAGTAGGTAGACTATATCTCCCCTCCGAAAGATCGGTCCCTTCGATCTTTTCTGATTATAGTACTTCGATATTCGTGTACGTACGAATTCGAGCTATTTCTTCATGTGTTTATATAGTAAGCGTAATTAATCTGCTTTAAGCATAGCTTTTTTAGCAAGAGGTCCATCCCTTGGTGTTTTGTTGCCGAACTCGGGTTCGTATCCGTAGTTCGCGTAGAATGGTGAGATTTTGGTTGATTCCGTAGGTGCGCTATTATAGGCGAGTTAGGCGAGTGGTAACTTCGAGACCTAATCATCCTGTTCATAGTTAATATAGCACCGTAAGTACTATTCCAATATCTGATTCAATCTTTCTGTCTGTCTATCCGTTTATGGGTGGTAAGCTGTGCTAAGCTTATATTTAGTCCTAAGCTAAGCTATCAATACTTGCCAAAACTTCGAGGTAAATGTCGTTCCTCGATCCGAAATAATTTCTTCCGGAAGGCCGTGGTTAGCCACGATATGTTTGAGTATTGTGTATGCGAGTGTTTCTGTATCCGTTGCTTCTTAGTATGGTAGGAAATATCCGAATTTGCTTATCCGGTCCGTGATAACGAATATACTATCGTATTCGACGTTAGATCCTGGTTCCTTAGATTTAGGTAGCTTCGTAATGTGATCGAAGGCTATCGATTCCCATGGCTTTGAAGGCACTAGTAGTGGCTTCAATTCTCCGTATAGCTTATGCCGTGCAGCCTTGCTACGCGCACAATCTTCACATTGTCTGACGATGCGTGCGACGTCTGCCTTGATTCCTTAGTAGTCGTACGTTCGTCGTATTCGTTTAAGAGTCTTTCTAACTCCTTGATATCCTGCCGTAGGATACGCATGAATATTAATCAAGATTTCATCGCGTAGCGGCGGTGGTATCTAGAGCAGTCTATTCCTAGTAGGTCCTTTTCCTATTTCTATCGCGTAGTCGTTAGGTATTTCTTTTTTATATTTTAATACCTATTCTAATATTTTATCGTAGTATATAGTATCTGCTTCTACTTTGAATATAAGAAGGTTAAGTGCTATTTATACGTAGTTTCCTTTGTTATTTTGTCGAAGTATCTAGCCCTTGGCTTTTAGTACTTCGGTGTCGTAGTCTAGTCGGCGGCTAAGTGCATCTACTCTGCCATTCTCCGAACCTTTCCGATGGATGATTTTAATATCGTAATCGGCCAAGAATTCGGCGTATCTTGTTTATCGTGCGCTGAGTTCTTATGTTATCGCGAAGTAGGAGATGTTTTAGTGATCGGTATAAACTTTAGTGGTGAACTTCGTCCCCAGCATATAGTGCTTGAATTCCTTAACGGCTGCGATAATTACTAGGAATTCCTTATCGTAAATAGGGTAGTTTAGTTCCGCGCCGTGGAGTTTCTTCGAGAAGAATGCAATTAGTCGTACGTTACTATCGTCGTCTCGTTAACTAATTTGCGCTCCTATGGCGTAGTCCGATGCGTCTGTTTCTAATTCGAGTAGTCTTTCGGGGTTATAGGTTATGAGTATTATATTTAACAGTATGGTGTCTCGCAATCCTTCGAATACCCTTTGTTACTCTATTTCCTACTTAAATTCTCCTTTTCCCTTAGTGAGTCCCGTGAGTAGTACTGCGATTTTCGCAAAGTCGCGTATAAAGCGTCGATAATAGTTCGTAAATCCCACGAACGCTTATACTTCCTTAAGCGTTATTGGCACAGGCTATTCTTTAACTATATTAATCTTTGTTTGTTCTATTAGGATTTCGTTTGGTCGGATCGTGTGTCCGAGGAAGACGGTTTCTTACACATAAAACGCGCTCTTTTCTAGGTCAACCAAGAGGTTCGCATCTTAAAGTGTTTTTAGTACCTAGTGGACGTGTTTCTTATATTCTTTAAGGTTTTCCGAGAAGATTAGAATATCGTCTAGGTATGCTATAACGAAGATATCCAGGTACTCCCTGAGTACGTTGTTGATTATTCGCTAGAAGGTAGCTAGAGCATTGGTGAGGCCAAATAGCATTACTAAATACTCGAATAGACCGAACTTGGTGCGAAAAGCTATCTTCTATTCGTCTCCTTTCTTCATACGGATTAGGTTATAGGCTCCTTTTAGGTCAAGAGCGGTGAACTAGTTCTTGCCGTGAAGTCTGTCCTTGAGTTCGTTAATAAGCGGCAGGGGTGTCCTATCTTTAATCGTGATATCGTTAAGCTGCCGATAGTCCACGACTAGTCGTAGCTTCCTATTCTTTTTTAGCACGAATATAACGGGATATCCTGCTTCCGAGGTGGAGGTTCGAATATAGCCTTTCTTAAGCATTTCGTCGATATATTCTCGTAATATTTTAAGTTGCTTCTCGTTAAGGTTGTAGAGCTTATGGAACTTGGTCGAGGTTCTAGTTTTAAGATAGATTTCGTGATCCTACTAACTATATTGCGGAATACCCGTTTCGAGGGTTTCCTTGAACAACCTGCTGTACTTTCGGTATTCTAGCGGTATATTCTTCATTCGTTCTTCTTCTATTATAGGTTTCTTTTTTCTTTCTTCTTATAGGGCTTAGTTTACTTCAAACATCTTTTGTATAATATTAGCGAGGATTCGTTTTCCTTGTTTGTGTCGTATACCCGGTTGTATAGCCTTCTCGGTCAGTACTGCGGCTTTTGCCTGCTTCGGCTCGCTTATGTCCTTCGGTGAAGATCCTTTAGAGGCTAAGTCGTCGCGAATATTCGCTTCTTTCTGGTTGAATAGTGATCGTCGCGTTGTCGTGTCTATCCACGCCAACTAGCTAGTGCGCTAATCGACTACCGGATTACTTCTCGTTAACTATAGGTGACCTAGTATCATATCGTATTCATATAAGTCTATAATATCGAAGACGATTGTCTTATGGTGTCCTTGTATCGTTGCGTCGAGATAATCGGTCTCGCGGTCGATAGTTCTACTATTGTAATCGAAACTTTATCCTTTAATATTGAAAAGCTTGTATGCCCGAGTCTTATGATTCCATGGTAGTATATGTCGGTTAACCACTACTGGTGAGATA